TGAATAAGTATAGTAATAATATAAAATCAGAAAGGAGTCATTAGTTTCGAAGATAATCCTAAAAAAACCTATAAAAAAAAGCTATATAAGTGCTATAAAATAATAAAATATTACTTTATGGCTCAATAACCAAACAAAATCCCAATCATAGAAAACTAATGTTAGCTTTTACGTTGAATGTTAAGAGCAGTGAGAAAGCTTACGTTACGTCTTGGAGTCGTTACGTCGAAAATTTGAAACGAAAAGCGAGCGTTAGCGACTTTGCGCCTCAGTTTCTGTTCGACAGCCCTCGAGTGCGGTTCTAGCTCTCTCACCTCCACCTCACCCCAAATAAGCTCAGCTCACAGCGGCCAATCGGCACCAAAAATAAATCAGCAAAGTGTTATTTGTTTTGAAAATCCAACCAAATTCTAATAGACTTCGAGCGCGAGTCATAGACCGACACTCAAAAGCAACTGTCACTTGAACCCAATCAACGAACGAATCAACGAAATAATAAATCAGCCACGAAACCAACTACAATAACAACGAAACCAGCAATATCTCTTCGAGTGAACAGATGTTTTGAAAAACCCCCGAAAATCGCCACAAATCCTGACAAGGACTTTGAGCAATCGTGATAATTATCGCCGCGATAACGTGAAGTTTTTTACTGTGCAAAAGAAAGTCAAGGAAGCCAAACCATCAAGCGGAAGCAGGACGAGATACTTGCAATCAAAGACTACTAGCCTACGGTAAGGATAAAACTGGAGTAGGCGTTAACCCAAGTCTGAGGCCCCCGAACAGCCAGTGGATTGCGTGCTGACCCGACCCAAAAGTTCATTGACTGTCTGACTATTGGCATTTCCTGGTGGCACAGGGCTAGATAGCTAGGGCTAGGGCTAGGGCTATACACTCAGTCAGCTGTTCCGCCCACAAATCCGCAGTGCTCCTCCCATTGTTTAGTCAATGACACTCTCGTATTGATGTCACTTGTTGGCATAGATGTAACCCTTCCGCAGTTTTTGGCGAAGTTTGATACCTTTATGTCTGTTAGTCCCCGTTGAGCCCATGACATCAGCTCTAATAACCGGTCGACGGGTCGACTCAGCTCATTTTTCAAAGTCACTGATTATGGCAGCAGCGTTAACCACACAAAAAATAAACAAAATAAAGAGAAGGAAAAGGTTAAATGGGAAAATAATCTCCCAAGGGGCAGTAATCGCTGAATAAATATTTATAAAATGATCCAACAGGTATTTATGTATTTCAGTATGCAAATTGTGTCATCTCAGTGATCTCAATGATCTCAGGTTCCCGAAGAGATGGCGTACTTAATGCATAAATCTTTGAAACGGAAGCGATTGTCCCATTAAATTCGCCACAAAGAGTCATTGTAATTATGGCAAGCCATTTGGCAATTTTAATAGTGAGATCCAGTTGCTCGGAGAAGGTTTGCCAATTTTTCCCGCCTCATTTCCCAGCTTTCTCTTGGTCTTAACAGCCAGAACACGTTCGCTGCAGAACAACGAGAATGTTGAGCAACTTAATTAGATTTGGAGATCGCAAACTAGTTCACACAGCTGACGTCAGTCGGTCTTGGCTTTTTATCAGACCAGAGAGTTCAGTTTTCAGTTCGTGAATGTTTTGGCTGTGATTCTCATGTTTTTGTTTTTCCTTTCTGATTTTTTGGCCTTTTGCCGGCTGCTCACTTGTTGTCTGCCGACTGCTTTTGGGGAGGCATTGCCCAACTTGTTCGCTGTTAATTAAACTTATACACACCGCCACTGTCTAAGGCGAAAAAGTCAATAGTTAATAGAGTCAGCACACGAATTATGGCTATATATGTGCGAGTATTTATCGCGGAGTCATGGAGTTTGGGCTCTGCGTGGGTCGTTCTGCCGTCTGGAAACCCAATTCCGAACTGGCTTTTTCGGACCACTCAATGTGGGCTAAAGGAAACGACAGCCGCCGTATTTGGGCGTAAAAGCCTCCGAGATGGACGGCTGGAAATTGTCTAAATTTTGGGAATGAGCTCATATTTAATTCGCCATTTGGAGAGCGTGAAATGGAGTCAAAAGAAAATAAAAACGTTTGCAGTGAGTGATTGTTGATCATGTCAGATAGAGATACCCAATATTTTGTTTAAAGCGGGGAATATTAACTTTGCGAGTTTTTAAATTAAATTTTATAATCAATTTGTAAAATTATCAATAAATGCGAAAATAAAAATTCAAATTAATTTATCACTTAAATTATACTTTTCTGTTATATTATATTATTTCTTAAAACTTTCAACAGGGTATTTCTGTTTTTATATCCTCTGTAGATTGCGTGTTTATTTATATTTTTGAAGTTGATATCACAAATTGAAGCTGACGTGTGCTAAATTTGTTGTTGTCGTCACGGGTCCACAGTCGGGTCAATTGTGTGAATATCAATTTAAATCAAATAAAAATAAAGAACCGCAAACAAATCACTGAAGGTCATAAAGATAATGCTGAAAAATGGCAAAGTCTCTCGCAATCAGTGCCTTTGTAACAAATCATGAGAGCCAAGGTTTGTTTATAGAAATTGCAAAATGTATAGAGAGAAAGAGGGAGATTGAAAGTCAAGTGTGTGGGCGTTGATGTTTCGCTCTATGAATAGCCGGTTTTCACGCTGACCCCCGTGCATAGATTATCGAGCATCACCATCTATAATTTGATTACTGAAATCTGATCGCCACATGCTAATTTATTGCATGAGCCAACGCTCTATTAACTTGATTAAATGCGACCTCTTGGCCGGGCGCCTCAAAACTGTATTCAATTGAAAGTGCACTTAGGAAAAATGTTAAGGGTTTTAAGTCATTTAAAATCGTGATAAAATAAATAAATGTAAAAGGGAACTGTAGTGAAGGGCATAGTATTATAAGTTTACTAAAGAATTCCTATCTTTCAAAATTATTATAAAAGTATAATATCTTTTTTTTTTTTTAGCGATCTTTATCAGTATTTTGTATTATTTATTTATTATACTGATTATTTAGTAATACAAAAGTTTTTAAAAACAAAAAGTATGATCTTTTACCTATTAAAGCCTAGTACTCACTTCAATCAAAAAGGCAACGAAACGAAAATTTCTATACAAATATGACAGCCGGAAAATTTCGTGATCAAAATTTTGTATGGAGATTTACATTTCTTAGGCTTTTCGATTGAAGTGAGTACTAGGCCTTAAGCCGATATTTTTCAATGCAAATATCTGTGGGCTGAAAGCGCCCAAGAGGCACTAGATTGTCTGACAGATGTCTGACTTCTGTTGGCTCAGCTGCCGGCTCTGATTCATCCGCTAGATTTTCAGTTTTCTTAGCTGATCTTGGCCTCGAACGGCAATTGAACATGGTGTTCGGTGTGTGGGCTTTCCAACCTCATGATGGTGATGTAAGAGTTGCCATATAAGACCGGCTGATGACTGCCTTGCGAACAGAACAGTGCTTTTTGTTTCGAATTGCATGCGAGGTCAGGAGTCGAAAGTGGCAAGTAACAAGTGCGGCAGGCGGGAAAAAAATACGTAGTTCCATCTTGGCAGGAGAGCGACGGCTTTATTGGCCCTGTTAACAGCCAGGCCACGCCCCCTAACATAGTTGTAATTATTTACACAGCCTGGCGAATTTTCACGGCCAAAAGAAGTGGCACGCTTCGTTTTTCTTTTGGGCTCGACTGCGAGTTAGAGTTTGTTTTTGTTTTCGTTTCAGTTTTAGTTTTAGTTTTGGGTTCGCCCTCCCTGTCCGTCATGCAATTGTCGGCCATAAGTCATTAAAAGTAATCGTTTTGTTGGCTTACATGCCCCACAAAATGGGCAGCATTAGCACTTAGCATACTTCGTTTCGTTTCGATTCGGGGCGCAACCTTGTTGACCAGGCCGCCGTCAATGAATGTTGTGCCTGCCAGTGTGAGTGTGGAACCCCCAAATCTCAGGGACCGTCGAATCCGAATCCAGCCCCATATCGATTACCCTTTCCCGACTCCCAACTCCTGATACCAGCCGGCACCGTCTGTTTTCCGATGTCTGCGATGTCTGCCCGCCTGTCGATGGGCAACACTTTGCTTCCCGCCTGCTGAGCTGTGAAAAGAAGGTCGTCTCCCAGGGCAGCCGGTTTTCGGAATAAAATTGTTGTTGAGGGGGGTTCTCATTAAAATATTTAGTATACGCAACTCTGGAAACGGTTTTATTATTTCTTTTGTTACGGTTTGGGAGGAAGCATAAGTATAAAAAACTTTTCCATGGAATTTATTCATTTTCTTAACTTTTTTTCGTTAAAGTACCTAACTACATAAATATGTATTAACATTAGGTTTATTTTCAGCTGATAAAATGTAAAATATTATTGCCATGATTATTTATTATGCTGTAATATTATTTATTTAGAGCTGCAACATATTTTCACAAAATTTGATAACTATTAAATATGTTTGATTCCTATACTTTAATTTCTAAAGGGGCTTAAAATATTTATATCACATTTTCGAAATATTTCTTATGTTTAACCTGTAACGTTTTTATAAAATACCATTAAAGCTAAATTTTAAGCGCTAGGATCATTATATTTCAAATGTATGCAAACCTGTAAACATAATTGTTGAATAAATAGCAGTTTTCTTAGTATATTTTTGGTGGTATAAACCCCTTCTTGTCAATGCCACTGGCAACTAAGACTGACGAGCCTACCGCAAAGTTATTGCCATTGTTTGTCTTTCACGCGGCGCAACAAATCCGCGGCTCGAAAGGAAACAACCTGCAACAAATACTGAGCAACAGCCACTGCAGTGAAAAAAAAGAGTGACAGCCGCCACACGACACGCCCCCTCCACTTACCTTCGACTTTCCTTTATGGGTAAATTGTAAGCCCACACGCCTGGCCATTAGCAGCCCCACGGAATTGGCCCAGAAAATTCGAAACAACACCCCGAGCCCAGACGATTGATTTTTGTGTCATCGACTGGCAGTTGGAGTAGGGCGGAATTTGGATTATTAGGTTACCCAAATTTAGGGGTCGAACTATAGATTTCAGTAGCAGGCCTATCGCCCACTCACACGTGTAAATGTCATTGCTGGGGGAGCTGAGGAAAATTCGAGTTAATATATACAGGGAAGAGATTCCCAAATTTTATACCTTCTAAACTTAAAACGGCAAGATGAACAAGGTGCCTTATAACGTGGTAACAAGACCTAAATGGCTAATGAACTGATTCCTTCATCAGGTAAACTTTGCGGAAAATAACAAGGATCAGGGACCCTGCGCCCGCGTGCGTAAGATTCGTCCAATAAACATGGGCGGCAATGTGGAGCAGCGTCCCTGGACCCCGACGGTCCGAATCGGAAGGATTGCAGCCGAGACTACCAATCCAGGTCCAGCCACCGTCCAGCTTCCGACGTTGATCGGTAAGTACCAGTGATTACTATATGTAATCATAAGATATGTATCTACCTATCCTGTATACTGCGAGCATTGCAGCATTCAAGACATACCAAAAATATATATCGATTTAGGGTCATGTTTAAAGTATATCACTCATACGCAGTGTTGCCTTTAATAAAAAAGTTCTTTTTATTAAGGTGCCTTAGATTTCAATCAGACATTTGTTTTTTTGCTTTCCTCTTTATAAAACCCACTATAGACAAGTTTAGGAAAGAAAGATCGATTTTTTCCAACTAATTTGTAACTGTCATTCATGTCGTATGAGTAATTTTTAAAGGAAACTTTAAGACTATTTCATAAATCTAAAAAAAAGATTTTTTTTCGTCACTTTTCGAACTCATCTGTCAGACGCCAAAATCCACAATATTAAAGGGTGAAAATAGAATTATATTTCTTAGACCACCCACACATCTATTGGCATAAATGGATAAAATATGATAATGATCTTGACTTGGAACCATTTAGTTTAATTAAATTATAGTTTAATGGATTTTTAATGTTATTTAAAAAATCAAAAAAATACAAAATACATAGTTAACTATTATTATAATAATAATAAATTATCTTTAAATCCAGTAGTGAAGGATTATTTCTTTACCCTTTTATGAAGGACTTGTAAAACTAAAGCATCAATAATTCGTTTTTAGGTAGCAAAGTTCCCGATTCGAAGAAGAAGGCCGCCCCCTCGTACTCCTTTGGCCACAAGCTGGGCGGGAAGTACGACACCTCTGGACCGGGACCGGCTCAATACAATGTGACCGGGATGCGGGCCAAGGGTCGGGATTATCCCCGAGCGGCCACGCTGCAGAGTAGGCCCAAGGAACTGACCCGCTTCTCGAATCCCGGACCCGGGGAATACGACGTGGTGCCGGCGGCCAAGGCCGTGATCGATGCCACGCCCAAGTATACCTTTGGCCAGCGACCGGCCACTCTGAAGACCTTTCAGATTCCAGGTGAGTCTCAGACTTCTTCTTGTTCCTGGTGTTTGAATGGTGTTTTGGACTCGGATGTTTTGGAGTTGGATTTTGAAGTTGAATTTGAATTTGGCGTTGAATTCGGTGTGTGTTTCGGGTTGCTGTTGTTGTTGCATGCGCGGACTAAGGAAATCATCAATCAATCATGGAGCCTCATTGTACATAGAAGCGAACTCATTAACTAATCCGAACCCATGCCAGTTGAATCTTCCTGCAAGCAGCGCGTAAGTTGCTAACGCCCCTCTTCTTCCACTTTCTCCCACTTTCTATCTATATCTCCGTAGCTAGTGTAGTTGTAGCCACTTTCTCTCGTACTCTTCTCCTGTATCTTTGACTTTGTATCTTTGGATCTCCCTTAGAATCGATCGTAGTTGCAACACTCTGTAATGTGCGTGAATGTTTTTGCTTATTTTATTTTTTTTCCCCAAAATATTCTTTAGAGTTGGAATCGAAAATTAAATATAACATATATTAATATTAACTGAATCGTTATTATATACCTCATATAAGAAATATATCAATTGTATATATTTTTGGGATATAAACTTTCTAGAAATTTCTATCGTTATTCTTTATGCCCTATTTAAAACTGATTTATTGGATCTTTTTTAATTTCCTTCTTTAAACTTTCTTTATTTTCCTTATAAAGATTTAAAATTACGTGGGTGTAATTGGCGATGTCTTTTACTATGTTTATACGATAGCAATCACGATTTCTTGAAAGCGCGATATAGAAATTGCCCCTGTTTATACGACAGCCGAGAATTCATGCTTTTATTCACTCTCAGCTGATAGGGATGCCGGACCGGTAAAAATATCTAATTTATAATACCACTGGGTAGAGAAATGGCCTATAAAAAGCCATCAATTTCTAGCGATCTGGCAACGTCGATCATTTTTTACAGAGTTACCAGATTACTTATCACCAAATCACGCTTTTGGGCTGAAATCATAGTCAAATTTCGTGTGTTGCCGAATTCACGAAATGGCGTTTATACAAGCACGAATCGGCCAAAAGCGTGAAATGATAGCGTGAATTCGGCATCGTATAAACACAGTATTTATTAAACTTCCCACTTTGTTTCTGAGTAAATACATCTCAGCTTAAGGTGATTCATACAAGTTGATACCAATACCTCCGTTACCAAATTAGAATAAAAACGGAAACGGGAAATATTCTTTTTGTGATTGGTTTAATTCCAATTCTAATTTACCATTTCCTCTATTTTTAGCTTCCCTCTACCACACAGTGTTCTTTGTATATGTGTTAAATGTTTCAGTAATTTTGTGTGGGTTCTTTGTTTTCTGTTGCCTGATTTGATTTTAATTTGAAATGTTTTTCTCTTTTAATGAATGATTGCCATGGCAAAATCGAAACTCAGGTCCCAACCATTATCAAGTGGTGCCACTTGATGTCGTCAAGCGGCGAGCCCCACGATACTCCTTTCGCATTAAGGTTAACGTGTATTTGGTTAACAATCCAGGTAACCCAACTAACTGACTGTCTGTCGCCGTTGCGTTTTGGTGTTGGTCTAGCTCCGCTCCCTAATTACTAATTTCTAGCCCAATTCAATCCCACCTCATCACTAATTCCCGAACTAATAACTCTATCTATATCTATCTAATCGTAATTTCACCCACTTAGTCGTAGCCCACCTAGTGTAGACCTCTAGTTATACCCGTTACTCGTAGAGTAAAAGGGTATACTAGATTCGTGCAAAAGTATGTAACAGCTAGAAGGAAGCGTTTCCGACCCCATAAAGTATATATATTCTTGATCAGGGTCACTAGCCGAGTCGATCTAGCCATGTCCGTCTGTCCGTCTGTCTGTCTGTCCGTCTGTCCGTCTGTCCGTCTGTCCGTCTGTATGAACGCTGAGATCTCAGAAACTACAAAAGCTAGAAGGTTGAGATTTCCCACACATATTCTTTGGCTTCCTACGCAGCGCAAGTTTATTTTAGCCGAGCGCCACGCCCCCTCTAACGCCCACAATCGCCCACTAACGATTTTCAAATGGGTCCTGCGCCCACATCTTTAAAGATTTCCGAGAAGTATAAATGCAATTTTGTTGTGTATATTTATACCTATCGAAATGTAGAAGACATTTTTCAAATCGGACCATTCATTAAAAAGTTATACGATTTATAAATTGTCAACATATATCTATCTCCCTCGCACTCCCTTTAGCTGAGTTACGATTATTAGTCGGGACACCAACCCGACACAGCGTTCGCACTCCCTTTAGCGGAGTGACGGGTATTAGATAGTCGGGACACCAACCCGACTATAGCGTTCTCTCTTGTTTTTGATTCGAGTAGACTAAAACAATGGCCGTACCAATTTTTATGTTTTATTAACACTAACAGCTCCGAATAGCTATTGCCCTGAAAAGGTCACGCAATCAAAAAAGAATGCGCCACGCTACACTTTCGGTAGACGAACTAAAATCGAACACGATCAGGGCACACCAGGTAATATTCCAGAAAAAACCCCCTAATTCCCCCAAAAACCGTAACTGTAACTGTAACTGTATCTGTTTGCTATCCCCAATCGAGGCACCACTTGCTCAAGCGATCCCAATTGGACAGTATCTATAGAATTGTTGCGCTTCCCGTTTAGAAAGCCCCCGAATTCCCTGGAAACTTAATTCTGATATCCTTCCCATCCGCAGCTCCTGGCGCCTATTGTCCCGAAAAGGTGAAGCTCAACAAGACGCCGGAGTTCAGTTTTGGCATCAAGCACCACGAACAGAAACCAGATTACACGCCAGGTTGGATATAATATTTATAGTTTAATATATTTTAAGTAGCCGCTTTATGCTTACACTACTTTTGCACTTTCTATCAGCGCCGGGAACTTATAAACCCGAGCAGGTTGTCCTTGAACACATTCCCGCCTACAGCTTTGGCCTGAAAACCAAACACATCCAGGTCAGCGACACTCCAGGTAAGGATAGCTTGGCAAATGGATAGTTAGTTGGCTTTAAGAACACTCTTTTATTTGATTACCAGCACCCGGTGCCTACAGCCCCGAAAAATCGCGACTACACTCTACACCCGCTTACTCAATCACCGGAAAGGGCTCTCATGATGTTGTCGATTGTACACCAGGTGAGTTATTTGTACCATAGTTGGTGAAATATTTATTACCCAGAAAGTAGAATCCTGTACTCCCTATCAAACATTTTAAAAGAAATGGGCAAGCATCGTGTTGTATTTAAAACCATATTTTAAATTTTAGATTTGACGTTTATACGTTTTCTTATATTTTTTAAGCCTTTAAACTATTTTAAAAATGTCATTAAAAATTTAATTTTTAAAATTTTTTTAAACTTTTTTTTATTTTATTGATGTAATATCCTAGCTCTGCAAGCGTAAGCTTATTATTATTGCGCCAGTCACTTTGACAAAAAATTGCTTATTACATTTAGATTTAATACTTAAAAGCTAACTATTTTCAAAATCATTAAATGACAGAACTATTAAATATTTAATTTTTATATACTATAGGAGACCTTTTTTTTTGATTATTCTATTTGTTTTTTTTTACATTTTAATGATTTTAACCTAATATTACTTATTTCTACTTTTATTGTGCTTTTATAAATTACTTAATTTTTATAGAAAAATTGTTTTTATGTTCATAGAAAGTTTATAGAGGTCACGAGTAGTTTTAGCGAGCATTCCACCTACAACTTTCACACTCTTTCACACCCACTCTATTGCAGCCCCCGGAGCATACGAACCCGAGAAGTGCGTGTTGAGCAGGACGCCGGCCTACAGCTTTGGCCACCGCGTGGAGCTCGCCAAATGCAATGAGACGCCCGCGCCGGGCACCTACAATCCCGAGAAGGTGCGGATGGACCACACGCCCGCCTTCACCCTCTCCGGTCGCCCCGAAACGAGGTCCGTCAGCGAGACCCCGGCGCCCGGTTCGTATGCCCCGGAAAAGTACCGCAACGACCGAACGCCGGCCTTCACCTTCGGCGGTAAGCACGAGCAGCGGCTCGACAGCTCCACTCCGGCACCGGGCGACTACTGTCCCGAAAAAGTCCGCCACGATCACAACCCCGCTTTCTCATTCGCCGGCCGCCATGATTTGCACAAGACCAGCGACACGCCAGCACCCGGAGCCTACGAAACGGAGAAAGTCCGCCAGGATCACAATCCCGCCTTCTCCTTCGCCGGTCGCCATGATCTGCACAAGCCCAGTGAAACACCCGCCCCGTGGGCCTACTCCCCCGAGAAAGTTCGGCAAGATCATAACCCAGCCTTTTCCATGGCGGGAAAACATATCGAAAAGCTCACAAATGGAACACCAGCTCCGGGTGACTACTGTCCAGAGAAGGTTCGGTTAGATCACACTCCCGCTTATTCTTTTGGAAGTAAGAACGATCCTAAAATAGAAAACAATACCCCAGCTCCAGGAGATTATCATCCAGAGAAAGTTAGGCAAGATCACAATCCAGCGTTCACTTTTGCTGGCCGTCACGATCTTCACAAACCAAGTGAAACTCCCGCCCCGGGGGCCTACTCCCCCGAGAAAGTTCGTCATGATCATAACCCAGCCTTTTCCATGGCGGGAAAACATATCGAAAAGCTCACAAATGGAACACCAGCTCCGGGTGACTACTGCCCTGAGAAGGTTCGCTTAGATCACACACCTGCTTATAGTTTCGGAGTTAAGAATGACTTAAAGATAGAGAACAATACCCCTGCTCCAGGAGATTATCATCCGGAAAAGGTTAGGCAGGACCACAATCCCGCTTTCTCGTTTGCAGGTCGCTATGACCTTCAAAAACCAAGTGATACTCCTGCTCCAGGAGCGTACTCTCCAGAGAAAGTTCGCCAAGACCATAATCCTGCTTTCTCAATGGCTGGAAAGCATATTGAGAAGCTCACAAATGGAACACCAGCTCCAGGTGACTACTGTCCAGAGAAGGTTAGATTAGATCACACACCTGCATATTCTTTTGGAAGTAAGAATGATCCCAAAATAGAAAACAATACCCCAGCTCCTGGTGATTATCACCCTGAGAAGGTTAGACAAGATCATAACCCAGCCTTTTCCTTTGCCGGTCGTTACGATCTCCAAAAACCAAGTGATACTCCTGCTCCAGGAGCTTACTCTCCAGAGAAAGTTCGCCAAGATCACAATCCTGCTTTTTCAATGGCGGGAAAACATATTGAAAAGCTTACAAATGGAACTCCTGCCCCTGGAGACTACTGTCCCGAAAAGGTTAGGTTAGATCACACTCCTGCCTATTCTTTTGGAACTAAGAATGATCCCAAAGTAGAGAACAATACCCCTGCTCCAGGTGACTATCATCCGGAGAAGGTAAGGCAGGACCACAATCCAGCTTTCTCGTTTGCAGGTCGCTATGATCTTCAAAAACCAAGTGATACTCCTGCTCCAGGAGCTTACTCTCCAGAGAAAGTTCGTCAGGATCATAACCCAGCCTTCTCAATGGCTGGCAAACACATTGAAAAGCTTACAAATGGAACACCAGCTCCTGGTGACTACTGTCCAGAGAAGGTTCGGTTAGATCACACTCCCGCTTATTCTTTTGGAAGTAAGAACGATCCTAAAGTAGAAAACAATACCCCAGCTCCTGGTGATTATCACCCTGAGAAGGTTAGACAAGATCATAACCCAGCCTTTTCTTTTGCCGGTCGCTATGACCTCCAAAAACCAAGTGATACTCCTGCCCCGGGAGCCTACTGCCCGGAGAAAGTTCGCCAGGATCACAATCCAGCTTTCTCAATGGCCGGGAAACACACTCAAAAGATCTCGAACGACAGCCCAGCTCCTGGCGACTACAGTCCGGAGAAGGTTCGTCTGGATCACACACCTGCCTACACTTTCGGTGGAAAGAACGATCCCAAAGTGGAAAACAATACCCCGGCTCCGGGTGATTATCATCCCGAGAAAGTTAGGCAAGATCACAATCCAGCCTTCACTTTCGCTGGCCGTCACGATCTTCACAAACCTAGTGATACCCCCGCTCCTGGAGCCTATTCTCCGGAAAAAGTCCGACAAGATCATAACCCCGCCTTCACGATGGCTGGCAAGCATGTCTCTAAGGTTTCCAATGATACTCCTGCCCCTGGTGATTATTCTCCAGAGAAGGTTCGCCTAGACCACACACCCTCCTATACGTTTGCTGGTAAAAATGATCCCAAAATAGAAAACAATACCCCTGCCCCTGGTGATTATCACCCCGAGAAGGTTAGACAAGATCACAACCCTGCCTTTTCCTTCGCGGGTCGTCATGACCTCCATAAGCCTAGTGAGACCCCAGCTCCGGGGGCCTACTCCCCCGAGAAAACTCGGCAGGATCATAACCCAGCCTTCTCAATGGCCGGAAGACATATTGAGAAGCTCACAAATGGCACTCCAGCTCCTGGTGACTACTGTCCCGAGAAGGTTCGCTTGGATCACACTCCAGCCTATAGCTTTGGGGTCAAAAACGATCCGAAGGTGGAGAACAACACTCCAGCACCTGGTGATTACCACCCAGAGAAGGTTAGGCAGGATCATGTTCCCGCCTTCACCTTTGCCGGCCGTCATGACCTCCAAAAGCCGAGTGATACTCCAGCTCCAGGAGCTTACTCTCCAGAGAAAGTTCGCCAAGATCACAATCCCGCTTTCACAATGGCTGGAAAACATATTGAAAAGATCACAAATGGCACACCAGCTCCTGGTGACTACTGTCCCGAAAAGGTTAGGTTAGATCACACTCCCGCCTATTCTTTTGGAAGTAAGAACGATCCCAAAGTAGAGAACAATACCCCTGCTCCAGGTGACTATCACCCCGAGAAGCTTAGGCAGGACTTCAATCCGGCATTCACCATCGCCGGCAGGCATGAATTGCGAACCCTTAGCGAATCCCCGGCTCCCGGGGACTACAGCCCCGAGAAGGTGCGACAGGACCGAGCACCTGCATTCAGCTTTGGCGGCAAGCACGACCCCAAGGCGGAGCACCTTCATCCCGCGCCCTGCGACTACGCCCCCGAGAGAGTTCGCCTCGACCATACACCCGCCTACACAATTGCAGGTCGTCCGGCCGCCGAGCCCGTGAGCCAGACCCCAGCTCCCTGCGACTACCATCCGGAGCAGTGCCAGGTGGACAGCACGCCGGCGTTCACCTTTGGCATGCGACTCGGGAGGGAGCGCATCTCGGACACGCCAGGCAAGTTAGATCTCCTTGGAGGATTTCTGAGGAACTGCATCAAAGAGGCACTTTAACGAACAGTAGTACCATTGCAGCACCCTCCGCTTATGAACCGGAGAAGCACTCACAGCACTCCACCATCGCCTACAGCTTCGGCACCAAGTCGGATATCCGCGTGACCACCGATGCCCCAGGTAAATAGTGGCTTTCTCAGGGATTTGCTATTACTATGTTTATACGATGGGAATCACGATTTCTTGAAAGCGCGATTTAGAAATAGTCCCTGTTTATACGACAGCCGAGAATTCGTGCATTTATTCACTCTCTGCTGATAGGGAAGCCGAACCGGTAAAAATAGGTGGTTATTTTTAACTTTTAATACCTCTAAGTAGAGAAATAGCCTATAAAGGACCTTCAATTTCTAACGATCTGGCGAATCGGCTGAAAGCGTGAATTCGACATCGTATAAACACAGTATATTATGATATCCATGTTTTGTGTTGCATGTTGCTGTGTTGCCTGTTGTGTGTATTGCATGTTTCCTATCCACTATTTAGCCCCCGGTCACTATCATCCCGAGCAGTGCAAGCTGGACAGCTCGCCAGCCTACAGTTTTGGGTTGAAGACAGTGCCCACTGCTTCGCTTTCAGGTAGGTGAACCACCCACTTTCGCTTCTCTGGTTTCCGGATCCATACGATCTCCGTTTCTTTCCGTTTGTTATCTTTTGTTCCATGTTTTTGTTCGCACACATTGCTTGGTTTTCTGGCCATGATCTCTCATCCGTTTCGAAACCCTGTAAATACTCACCAATCACTAGAACCCAAAGGCGTGTACATCGAAGATCGCATTGTCCAAAGACGCGAACGCCGTCTGGCGAGTCCAGGTAAGAATCGCCAAGATCACCCATCCATTTGCTTGTTGGTTTACCTTTAAAAAGTGTTTCAAGTGTTAGTCCTATTACGATTAGGGTAAAGTTTTAAAATACCTTGGTTATTATAATTATCATGGTAGGCTGTGTGATGAATTGTTAATTCTCTGCAATTCGATTGGCAACTTTGAGAGGCATCAGTCTGTGTAGTAAACCACCATGAAGTTATTACTAAGGTTGATAATATTCGCTTTTCTCTGGCTTCTTGTACTCGGTGCCAAGCGCAGGGGTAAGCTAAATCCTAGGTAATCAGTTTACCCAAGCCAACTTGCGATCTTCCAGCCCGGAATGACAATTGTCTGGTGAAGCACAAGATGATTGCTTGTAGAGGACCATATCGATCGTATTATACCTTTTCACTAATGCTCCTCGATTGCTATCAGGTACCCAAACTCTCGTACAAAAATCGTAATCTTTGAAGAGTTACACTTTTTAAGGTATACACCAGGTGTAGAAAGGTAAACAGGAGAAACGAGTACCACACGGAACAGTCGTGCCGAGATGACTGCCACTTCTTTAGGCAACCCCTGAAATTGAAACCAGGGAAAAACAGTTGGTCTATCAAAGAAGTTCCAGTCAATCCAGTGGGTCCTGAAGTTACGAAGAGAACAACCACGGAAAGTACGGCGGCACCTAAGGAAGAATTAGATCCATTAACAACAGCAGAAGATTAGATTGGAAAACTTTGTTTGAGACAAATGTTTAAAACATTGGCTCAATGTTGATGCCAACAAAGTCTCTCTGAAAACATATAAAATCCTTATAAAAAGAGGTCAACATTTTGTGTAATTGTTCTTTTTTGATGCAATTTTCATACAGTGTCATAAAAACTATTTTTAATATCTAGAAGTCACATTTTATGTGACCCGTTATAATTATCACATTTGAAAGGAATAAGTTACAGTTGCTACTGCGATATTAATTTTAAAATTGCTTTGTTTAATCAGATTTGTCTGAATATAAATACCAATAGAATTATTATCTTTTGGTAGAATTTGAAACATTTTAAAACCTATAAACACTTAAAACGCTTTCCTTGCTATGTAAAATAAATAGAGCTTTTTGTAAAGACTCCATTGCATAGCCTCATTTGTTAGTTAATTTTCTGTCATTATTATTTTATTATTATTTTTTGCAAAAATACTTCCACTCAGTTCGCAACAATGCCGAATGCACCATCACAACCACCAATAACACCAACAATGCTGCTGGCAGCAGCACCACCACTACAACCACCACCACCACCACCACAAAGACATTTATCGATGGAGTGGAGCAGCCGGAGTTGCAGCAAAAGCAAACCACCAAGCAGGTGAATGGCACCCACAAAGAGCTTAAGTCTGCACCACCAGCACCACTTAGTAATGGTAATGCCAAGATGATCAGCACCACCACCACGGTGCAGGAGGTGAGCCACGGCCAGAAGGAGATTGGCAATCTGAAGGTGGTGGCCAGCGGTAAGTCGGATGCCAGTGCCACCAAGGCGGCGGCCGTGAGCCACCAGACGGTGGTGCTTCCCGATGGCGCCATCGTGACCAGTGGCCAGTCGTCGAGGATGCAGACGGTCAAGTACGCTGTGGAGGCCAGCAGCGTGCAGGAGAAGATTATCAGGTAACCGGAGAGATTTCAGACAGTGAACGTTACAAAGAGTAAAAAGATATCGATCCTTTAAAGTTCCTGGATAGTGAAATTATTTTTGAAATAAAATGGAATTTATTACTCATACTCACTGTTGCCTTCAGTAATACATTTAATTTCATATCAAATAATCTGAATTGAAAATAACGATAAGAAATAATTATAAACCGATTGCTAAGCAGAACTTTGATTGCATTACCTATTTCGGAGAAAACAATTTAATACATTTTATCAGTCATTCTAGGAAGTACCTGTCGTATGAGTAATATGTGAAGTGAATAAAAAGTATATAATTTTTAAAATCAAACAAAAACTCTGTGGAATTTTGAATAAATCAAAATTAACCATGTATTTTATCTTAAAATCAATATAATCGTTTACTCTTTCAAACGTTTACCGTTCTTAGTACTCTCATTTCCTTGGTGTCCGCTGTTTCCGTTTCCGTTTCGTGTGTTTATTTGCAGGCACCCGTCATGTCAAGATCACCCAAACCAACCCGAAACTAACCCGAACCATTCAAGCACCAGCCCAAGAGACCAGCCATTGAATTAACCCCCGACTAACCCCTTGATTAACTTTGAAATTACATCGATTTTCCCCCCCGATCTTTGACAGCTCCTAACGTCTACAAAATACCCACCGTCATGGGCAGCAGCAAGGAGGGCAAGATTCGCTCGGCTCCAGCCTACACGATCACGGGTCGCGAGAAGCCTCCGTTGATCCCGGTGATGATCTTCCCCGGACCCGGTTACTACGACGGCGAGTACACGGTGGTCAAGCCAAAGCCGCCGGTCTACTCGATGCGCGGCAAATACAAGATGGGCAGCGAGGACGCCAAGCCCGGACCCGGAGCCCACTGTCCGGAGAAGGTAAGTCTGGAGGGAACCTTCTTATATATATTCCTTAAAGATATATTTAGGTTTAAAAAGTCTCTTATTAATATTTTCATAAAGCAAACTTTATTAAGATCTGATTAAAAGGGAGAAGAATTAATATATTTAGCCCAAAGATGAAAAGATTTATATATCGATCAATATATCTATCGATCGATACAACTATCGATCGTTTTAGCAACCCTACTTATTCGATGACAAAGATCTTAATACCAATACCCAATTCACCCACAGTACTGGGAAAGGAAATATAGAAAAGAATTTATATATTTAGCCTAAAGATGAAAAGATTTATATATCGATCGATAGCTATATCGATATCGATCGTTTTAGCAACCCTACTTATTCGATGACATAGATTTTACTACCACTATCCAATTCACCCACAGTACTGGGAAAAGAAATATAGAAAAGAATTTATATATTTAGCCTAAAGATGAAAAGATTTATATATCGATCGATAGCTATATCGATATCGATCGTTTTAGCAACCCTACTTATTCGATGACATAGATTTTACTACCACTATCCAATTCACCCACAGTACTGGGAAAAGAAATATAGAAAAGAATTTATATATTTAGCCTAAAGATGAAAAGATTTATATATCGATCGATATAACTATCGATCGTTTTAGCAACCCTACTTTTTCGATGACATAGATTTTACTACCGCTACCCAATTCACCCACAGTACTGGGAGAAGCGTTCGCCTCCGGCCATATCCTTTGGCATCCTGCACTCGCCTTATATCAAGAAACCCCTGCCAGTCACGGTTCCGCAACGGTGTGTTCGCTTTTTGTTGGAGAATCGGGCGGACAAGCCGTTCGACAATATTTGATGATTAAATACCATAAATCAGCGCAGTACTAAGATCTGTTTTACTTCTTTATTTTCCCTATATTTTTACCAACAGATAAACCTCTCCCATGTGCCCGCCTACAGCTTTGGGATCAAGCACTCGCAGTATCTGGGTCGCCTCAACGAGAAGAACTCAGAGTTTGACTATAGCTTTTCCGGAATCTGCTGAGGACGTAGCGCCCCTACTGAACTCCTCACTCTGCCCAAGACGGTCTTCGATGAACAGCTTCCTTACCTTAACTACACTACCTTCGCTACTCGTATCGGACTAACCTTAAGTTTTAAATGTTTCTGAAATCTATTTGTAAGCCGAAAGTGTTGTGGAATGTTACAATTGTATACACTGATATATAAAGAGATATTACTAATACAGCCACGATGTTTTTATTAAGTATTAATATATATCAACAGCTATTTCTGTATTTAAAATTATAATTTTCATGCTTAAATTATTTAAATTTCTAAATTTTCCGCAAGTTGGCTGTCAACTTAGTCTGAATCCATCTGATGACCCGTCATGAAGTTGGTTCTTTTTTTGACGGCTGTTGCCGTCAGTTGGGTTCTTATAGAGAGTAGAAAGCGCAGAAGTAAGATTTAAGAATATTATCGGTGATCCATTGGTGATCAATTCTCTCAATTTCCAATCCTCCAGCGAGGAACAGCAGCTGCCTGGTGAACAACAAGTACATGCACGAACGATCTTGTAAGGGACCACGTCGAGTCTATTATTCCTTCCATCGAGTTATATTCGATTGCATACAGGTACCCATTTCCCAGGAACAAATCATGAGCATTATCCTTGGAACTTTTGGCTTTTTTAGGTGACCACCAAATGTCGAAGGATTTACAGGAGAAACGAGTACAAAACTCTTGAAATGTGCAGAGATGACTGTCACTTCCACATGAGTTTCCCCTATGCACCACCAATCGGAAAACAAACCACTGCCGCAGCTGCAGAGGGAGAAACCACGGAAGAAGGAGGAGGAGGAGGAGGCGGAGGAGGAGAAGGAGGAGGAGAAGGAGGTGGAGAAAGAAAAGGAGAAGAAGGAGGAGACACCACGCCTGCAGCAAGGACTCTGAGAAAAGAGGAGAAGCCAAACCTTCTGAAGCACCACCAACGGAGCAAAAGAAGAAAGCAAAGCACTTAAACATTAACAACACATTTTCATTTGTTAATTTGGAATTAGCAATATGTTGAATAGACTACTTATACACAGCGAAAAAAATCAAGAGAAAATGAATTAGTTATAAACTCAAGTTCCGAGCCTAAATCATTTTTAGCACACTTTTATAAAATGTTGTATAACTCAATCCGACTGAACCGATTAAATTATGCAACTCCTTAGCGAATCTAATTTGATTAGGAAACAGAGTATATATAAACTCGCTAGTCTGTAATCCCATCTTAGTTCTGACAGCGTACCAAATGAAGTATCTATGTAAGTAGTAAAAATAATTTTCCAGTAAAAACTCAAGTATTCTCGCATAGGTCTGATTTTGTTGGCCACGTCAGTGACTGGTCGATTCACTGATGATTTATACCAGTATTTGGCTAAGGATAATGCAAACGAGAACATTATTTCTTCGCCCCTTTCCGTGGAAATTGCCATGAGCCTGGCCTACATGGGAGCTGGGGGCAAAACAGCCCAGGAAATGAGGAATGTTTTGAAATTACCAGCGGACAAAAAAGAAGTGGCACGTAAATACAAGAATTTTTTGACAAATCTCAAACGACGCGAGAAGGTGGCAATCCTTGATTTGGCCAACCGCATTTACGTAAACGATCGCTACTCGCTAGTTCCGGAGTTCAATCAGGTGGTTAGAGATTCCTTTAAGGCCGAAGCCGAGGCCATCAGCTTAAAGGACACAACAAAAGCGGTTTCGATCATCAACAATTGGGTGAAAGATCAGACGCACGACAGGATCAAAAGCATAGTTAAGAAAGAAGATTTGAGCAATAATTTTATAATGGTTCTCTTGAATGCAATTTACTTCAAAGGCCAGTGGCAGTACCAGTTCGATTCTAGCAATACCAAGAAGGCCGATTTTCGAACTGCTGACAAAAAAATCGGTTCTGTCCAGATGATGTCACTTTCGGGCTCATTTAGAGCGAATTATATACCCGAATTAGATGCCAAAGTAATCGAGCTTCCTTACCGCAATTCAAGCCTGTCCATGGTCATCTTTTTGCCAGAAAAAGTCGATGGCCTGCCAGAATTGGAGAAAAAGATCGCAGGTTTCTCCGGGTATCTGCGAAGACATAATGTGAATTTGAAGCTGCCAAAGTTCAAAATCGAATTTTCAACCCTTCTAAAAGATATTCTTATAAAGGTGGGTATTTTAATTTGTATAGGGTTACCTTTATAGCTTGTATTTTTAGATGGGCATAGTAGATGCATTCACTCAGGGAGCGGATTTAAGTGGTCTAGTAAAAGCAGAAGCCAAAATCAGCAAAGTCATACAAAAGGCTTTCATCGAGGTTAACGAAGAGGGTGCTGAGGCAGCAGCTGCTACAGGTATATTTTATTATTTTTTGTCTAGTTCGCATGTTTAACTAAAGTGCGATTGGTACTTTAAAAACGTATTGAAATGTGGACCTTAATAAGTCACTTTTAGTTTAACATGCGGACCAGAAATAAGGCTAAGTGGTTTAATTTTTTCTCACAACATTCTATTTCAACACAGCTGTAGGGGTGTCTTTCACCTGTGAACGTTGTAGGCCCCCGCCTTCCATGGAGTTCAATGCAGATCATCCGTTTGCATACGTCATTCGCGATGAGAAGACCATTTACTTCCAGGGGCACTTCGTAAAGCCTAAACAATAAAGTTCCCGTCTAAAATCATGCCCACAATTAAAATCAAATTCAAATGTTATCAAAATTCAGTGATACATAAGTGGTAAATAAAGCGTGGTGGTAAGAGTACCTGAACTATAGGATACCCCTTAGTCTTTTGCTTAGTTTATCAATAAATAAACCTTTCTGCCACATTTGACATTTAAGGGTTTTTTCAAGGTAGTTCCTTGTAAAGGGATAAAATATATCCCTTTAAAAGGGATATATTCATAGGTTAAGTTTAGGGTTCGTTTAAGCTTCGGTTAGGGTTTGGTTTCATTTTGGACTTGCAAGGGCCCTCTTTCTAAGGGTCCACGTCGATTCTATTATACCTTCAATCGAGTGCTATTCGATTGCATACAGGTAGCCATTTCCCAAGAATCGATGATATCCTTTACCCGACCAACTATCGGTGACCACCAATGTCGGCAGATTTACAAGAGAACCGAGTTCAAAAGCTAGATTTAGTTTTTCCACAAGCAATTGTTTTCTCAGTTCGATAGAAATATATACTTTTACTTTTATTATGGTACAGAGATTATGATGATCCCTTTATCTTACTTAGTATGTATTTTTATCAAATTCCTTGTACCTTAGCTAGGTATGTACCAACGAGTAGTAACTTTCCTGACATAGCTAATCCTTTGAACAAAATAGTGTGAATAAAGGTATGCGACCAAACCGATTAAATTATACAACTCCTTAGCGAATCTAATTTGATTAGGAAACACAGTATATATAAACTCGCTAGTCTGTAATCCCATCTAAGTTTTGACAGCGTACCAAATGAAGTATCTATGTAAGTAGAAAAAATAATTGTCCATTAAAAACTCAAGAATTCTCGCATAGGTCTAATTTTGCTGGCCACGTCAGTAACTTGTCGATTCACTGATGATTTATACCAACATTTGGCTAAGGATAATGCAAACAAGAACCTTATTTCTTCGCCCCTTTCCGTGGAAATTGCCATGAGCCTGGCCTACATGGGAGCTGTGGGCAAGACAGCCCAGGAAATGAGGGACGTTATGAAACTGCCCGCGGACAAAAAGGAAGTGGCACGTAAATACAAGAATTTTTTGACAAATCTCGAACGACGCGAAAAGGTGGCAATCCTTGATTTGGCCAACCGCATTTACGTAAACGATCGCTACTCGCTAGTTCCCGAGTTCAATCAGGTGGTTAGAGAATCCTTTAAGGCCGAAGCGGAGGCCATCAGCCTAAAGGAGACATCAAAAGCGGTTTCGATCATCAACAAGTGGGTAAAAGATCAGACACGCGACAGGATCAAAAGCATAGTTAAGAAAGATGATTTGAGAAATAATTTTATAATGGCTCTCTTAAATGCGATTTACTTCAAAGGCCAGTGGCAGTACCAATTCAATACTGCCAATACCAAGAAGGCCGACTTTCGAACAGCTGACAAAAAACTCGTTCCTGTCCAGATGATGTCACTTTTAGGCACATTTAGAGCGAATTATGTACCCGAATTAGATGCCAAAGTAATCGAGCTTCCTTACCGCAATTCAAGCCTGTCCATGGTCATCTTTTTGCCGGAAAAAGTCGATGGTCTGCCAGAATTGGAGAAAAAGATCGCAGGTTTCTCCGGGTATCTGCGAAGTCAGAATGTGATTTTGAAGCTGCCAAAGTTCAAAATCGAATTTTCAACCCTTCTAAAAGATATTCTTATGAAGGTGGGTATCTTAATTTGTATAGGGTTACCTTTATAGCTTGTATTTTTAGATGGGCATAGTAGATGCATTCACTAAAAATGCGGATTTTAGTGGTCTAGTACAAGCACAAGCCGAAATCAGCAAAGTCATTCACAAGGCTTTCATCGAGGTTAACGAAGAAGGTGCTGAGGCAGCAGCTGCTACAGGTATTTTTTATTATTTTTTGTCTAGTTCGCATGTTTAACTAAAAGCGCGCTTAGTACTTTAAAAACGTATTGAAATTTGGACCTTAAAAAGTCACTTTTAGTTTAACATGCGGACGAGAAATGAGGCTTAGTGGTTTAATTTTTTTCTAACAACATTCTATTTCAACACAGCTGTAGTGATATCTTATACCTGCGCAAGTTGTACGCCCCCGCCTCCCATGGAGTTCAATGCAGATCATCCTTTTGCATACGTCATTCGCGATGAGAAGACCACTTACTTCCAGGGGCACTTCGTAAAGCCTGAACAATAAAGTTCCCGTATAAAATCACGCCCACAATTACAATCAAATTCAAGTGTTATCAAAATTCAGTAATACATAAGTGGTAAATAAAGCGTGTTGGTAAGAGTACCTGAACTATCGGATACCCCTTAGTCTTTTGCTTAGTTTATTAATAAATAAACCTTTCTGCCACATGTGACATTTAAGGTTTTTTCAAGGCAGTTACTTGTAGCCATTTTAAAAGGGATATATCCATAGGTTAAGGTTAGGGTTCGTTTAAGCTTCGGTTAGGGCTTGGTTACATTTCTGACTTGTAAGGGCCCCCATTCCAAGGGGCCACATCGTCTACTATACCTTCCATCGAGTGCTATTCGATGGCAAGAACCGATTATGCCCATTATCCGACCAACTTTCGGCTATTAAAGGTGACTACCAATGTCGGCAGATTTACAAGAGAACCGAGTTCAAAAGCTAGATTTAGTTTTCCCACAAACAATTGTTTTCTTAGTTCGATAGAAATATTTACTTTTACCTATATCTTGGTACTGAGATCATGATGACCCCTTTATCTTACTTAGTATTTATTTTTACCAAGTTCCTTGAACCTTAGCTAGGTATGTACCAACGAGTAGTAACTTTCCTAACATAGCTAATCCTTTGAACAAAATAGTGTGAATAAAGGTATGCGACCAAACCGATTAAATTATACAACTCCTTAGCGAATCTAATTTGATTAGGAAACAGAGTATATATAAACTCGCTAGTCTGTAATCCCATCTAAGTTTTGACAGCGTACCAAATGAAGTATCTATGTAAGTAGAAAAAATAATTTTCCATTAAAAACTCAAGAATTCTTGCATAGGTCTGATTTTGTTGGCCACGTCAGTGACTTGTCGATTCACTGATGATTTATACCAGCTTTTGGCAAAGGAGAATGCAAACGAGAACCTTATTTCTTCGCCCCTTTCCGTGGAAATTGCCATGGGCTTGGCCTACATGGGAGCTGAGGGAAAGACGGCCCAGGAAATCAGGAATGTTTTGAAACTGCCCACGGACAAAAAAGAAGTGGCACGTAAATATAAGGACTTTCTGACAAATCTCGAAGGACGCGAGAAGGTGGCCATCCTTGATCTGGCCAACCGCATTTACGTAAACGATAAATACACCTTAGTTCCGGAGTTCAATCAGGTGGTTAGGGATTCCTTTAAAGCCGAAGCCGAGGCTATCAGCGTAAAGGATCGCAAAAAAGCGGCTTCGATCATCAATAAGTGGGTGAAGAAACAGACTCGCGACAGGATCAAAAACATAGTTGAGGAAGAAGATATAACCAATGATCTTATTGCTGTTCTCTTGAATGCAATTTACTTCAAAGGCCAGTGGCAGTACCAGTTCGATTCTAGCAATACCAAGAAGGCCGATTTTCGAACTGCTGACAAAAAAATCGGCTCTGTCCAGATGATGTCACTTTCGGGCTCATTTAGAGCGAATTATATACCCGAATTAGATGCCAAAGTAATCGAGCTTCCTTACCGCAATTCAAGCCTATACATGGTCATCTTTTTGCCGGAAAAAGTCGATGGTCTGCCAGAATTGGAGAAAAAGATCGCAGGTTTCTCCGGCTTTCTGATGCCACGGAATGTGAATTTGAAGCTGCCCAAGTTCAAAATCGAATTTAAGTCCCTTTTAAAAGAAATTCTCATGAAGGTGGGTGTACTAATTTATATAGGATTCTCTTTATAACTTTTACTTTTAGATGGGCATAGTAGACGCATTCTCTAGAAATGCGGATTTTAGTGGTCTAGTAAAAGCAGAAGCCAAAATCAGCAAAGTCATACAAAAAGCTTTTATCGAGGTTAACGAAGAAGGTGCCGAAGCAGCCGCTGTTACAGGTATTTTTATAGTTTCTTGTTCGCATGTTCAACTAAAAGGGCGGTTAGTATTTAAAAAAGTATTGAAATTTGGACCCTCAAGTTCACTTTCAGTTCAACATGCGGACGAAAAATTAGGCTTAGTGGTTTATTTTTTTTCACAACATTCTTTTTCGACGCAGCTGTATTGATGACAGGTAAATGCGCAAGTTGTGGGCCCAAGCCTCCCATGGAGTTCAATGCAGATCATCCGTTTGCATATGTCATTCGCGATCAGAAGACTATTTACTTCCAGGGGCACTTCGTAAAGCCTAAACAATAAAGTTCCCGTTTTAATTCACGCACACAATTACAATACAATTCAAATTTTATAAAAGTTCAGTAATACATAAGTGGTAAATAAAGAGTGGTCGTGAGAGTGCCTGAACTATCGGATACCTCTTAGTCTTTTGCATAATTTATCAATAAATAAACCTTTCTGCTGCATGTGTCATTATAGGCTTATTTTCAAGGCGGTTTCTTGTAGCCATTTTAAAAGTGATATATCCAGCGGTTAGGGCAGGGTTTGTTTAAGCTTCAGTTAAAGTTTGGTTTCATTTCGGACTTGTAAGGGCCCCTTTCTAAGGGGTCACATCGAGTCTATTATAGGTAGCCGTTTCCCAAGAACCGATGACGACCAATATCCGACCAATTTTCGGCTTTTAAAGATTTACAAAATCTAGAGTACAAAATTCTAGATTTAGTTTTCCCACAAACAATTGTTTTCTTAGTTCTATTACCTTCTTGGTACTGAGATCATGATGCTCCCTATATCCTACGAACGTATTTATTTTTGACCTTAGCTAGGTATGTACCAACCAGTAGTAGCTTTCCTAACGTAGTTAATCCTTTGAAAAAAAAGAGTGTGCATAAAGGAATTCGACTAAACCGATTCAATTATACAACTCTTTGGCGAATCTAATTCGATTATCGAACAGAGTATATATACTCACTAGTCTGTAAACCCATCTAAGTTTTGACAGCGTACCAAATGAAGTATCTATGTAAGTAAAAAAATAATTTTCCATTAAAAACTCAAGAATTTTCGCATAGGTCTGATTTTGTCAGTGGCCACGTCAGTGACTGGACGATTCACTGATGATTTTTATCAACAATTGGCTAAGGATAATGCAAACAAGAATCTTATATCTTCGCCCCTTTCCGCGGAAATTGTCATGAGCATGGTCTACATGGCAGCTGGGGGAAAAACAGCCCAGGAAATGCGGGACGTTTTGAAACTGCCCGCCGACAAAAAGGAAGTGGCACGTAAATACAAGGACTTTCTGACAAACCTCGAAGGACGTGAGAAGGTGGCTATCCTTGAGCTGGCCAACCGCATTTACGTAAACGATCGATTCTCGCTGCTTCCGGAGTTCAATAAGGTGGTTAAAGATTCCTTTAAGGCCGAAGCCGAGGCTATTAGCGTAAAGGATCCCCAAAAAGCGGTTTCGATCATCAATAAGTGGGTCAAGGAACAGACTCGCGACAGGATCAAAAGCATAGCTGAGGAAAAAGATATAAACCCTGATTTAACTGTGGTTCTCTTGAACGCAATTTACTTTAAAGGCCAGTGGCAGGAACAGTTTAATTCTAGCAATACAAAGAAGGCAGACTTTCGAACTGCTGACAAAAAAATCGTTCCTGTCCAGATGATGTCCCAATTCGGCGAGTTTAGGGCGAATTATATACCAAAATTAGATGCCAAAGTGATAGAGCTACCTTACCGCAATTCAAGCCTCTCCATGGTCATCTTTTTGCCGGAAAAAGTCGATGGTCTGCCAGAATTGGAGAAAAAGATTGCAGGTTTCTCCGGATATTTGCCAGTACAGAATGTGGATTTGAAACTGCCCAAGTTCAAAATCGAATTTGAATCTCTTTTGAAAGATATTCTTGAAAAGGTTGGTGAACTTATTTTTAAAGCGTTATCTTTATAGCTTTGTATTTTCAGATGGGCATAGTAGCTGCATTCACTGATAAGGCGGATTTTGGTGGTCTAGTAAAAGTACCAGCCAAGATCAGCAAAGTCATTCAAAAGGCCTTCCTCGAGGTTAACGAAGAGGGTGCCGAAGCAGCCGTTGTTACAGGTATTTTTGGATCTTTTTAAGACCCACCATTTTTCAACATTCTTTAATCTGCAGGTGTAATTGGGACGATAACAATAAGTGCAAGCCTGCCTACAATGGAGTTCAATGCCGATCATCCGTTTGCATACATCATTCGCGATGAGAAGACCATTTACTTCCAGGGACACTTCGTTAAGCCATGAAAGTAAATTTATTTTTTTGTCTAGCACATTTGTTAATTATGGAATTGGAATAAATTGGAATTTTTCACTGGGCCTGCTCCTTTTTAATTAATCTAATGTTACTGTCATATTCCTTGTCCGCAATCTTGTAATAGTGACCTTAAAATATCAAATGTAATCCGACTAAACCAAATAAATTATAAATCTGCATGGCAAATCTAATTCGATTAGTATACAGAGTATATATAAGCGCCAGTCTGTAATCTCTTCTTAGTTAGAGTAACGGTCGAAATGAAGTATCTGTGTAAGTTAACAACCTAATTTCGCTTAAAAGTCTTCACATTTTCCCATAGGTCTGATTTTGTTGGCCACGTCAGTGACTGGACGATTCAACGATGATTTTTATCAACAACTGGCCAAGGATAATGCAAATAAGAACCTTATTTCCTCGCCCCTTTCCGCGGAAATTGTCATGAGCATGGTCTACATGGGAGCTGGCGGAAAGACGGCCCAGGAAATGAGGAATGTTTTGAAACTGTCCGCGGACAAAAACGAAGTTGCTCGTAAATACAAGGAATTTCTAACTAATCTCGAAGGACGCGAAAAGGTGGCATTACTTGATCTGGCCAACCGCATTTATGTAAACGATAAACACACTTTGGTTCCGGAGTTCAATCAGGTGGTTAGAGAATCTTTTAAGGCCGAAGCGGAGGCCATCAGCTTAAAGGACACAACAAAAGCGGCTTCGATCATCAATAAGTGGGTGAAAGATCAGACACGCGACAGGATCAAAAGCATAGTTAAGAAAGAAGATTTGAGCAATGCTTTTATAATGGTTCTCTTGAATGCGATTTACTTCAAAGGCCAGTGGCAGTACAAGTTTGACCCTGTCCGTACAAGGAAGGCCGATTTCCGAATTACCGACCAAAAACGGGAACCTATCCAGATGATGTCACAATATGTCACTTTGAAGGCGGGATATATACCCCACTTAGATGCCAGAGTAATCGAGCTTCCTTACAGCAATTCAAGCCTATACATGGTCATCTTTTTGCCGGAAAAGGTCGATGGTCTGCCAGAATTGGAGAAGAAGATCGCAGGTTTCTCCGGGAATCTGCCAAGAGTGCAAGTATATTTGCACCTGCCCAAGTTTAAAATCGAATTTACTGCAGAACTAAATAAGATTCTAAGCACGGTGAGTGTGTCCTGATTTTTATGGGTTCACTTCTAATTCGAACATTTACAGATGGGTCTTAAAGATGCTTTTAGTGACAATGCGGATTTTAGAGGTCTAGTAAAATCGTCATCTGCCAAGATCAGCAAAGTCATACAAAAGGCCTTCATCGAGGTTAACGAAGAGGGTGCCGAGGCAGCAGCTTTATCAGGTACTTTTGGCTTGGTTAAAAGCTTAACATTTTTCAGTCATATTTAATCGCTTTTTACAATGTACTATTTTATCAGATTTAGACATGATGGTTCCGATATGCGTGGGCTGCGGTGGTCGGCACACTGCTCCCTTTCTTTTTTATGCCGATCATCCATTCGCTTACGTCATTCGCGATAAGAACACCGTTTACTTCCAGGGGCACTTCGTAAAGCCAGGACAATAATTGCGAATTAAAATTTTATACAATTTCAATAAGTGGTAAGCCTGAACTATCGCATACCCCTTAGTCTTTTGCTTTACTTATAAACAAATAAACCTTCATCTTCTGGAAATGCATTTCAATATTATTAATAAATTCAAACAGATCATATTTGTTCGGTATTTTTTGAATATTTATTTTTTGTGTGCACCTCATTACCAGTTTTGATTGCATTCGTATTTACAACTACAAGATTTGCAAGACTCATAATATAAACCTTAGACCTCGAACATCTGTAACGACCCTTAGTTCTTGGTGAGTTCGATTTCGGCATGGAAGCAGGACTTGCCCTGGAATCAAAAAAGGAAATCAATTAGGAAGGAAAATAGCATATAGGAAAATGCCTTACGGTGTCGTGCTTGACCTCCGAATCGATGATCAGGTGACCGCGGGCCATGCCCAACATGGCCTTGTATTTGCTGAGATCCACGGTGTGATCGTTGGCGCACACCTTCTCCTCGGCCACGGGACAGGAGGAGGGAGCTCCGAAAAGCTTCAGCATGTCCTTGCCCTCCGAGGAGGCCTGGTCGATGGCGGCGCACAGGTCGATCTTGCCCTCCTTCATCACGATGCCGTCCTTCTGCACCTTGAACTTGGCCACGGCGGTTCCGAAGGGCTTATTGGAGATGCAACCCGAGGGAACCAGCTCGCATTTCTTGTTCAGCTTCAGGCTAAAGTCGCTGCCCACCGTCATGATGGCATCCTCGCCAGCACAGTTCTCCATCTTCACCAGCTTGGCCTTGTAGCCATTCTAAGGGGATATATCCAGAGGTTAAGGTTTGGTTAGGCTTCGGTTATTGTAATCCCCAGAACACTTACGCAAGCCAAGGCTGCCTGAAAGGCCACACAGCTGACCAGGAAAAAGCAGATCTCTCGCAGCATTCTGTACACTCGAAGTTTTGGATGGATGTGCAAACTCCTGGATGACCCAGGCCCTATTTATATGGAACTCTTGGTAGCCCCGTTCTTCCGAAATCCACAATTATTTGCACATTAAGCGGTATTTGGCTGCTGCGATCAGTGATCGTTCGGCTCAATTGATCGCTGAACCAACACTGGGCAGTCGGTCATCCATTAGACCGCTCTAAATGTCGGAATTACGGATTATTATGGCCAGCCATTTTTAATTGCCCCCAGCGACATGGTATTGTTTGTGTTTAGCGTGTTGCTGGAATTTGATCTCTTGATCTCCCGAAATTTGTTTGCACCCAAAACTATATAAACTATATAACGTATATACAACAGCCGAGTCATCAAGAGTTAGTTAAAATCAGTTACCCCTAATTGATAAGTAGCCATCACTCTTGTTAGCCACCAACTGCATGAGCCCGGTGCGATTTCTATGCGATGTAATTGTTTTAATAGTTGCAGATCAAAATGATTTGTGGCTGCGAATGCGGAGATGTTTTTTATAGCCTTTGTGGGGCATTGAATGGCATGCAATCGATTGAAATGCACGGATACTGAAGCTATACACATGAGTATAGCATTTTTATGGCGAAATATTATTTAAACTATTTTAATAATTTGAATTGCGCTTGCTTAGGTCGATAAACTAAATTTGAGCAAGAAATTAAGAAACTTTTATATCTTTTATTGCCATTAATATTGACAAATTTGCACTAGTACTATAACAATTGCATAATTGACAAATATGCTAGTACACAAAAGAGATTCATTTTCATGGCTTTACGAAATGCCCCTGGAAGTAAATGGTCTTCTCATCGCGAATGACGTAGGCAAACGGATGATCAGCATTGAACTTGAAGGGACGCGGACCTGCCATTTTGATTCCGGACCCAAACACAGCTGCAGATTAAAGAATGTTGAAAAAGGGTGGGTCTTAAAAATATCCAAAAATACCTGTTACAGCGGCTGCTTCGGCACCCTCTTCGTTAACCTCGATAAAGGCCTTTTGAATGACTTTGCTGATCTTGGTTGGTTTTTGTACTAGACCACTTAATTGCGCCTTATCAGTGAATACAGCTACTATGCCCATCTAAAAATACCACATATAAAGATTACGCTATAAAAATAACTTCACCCACCTTTTTAAGAATATCTTTCAAAAGAGATTCAAATTCGATTTTGAACTTGGGCAGTTTCAAATCCACTTTCTGTACTGGCAGATATCCGGAGAAACCTGCGATCTTCTTCTCCAATTCTGGCAGACCATCGACTTTTTCCGGCAAAAAGATGACCATGGAGAGGCTTGAATTGCGGTAAGGTAGCTCAATTACTTTGGCATCTAATTTTGGTATATAATTCGCCTTAAACTCGCCAATTTGGGACATCATCTGGACAGGAACGATTTTTTTGTCAGCAGTTCGAAAGTCTGCCTTCTTTGTATTGCTAGAATTAAACTGTTCCTGCCACTGGCCTTTAAAGTAAATTGCATTCAAGAGAACCACAGTTAAATCAGAGTCTATATCTTCTTTCTCAGCTATGCTTTTGATCCTGTCGCGAGTTTGTTCCTTCACCCACTTATTGATGATCGAAACCGCTTTTTCGGGATCATTTACGCTGATGGCCTCGGCTTCCGACTTAAAGGAATCTTTAACCACCTTATTGAACTCCGGAAGCAGCGAGAATCGATCGTTTACGTAAATGCGGTTGGCCAGTTCAAGGATTGCCACCTTCTCACGTCCTTCGAGATTTGTCAAAAAGTCCTTGTATTTACGTGCCACTTCCTTTTTGTCGGCGGGCAGTTTCAAAACATCCCGCATTTCCTGGGCTGTTTTTCCCCCAGCTGCCATGTAGACCATGCTCATGACAATTTCCACGGAAAGGGGCGAGGAAATAAGGTTCTCGTTTGCCTTATCCTTTGCCAAAAGCTGGTATAAATCATCAGTGAATCGACCAGTCACTGACGTGGCCAACAAAATTAAACCTGTGGGAAAATTGATGAGTTTTTCATCGAAATTATAATATTAACTTACATAAGTACTTCATTCCGACCGATGCTCAAAGTAAGAAGGGATCACAGACTGGCGATTATATATACTCTGTTTATTAATCAAATTAGAACTGCCATCGAGCTTGCTAATAAAATTGGTTTCGACGAATTATTTTTAACTTCAACCATTTTAAGGTCATATTTCTTTAAAGGTTAAGAATATTTCCTATTTTTCTCAAAGTGGTAATTCTGAAGTCTAAAGTTCACCGCTCTTCTCTCAAGCCAATTGAAATTGTTAAAGACTTAGTATGCTATCCTTTTAGTTTTTGCGGTATCTTTCGGATTTACACAGGTATTACTTAATCGCACACTCATGTGTTTCGTAACTAGGCCCTCCATTGTGATCTACAAGGAACCATTTAAAATGAGTAGCTTAAACCACGTTTTAGAATTACAGGTAGAAATAATAACACCCAAAGCAACCCACACAAATTTAGGGGATATGTAAAAGTAAACATGGTATTAAAAGTATGCAACAACAAATCTTTTCTGAAAACTTATACCACAACCAAATTCTGGGTCACCCCACAAATTCGATTTGATTTTTATTATTGGCATTTTGTACGATACACATTTTAAGGTACCTAAGCTATTATTGTCCAGGGTTTACGAAATGTCCCTGAAAATAAACGGTGTTCTCATCACGAATGACGTAGGCGAACGGATGATCGGCATTAAAAACAAAGGGCTTCGGTTTACCGCAGTTTGCGCATCCCAGAACAAGCATGTCTACAGCTGATAAAATTGTATATTGTAAAAAGCGATAAAATATTATTGAAAAATGTAAGACTTTTAACCAAGTTATAAATACCTGTTACAACTGCTGCCTCGGCACCCTCTTCGTTAACCTCGATGAAAGCCTTTTGTATGACTTTGCTGATCTTTGCAGATGACGATTTTACTAGACCTCTAAAATCCGCATTGTCACCAAAAGCATCTTTTAGGCCCATCTATAAATGTTCGATTTAGAAATGAACCCATAAAAATCAGGTCACACCCACCGTGCTTAGAATCTTCTTTAGTTCTGCAGTAAATTCGATTTTGAACTTGGGCAGGTGCAAGTGTAGATCTATTCTTGGTAGAATCCCAGAGAAACCTGCGATCTTCTTCTCCAATTCTGGCAGACCATCGATTTTTTCCGGCAAAAAAATTACCATGTAGAGGCTTGAGTTTCGGTAAGGAAGCTCAATCACTTTGGCATCTAATTCAGGTATATAATTCGCCTTAAAAGTGCCATTTTGTGACATCATCTGGACAGGTACGCGTTGTTGGTCGGTAATTCGGAAATCGGCCTTCTTTGTACGTACAGGGTCAAACTTGTACTGCCACTGGCCTTTGAAGTAAATCGCATTCAAGAGAACCATTATATAAGCATTACTCAAATCTTCTTTCTTAACTATGCTTTTGATCCTGTCGCTCGTCTGATCTTTCACCCACTTATTAATAATCGAAGGTGTCCTTTAAGCTGATGGCCTCCGCTTCGGCCTTAAAGGATTATCTAACCACCTGATTGAACTCCGCAAGCAGCGAGAATCGATCGTTTACGTAAATGCGGTTGGCCAGATCAAGGATGGCTACCTTCTCGCGTCCTTCGAGATTAGTTAGAAATTCCTTGTATTTTCTTGCCACTTCCTTTTTGTCCGCGGACAGTTTCAAAACGTCCCTCATTTCCTCGGCCGTCTTTCCGCCAGCTGCCATGTAGACCATGCTCATGACAATTTCCGCGGAAAGGGGCGAAGATATAAGATTCTTATTTGCATTATCCTTAGCCAGTTGTTGATAAAAATCATCAGTGAATCGACCAGTCACTGACGTGGCCAACAAAATCAGACCTGTGGGAAAATGTGAAGACTTTTAAGCGAAATTAGGTTGTTAACTTACATAGATACTTCATTTCGACCGTTACTCTAACTAAGAAGAGATTACAGACTGGCGCTTATATATACTCTGTATACTAATTAGATTTGCCATGCAGATTTATAATTTATTTGGTTTAGTCGGATTACATTTAATATTTTAAGGTCACTATAACGAAATTGCGGACAAGGAATAGGACAGTAACAATTGGTAATTCACAAATGTGCTAGTACAAAAAAAGAAATTTACTTTCATGGCTTTACGAAGTGTCCCTGGAAGTAAATAGTCTTCTCATCGCGAATGATGTAGGCAAACGGATGATCGGCATTGAACACCAAAGGACGCGGCCTTGCAATTAATGTTATCGACCCAATTACACCTGAAGATTAAAGAATGTTGAAAAAACGGTGGGTCTTAAAAAGATCCAAAAATACCTGTTACAGCGGCTGCTTCGGCACCCTCTTCGTTAACCTCGATGAAGGCCTTTTGAATGACTTTGCTGATCTTGGTTGGTATTTGTACTAGACCACTAAAATCCGCCTTATCAGTGAATGCGGCTACGATGCCCATCTAAAAATACAACCTATAAATATTACGCTATAAAAATAAGTTCACCCACCTTTTCAAGAATATCGTTCAAAAGAGCTTTAAATTCGATTTTGAACTTGGGCAGTTTCAAATCCACTTCCTGTATTACTGGAATATATGCAGGGAAATCGGCGATCTTCTTCTCCAATTCTGGCAGACCATCGACTTTTTCCGGCAAAAAGATGACCATGGAGAGGCTTGAATTGCGGTAAGGTAGCTCTATCACCTTGGCATCTAATTTGGGTATATAATTCGCCCTAAACTTGCCGAAATGGGACATCATTTGGACAGGAACGATTTTTTTGTCAGCAGTTCGAAAGTCTGCCTTCTTTGTATTGCTAGAATTAAACTGTTCCTGCCACTGGCCTTTAAAGTAAATTGCGTTCAAGAGAACCACAGTTAAATCAGGGTTTATATCTTTTTCCTCAGCTATGCTTTTGATCCTGTTGCGAGTCTGTTCCTTCACCCACTTATTGATGATCGAAACCGCTTTTTGGGGATCCTTTACGCTGATAGCCTCGGCTTCGGCCTTAAAGGAATCTTTAACCACCTTATTGAACTCCGGAAGCAGCGAGTAGCGATCATTAACGTAAATGCGGTTGGCCAGTTCAAGGATTGCCACCTTCTCACGTCCTTCGAGATTTGTCAAAAAGTCCTTGTATTTACGTGCTACTTCCTTTTTGTCCGCAGGCAGTTTCAAAACGTCCCTCATTTCCTGGGCTGTTTTTCCCCCAGATGCCATGTAGACCATGCTCATGACAATTTCCGCGGAAAGGGGCGAGGAAATAAGGTTCTTATTTGCATTATCCTTGGCCAGTTGTTGATAAAAATCATCAGTGAATCGTCCAGTCACTGACGTGGCCAACAAAATCAGACCTATGCGAAAATGTGAAGACTTTGAAACGAAATTAAGTTGTTAACTTACATAAATACTTCATTTCGACCGTTACTCTAATTGAGAGGAGATCGCAGACTGGCGGTTATATATACTCTGTATACTAATCAAATTTGATTTGCCATTATGTACTATAATTTATTTGGTTCAGTCGGATTACATTTGGTATTTTAAGGCCACTATAACAAGATTGCGGACAGTAACAATTGATAAATATAAAAAAGAAGCAGGCCCATTGAAAAAAACCAATTTAACAACTAGTTTAAAATGTTTTAAAATAAAGGGTAACATATTTAATTTTCCTTTGCTGTTTTTCTCTTAGCTCCTATGTATAACATAGCCATCACAATTTCGAGGGGCGAGATTCTTGTTTGCATCGTCCTATTTTATTTATTGATATTAAATTTAATATTGATTTTATATTTTAAATTTATATAATCCACCAAATGGTCGAAAGTATCAAAACTATGTATATAGCTTCGTATGAGACCAAACCATATTCTCTTCGTAGTTTGAATCGTATAAGTTAAGACTTTAGCATAATGCCAAAATCCCTTATTATTGCAACTTATAAAGTTTTATAAAATGTTAAACAATTTATTTTAGTTATGTGTTAAACCAAGTCATTAAAATGTTGATAAATTTCTCTTTACTAAATAAATAAACTTTAAAATGCCGAAGAAAAATTTTTAAATATATTTCGATCTAAAAACTAAGCCGTTGAAAAATTTAGTACGGCAACGGAAAATTCTGGCTGCGCTGGTGGCATCTTTTTCCCACCGTCTGGCCACGTGAAGCCTTTTTCCAGCAATCTGGCATCGTCATTCGGCAGCGTGACTCCATTCAATTTTTAGCTCGTTATTTAGTTCACGTTAACTTTTCGAGCTGTTCAGACGTCAGAGCGGAATAACATATCGCGGGCTTTCAACTCGGCCGTTCTGTGGCAAACTGTTCAAACTTTGCCGACGACGCAGTTTATTTGCTGTTTCTGAAGAGCAACAAATACAAAAGTCCCCCACGCAAGAAGTGTTAAACAAAAATCCACAACGTAAGCGGTTATTTAGGAAGGTTAAAATATATAATAACTTGCGATAACCGAAAACCAAAAACCGAAATCGTGCCGTATCGCATCGTAAACATATAAGTGATGCATCAAAGGTGCTAAGCAAATGAATCCGCAGTCGAAAGTTTAGATATCGATGAGAGAGAACCCACACCTCGGCAAAAGTAAATAAGAAACACAGATACGAATTCTCGGATACGAATACAAATACAGCGACAGGTGGTTGACAAGAGTTCCGAGTGATATTGAATTGTAAAACCCCCCGAAATCGAATTTAGTGCTAGTGCCAATGCTGTTGCTCAACTCAATGCAATTCAGAAATCCAAAAAAAGTCACTGTGCATATATAGTATAGGATTCCTATATTGATTGTGTTCCTATCTATTATCGGTGACCTTTTTGAAAGTGTGTGTGAGTGTGAGTGCGTGGTATTATCAAAGCCTGGTGTTCTCCATTGATAAGTGTTGGGCATACAAATATGTGCGTATGTCTATGTTGAATACGTCAACGGCATTCCAAGTAAACGAGACTGCAAACACCGGAGTAAGGTATTCAAAATCGTGATTCATCGCCGATCGTGACTGTAATTGTTATACGTATCTCTCCACGTTGTTTGTGCTGCTGCGGCAAAACGGTAGACTGCGTAAGACTATGAAATATTGGTAATCCTACGATTCACCTCTTACTCATTCACATTTTCTGGAAAATAAAAATATGTGTTTAAAATCGAAGAGTTCACCTTTCTTTTGTTTGCCTGGCCAGCTGAATTGGTGGAGTATGTATTGGAGTATCTATATGACGACTTTCTTAAACCGGTTCCTCCATTTGGTTTCTTGACCAAACAATACACTTCCCTCAACATGACTCAGTATCCAGAAGTTCCGATCGAATCAAAGGCCCATAATTCATTGCCTTCAATTGGGCCACCGCAATTGCCCACTGTGCCCAATTTGTTTATTAAATACAGACCTCCCATTTTACACAGCTCCATTTATCTTTGACCACTTCAAAAGGCTGGGAGGCTGTTAATTCTTCTTGCTTCTGTTGTTGCCTCTGGCCGTCAATCACTTTTCCGCACTGGAGTGTTGAGGAAAATAGAGGAAAACATCCAGGAGTCCGAAGGCTTGAGTCATAAAAATGTCAGCAGAAATTGCCGGCCAAGCTGGCGCACAAATATTTACCGGAATTCGAATTCACCTGTTGTAATAAGCCAGAAAAATCAATGGGTACAAGCGGTTCTTGGAAATTGTGCTCCTTACTAAGTACTCACCTGCAGTTCTTTTTCACACCTTTCCATTATGCACATGGCACATTAATCAGACGGGGCTTATGGCCAACTATCCAACCATCCAGCTATCCACCAGATACGCACACCCCCTGCTGGTGTCAAATTAGAGTTACTTTACTGCAGTTGATTATGCTGAAGTATGAGCTCCATTACGAATAAATTACTTTGTCTGCACCGGAAAAAAAATTTATTTATTGTCACTTTATCAGTCCGTTATTTTTAGAATTATGTAAGAAAAGAGACTTCCAGCCACTCAATGAAATGTAAAATCCAGAAATGCTTTAAGCTTTTGTGAAATCTCCAGAGAAATTGGAACAAAAATGTTTTGTTTTGAAATCCCCAGAGATTGGAACTTCCGTTCATAACAATTTTATTGGTGCCATATGATCTTGTGAATTTTTGGTAGATTTGATTTATAAATAATTCAAAATTAAGAATAAAATAATCACTGATAAGTATGACCAAAAATCTTTCTAATCTTAAGAGGATAGAAATCCGCAAAGATTTTGACTTCCGTTCATTAAACATTTATTGGTGCCACATGATCTTATGAGTAGCTTTAGAAAAGATTACATTTATTATAAAAAATAAATGTTTTTTTTTTCATAGATTATACTAAAATGTATAGCATATTTTTCAGTTTCCGAATTAAGCTGCGAGAGTTTTAAGAAATAGCAGTAGATAAACCCCTTAACTCGTTGGGCGATTCGGGACATAAATAACCATTTGAGATAATATCTGTTTAATTGAATTTGCCGGTTACCAATAGCCATAAATAAAAGCCATTCGGTGCACAATCTCCGCCTGTCTCGGCCAACATTGAACACGTTTTCACACCGCTTTGTGCGGCTTGTTTGGCATTCTATGAATGGACACCTTCGACTCTTTTACATCCGCTGCTGTCTGTGCCAGAACGTAAATAATAAATATTTTTGGCCAGGCCATCGGAGCTGTCTGCGTGGTAAAGGTAAGCGTTTAACGACGGCCCGGCCATAAATCTCCGGAAAAACAGGCACTTGGCTTTCACCTGAGCCCTAGAATAGAACCCATTCATTAGCTCCGGAAAGCCGTTTGCAAACTTGCAAACTTACTAACTCGCCCCATTTGAGAAAATCATGGAAATAAATATATAACTGCAATCTTGTTTCTGTCGGGAGTGAAATAAAATAAAATGCATCACCCAATTATGTCCGAGCAAGAAATGCATTGGGTAAACAAAATAAAACATCGAGCAATGCTTCAGTTTTGAGGTCACGGCAAGGCACGAAATGAGCTATATACATTGGCTATATTTATTTATTAATCGGGCGGAACCCAAAACAAACAAATTAAACACTTGTCGGCTATTAAGTGAACGCATATAACATTTCTATATAAATATTTCCCGGCAGCAGCTGGCCAACAACTTGTTGTCGCCACGCGTTGTAGTTGTATAATTTTGCCTGGGCAGAATGCCAGCTATTCAATTTCACTGGCTATTCAGTGTTCATGGAAAATAAAAGAAATTATTTTTCCCTTACAACAGCCGGAGATCAAGGGTTACACAACTTATAAAAAGACAGAGACGAAAAAGTTTCCCAAATGACTCATCTAAGAGATTCATTACCTGCTCTGGTAATTTCACTTTTATTTCATTTGACTTTCTTTGCCGCGTTATGCAAAAAAGACATTTAATTAATTTCGCTGTTACTTAACAAAGGTAGTGAAAAAGGTAGAAAAATATATAAATATGTATCTATTTCCTGGCCTTATCATAACGCCATTTGGTCATTTAAAAGCTGTAAAGATAGACCGTTGCGAAACTGCGATAAGGTATCGGTATCTGCAAGATAGTGTATCTATCTTCGCGGGGCCCGCAGCAACAGTCCTTATAAGGGCCGCGTTAATCTCGCAGCTTCTTGGGGATTTGCCACTGATTTCCTTCACCCACTCTTCAGTTCCAGTTCCACTTTCAGTTGCAAACTTATCAAGGCTTTACTTTTGTTTGTCTCTCCAGTGTTGTTTATGCATTTGTCTTGCAGATTAGCCTGCTGCAGACTGCCTGCTGCTATCGCTTCAAAAATGCATTAGATCGGGGCACAGAAGACCGTATTTCTCTCGCCTCAGCTGCGAATGTGGGCGGTGGGCGGCGGTTCAGGGGGGGCGTGGCTGACAGCTAAAAAAAAGCCAACACATAAATTGCAAAACTCGCTCTTGTATGTGGGCGGAATTCACAGCGGGAGCTGCACTTGCCCAAATAAAAAAGAGCACACAAAAATGTCAATAAAAAAAGAGAGGGGAGGGGAATTACTGGAACCATATATCAATTAATTAGAGTCCGACAAGCGACATTAAACAAGATGTTCCTGCTGCTTCTGCTATCATCCCAAGCAAAGTGACCTCGATCTTATGGCGCCAAAACGTCTGCTTAATTAATCAAGTCCAGATCTATTAATTCCTTATACTTTGTCTTACAAATTACCTTGGAACTGTCATCAGCTTTTACTTGTGCGAATTAATAGTCCGTTTTTATTAAAGTAATTAAATTGTTGTAAAACATTTTATGAACCCCTTTGACAAAGGGTAATCATAATTATGTGTTTTTATGTTGAGCGTTCACTAGAAAATTAAATAGGTTTTTAGAATCAATTTAATTGAACTATTTATTCTAAGTGTTATTTATCAATCTTTTGTAATTAGTCGACAAAAACAAGCTTGACTTTTATAATAAATTATATCTTTCCAAAACTTGGCTAAAAGTTATTTTTCTTTGTTGCAAAAAAAGTGTCGCTGCAAGAAGTAATTTCGATTTTATTTTCCTAGTGAAGTTATTTCCCCTAACATTTCCTATGACATCCCTGGGTTCATTAGCGTTCCTGGTTAGCTCACGCCTACTTATGGACATTTGTTGTCCCAGCGAATGCCTCTCGGTTAATGGAATTAGCTGACATTCGCTGTAATGAAACATTACCATGTCACCAGAGCCTCTATCATTATAAGACACGCAAACTGTGCCAAAGTCGCGTCATTATGCAGAACGATGTTTAGACGTGGTTTGGTTTGGGCCCAAAAAGTAAAGGCCCAGAAAAAGCGAGAGTTACAAAAAGGCCCACACGCGGTTTTTCCTAGCCTGGGTGGGCAGATTGGGCCCAGATCTCGATACTCGATCTCGTTGTTAACCGATGGCTGGCAATTGACAAATAGTTTGATTTACGAGGCAGCAAATCTCAGCTTGGCCCAAATTGCAAATTTCCATTTGCCTGCGTGCCGCTTTTTTGAATTTTAATGAATTTCAAAGCAAACCCCCAGCCAAAATCCGCGTTTCCAGGCAATGCAGAGATGCATAAAAATATTTCCTGATACTTTTTGTATTTCTTCGGGGCTCGCCGCTCATTATTTTGGCCAAGAGCCAGCGGCATGTTTGCAATTGCAATTGCAATGGCAATCGCAGAATTCGGGTACGACCAAACTTTCCATTAAGATGTTGCGGGCAAAATTTCAATTGAAATGGAAAACAAAGGATAATAAAAGCACTTGACTTTTGCACAAATACGAATACAAATTCACGCACCTCCAAAAGGTCAACGGGGAAAATCAAATAAAGGCCAGGAAAACTCTGGCGAAAGAGTCGTAAATTTTCTGTGGGCGCAGGGAAAAACAAAGGTAATCCAAACAATGAGACACACTTTTTCTCGACTCCAGATAATTGCAGAAATAAACTCTGAGTTGTGGCCCATAGAAAATTCAATTTGAGGAAAGGAGTTCCAAATTAAAATGGACAGCGGTGGAACGTCGGAGGAAAATTTCCCCGTGACGAGGGTCGTCGGCATTTGGAAGCCAGACACGTAGAATGGAAAATTTCGGAGTGTAGGGGCGTGAATCGCAGAGCGAAACACGTGACAGAAAACCACAGAAACCAAACGAAAACCAACGAAAACCTCGAAATGAATCTGTTGCACATGCAACGACTGAAAAGCACGAGCTGGGCCACATTTCCATTTATTGGCCATAAAGAACCAAATAATGAAAGATTTTCCCGGCAAAGCGTTAAACTGTCCAAAGTTTGAACGTAAAAAAGTGGCGGAATTAGTTTCTTTTTTTTGTGGTTGGCTAGCAAAACATGGAACTACCAATAAGAATGTTGTATGGTGATGGAGCCAAAACATGAAATGGCCAGCCATTTTTATGGCATAAACTCATGAAAGAGTTTTCTTGTCTCCCCATAAACAAACACTGGGTCATTGAATAAATTTACTTCAAAAGTGCGCTAAAGTGGTTCTGCGAACGACATGTTTTAAAATAAATAAAGTTTGAAAATTACTAAAGAGAAATAGAATGAGTAATGCTCCTAAGCCCTACAATCGTTAGCAGACATGTAGATTAAATTTAACTTTTTTTGATAAGGCCTTAATAATATCAGAGTCAAAACATGCTTTTTAAAATACAATGTTTGGAAATGAATAATACTTTAAAAATAAAATATGTAGAACTAAAACCGAAAATTATAATCATTAGACTATTTCACTAAACCGTAATACCTTTTAGTATATTTTTCAACAACAATTTTAACTACAGTAAAAACCACAATTGCGTGACTGTTAAAAGACATTTATTAAAAATAAAGAAAATAATATAATATAATTTTTGTAATGTTTTCATTTCCTTAAAAGTTGTAGGTTTTTATTACCTTGTAAGCTCCCTAAAAGCTCTTCAATGCCCAGTTCCTTGAACATTTTTATTTATATTCACCGCAAGATCACTTCTTGAAAACAAAAGATTTTGCAATAAGTGTTCGATCAATGCGATGATTATAATGCAAGGAGACACTTGCTCTCAAGGAAAGTTCTCCCCTTACAAATGCAGTCACTCAACTGGTTTGCTTACTATATAGTATTCACTATATAAACGTAGAATGTATATTTGAATATTGTGCTCATATAAATATAAATATGTGTAACTGAAGGTGTTTGTTGGCTGGGGAACGAGGCAGTTTAATTAATACGCAAATATTGTCACTCGGGTAAACAGATTTACATGGGGGCCTGAAACGAAAACGTGAACGCAAACGTCACACATGAGTGGCCAAGGAGGTGGGGAAGGGGATCATTAAATGGAGGGACATCGGCGAATGAATGAACGAATTAAGGCGGCGCCACTCGACCATGGAATGACGTCATTCTTTATTATTTATACGACTTGATGGCCGTAAATATTGTGTGATTGTGATAAACATATGTTGGATATCGATCATCAGGAATATAACAGTGACCTAAATAATGCGAATGTTTTATTAAAAAGTATTGATTATCTCCATTTGCTAACTAACAAGACCACTTAAACTACTAAGAAATATGAAAGAGTGTGAAGAAAAATGCTTTAGAAAACGAAGTAATTAATGGTACAGGCAAAACATATGGAAAATTCTAATAAACTTTATATTATTTAAATGAATTATTGTGTGATATAGAAACTATTATTTATTATTTACATACATTCGCTATCTTACAAAAGAGCTAAAAGCCCAATCCTTATACTACTTAGAAATCTGAAAGAGTGTGAAGAAAAATGCATGGGGGAAAAATATCAGTAAAATGACTAGGCAATTATTGGAAAAATGTGTTTTCTGTTGTTCGAACAAGACAGATGAAAAATTCCAATAAATTCCAATGATGCACTGGGAAAACATACGTCTTTCTAGGTATTACATATGGGTTTTCTACTTAGACTTATATTTAAAAAAATATATATTTTACATCGAATCGATTAACATTATTTTCATGTGTTGGCGTGAAAAAGCCAAAACAAGGTTAAAAAATGGATAATAAACTCGAAATTGGAGCAGATATTTTAAGCGATAATCGGGTTATGTTTGCCCACGAAAAATGACTAAGTGCAGAAATGTGTACCAGAGATAGGGAAAATGGTGAAGATCCCCCTTCCCGCCAACTGGCCTCATTATGTTCGGGCTAATTGCACGACCTGGGTTCCGTGGGCTGCGAAAAAACAATCAGAGAAATATCAGAGCTGAAAAGCGATTTGCCTGCAGCTGGTACTGCAATTAGGGCGACCTGTAATTTGCGTCACGGGCACGTGAGGAACTTAAAAAACAGCAGAAAAAATGTTCCCAAGATATAAATAGCCACAATCGGGGATGAAGGAAAATGCCACAGCCCAGAGTCGCCCTTGAAAATTGCAAAGTGGGCGTGTCGCCATGACAACATGCATTCCAGCGACAACACAAACCAGTGCACAGAAAAAAATGGGGGAAAAAAATATGATAAAAAAACCAAACATGCAAATCCCACAGTTGAGATATAAATATCTGATAATATTATCTCTTTAAATATTTTAATTTATTGAACTTCCTGTTATGCGGTTTAAAATTAAAGATATTTAAAGTCTTGAAACTGATTTTCATATCATATGGCATTTTCTTTCTGTGTATTAAGTGACTGGCAGAAAAAGGAGTCGAAAAAGTTGTAAGTTCTCCTCGTCAAAGTCCAAGATATTCCTGACCAGCAAGCACTCGCAGCATTTTACCAGACACATTTGATTAGCTGTCTGCTACTGAATAGGGGGTTTCGCTTGGGAAATTCCTGATGCGGATCCGGTTAGATATAATGGATTTGGGAACAACGATTTTGGAACACAGTGCCAGTTACTGAAATAGTGCTGATTATATTATTTTCCATATAAGTTTTTAAAAATTGTCTGATGCGGAAGTGGTAAACAGAAACGGAACAAGAACTGGATAAAAATTTGCTTTCAACAATTATTATGAAGAACTAATATTATATATTTAAAGAAAATGCCAGGAATATCTAATTGAAAAATAACTATAATAATTTATTAGTACTCGACTGAAGTATAAGCCCTAAAGAAAGTGTATTCCGCAAAGCCTCTTTAACCCACTCCTCCATTTTCCGCCTTTTCATCGTGCAATTAGCTACTCCTCACAGGTGATTAGCGACCAGGCCAATATTTGCCAGCTGATTGCGTTTAATCCGCAATGCTCATGGCCTGGACATGTGGGACAGGTGAAACCAGAGCAATTTCAATTAGCCAATAAACCGACAGCCCGAAGGGGCTGCGAACTGACCTCGAGTCCTGGTAGTGACAAAGATGAATGGCTTTCTTTGCTGGCCAAGCGAACTGGCAATTAGCCACAACAAGTTGACTAGGCCAAAATGTCATCACGAAGGCGTTGGAGGTGTGCCCTCAAAGTTTGCCAGCAAATTAAATTCCAGTTTATTGATGTCAGGCGAGGAGCCGGGACACTTGTTGTCTCCGGCTGAGAGGGATTACATTTTTACGGCGCCACCACGGAAGTGGCCCATCAGAAGCCATCTCGTTTGCTCTAATTGCCGGCAAACGATGGCGCCGGTTACTCACACAGGGAAAAAGTTGTAATACGAAAGGATAAAGAATTTAAACAATTAGTTATTAATTTATTTACCTAAAAAGTATAAAAACCTTCTCCTTTTGAAATGAAATCAAACAACGGTAAAGTAAATTCTCACAAAAATTCCTAATAGTTAATTCTATTTCTTATCTCTTATGAAAAATTATAATAAGAAAAAGTTCTTTCCCCTTTTGTATTTAAAAACAGTCTAATTAAAATTCTTATTCTTTTCCAAATCATAAAAAAAATATTTATAGCAAATTTCTACAGAAATTGATTACATTATTTTCTTTGAGCTCCTTTTTATTTCTTATTTGCAGATTAAATGCCACAGTTTTGGGTTTTACCACCATATTTTATAAAATTGTAAAGCTTGCTGACATGATGAGAATTATGTTATCAATACAAAAAATAAGAAACATAAAAAGAATGAAAGAAAAAAGATTGAATACCCTTTGGAATGTTCATATATGTATACGTTTCAGAACTGTATGGTAAAGTTCTGATTAAAGTTATTAAAGCTCTTTTTTATGATTTTATTTTCTTTTTTTGCCGCCGTGTAAACAACAACTACTCAGCTTGTTTAATTGTGCATGTCCCGTTGTCATTTGGTGACTTAGACTGTCTCATCGTGTGTGACAGTGAATTATAGCCTCTGGATGACCTGTTGCCCAATTCGTAGGTGTGGTCCACCCCATTCCTCCCCCACCCTTCAAAGAAATATCGTCCGGAAACTCTTATTTCAAAATGCGGATATGACACCAAAAACAAAAATGAAGAAAAGCCTCGCTTATTGTGTTGTTGCTGTTGTTTATGCGTGAGCATATATCTGGCGAAGATAATTCAAAATGCTACCCGACTATCAAATTTATCGGGTCTGAATGAACTACAGAGCCCATACAGAAATTCTTATCGCCTCTTCACTCCGACAATACAGCGAAAGCTCCATTCTTTCTTTGGTCGTTATGCTGTTCGTTTGTGCGCGAGAATCGGATTGAAATTTTTAAATACTATTAAAAAATACACAATTTTAGAGATAACGTGTACAAAAAGATAAGAAAAAGCAAGGAATCATTTATAAATGAACTAGTTAAATTTAAATTACAAACATATTAAGCGCAGCAAACAAAAAAAAATTAAAAATTAAATATACAATTTATTTACCAATTATAAGATGTTTAAAATATATACCAAAAAGTGCCAAGCTAACATTATTTATATACTATTATATAATTTATTTAAAAATCTACAACTCTAACGAAGGCAACCAACTTTTGTTTTTTTGCAGTGCAACGCTAAGTGAGCAAAGTGTCTTCCAGCGTGACCATGGCATTACTGGGCCAAATGTGTTAAAATTGTGAATATTTAGGAGAATAAAACTGGTAAAAAATATAACCGCAAAGCAAACAAACAAATCGTCCAGATGGCAAAGCTCCTGAGGAGAGTTCTGCTGCCCCTGTTTCTCTTCGTTTGGATCTCGTGGAGCGATGCACGTAAGTAGCCTTGTGCAAATTTCTTAGAAAAACCCATATTTTTCAAGTTTCGATTTTATTCAAAAGAATTTTATGGAACTGATAAGGTGAAGCCATGAAAAAACCCAATGGCTAACGTTTTCAATTTGCACAATTAAAATGAAAATATACATATCTGGGAGCATGCAGTGATGTTTATGTGTGGGTTGCTTCCTGTCACAATCTGAAATTCTTTATAATTAAATGCACTGAGAAAAATTCTCAGAAATGTCAGGGGCTTGCAAATATATATTTTTATTTAACTATAATATTTTGATCGAAAATCTATACGGATTTCAATATTTAATAATAATACAAAAATTTTACAAAATACCAAATTGTAAAATACACATTTGAAAATTAATTGTATTGCATTGTATCACTTTTTTTTCCTGTGCGATGCCATAATCCGCTCATCTTTGAGCTTCAACCAGTCCAGACAGATCCCAGTGTTCCAGTCTACAGACACCGCTTCGAACTTTGAACTTAAGTTGATAAACCTCCGAATTCTAGACGAGACGTGGCCATTGTCTATCCAACTCAAGTGTCGCCTTCATTAGTTATTATGGTGATATTGTGTCGCCTATTTTTATGTTTCTTCCTATTTTTTTTTCTTAAAAAACCACATACATATATGTACTTAGAGCACGAGGCAGTGCGGCGAGCATAATATAATGCCCATCGTCAACTCAATTGTTATCGCTGTAAACAAATAATTGATTCCGAAGCAAAAGAGGCAAAACAAACTAGTTGAGCTGCAAGAACAGAGGCGCAGTCACTGGGATACCCTGATCAATTATATATGAGACTTGGGATCGGTGAAGGATTGTTTATTTGCGCCCATGACGCTCCCTAGAGGGTCGCTCAACCGCAAATCACTTGAAGTCATTATTATAGCGCCACCAGTGGCTGGGGATGGGGATTGTCGCCGAAGAGGGAAACCGGAGGCTAGAACTCGGCAATAGATAAAGCGGCAAGTGAAGTGTTCCGTTGTAGGGCATTCGAGCGATCAATGAACAATGAACGCGTACACAGAGAAAATTCTGACGTTCTCATCTGAGTTGAAAATGTTCTTAAAAATAAAAAGGCCTTTTTCAAGTTTAAAATGTTCTAAATGTGCTTAAATTAAGTTGAATTGGTTCTTAAAATCTAGTTGAGCTTAAAATGTTCTTGAAATAAGAACGAATCGTTATTATTTTAGCACATGGTTCTTAAATCAAATCGATTTGGTTCTCAAAAACCACAATATCTGAAAATGTTCTTAGTTTGAGAACGAAAAAGACTAAAGAAAGAACAAAAATTAATTTGCATTTCAACTTAAAATGATTCAAAACTCTATTCTCTAATTTTTTTGGATTTCCTAGAACGCGTTAGGATGTTTTCGTTTGACGCCTAGAAGGCACTAGACCATTTTAATTTGCTCCAATACGACTTTACCATTAGATCTGCCCTTTTCGTCTTATATATAATTCCCAACTGGTTCTAGCCCTTCATGAACCGAGCCCAATTCAGATTCTGAGACTTTAAGACTTTTTTCTGGCTTAAGTCTTTAATGAACTTCCACACTAGCTGGAAGTCAAGTGCAACGCGCACCTTTATAAGGTGTAATGGACAACTACCTTTTTAATATTACTTATAAATTACTCTTATCCTTAGCTAAAATCAAACTCAAAATGCTATAGAATTGAGAGCAAAAAGTGCTGAAAATAGAACAAATGAACTTATATTTGTATCCATTTGATTTAAAAATGTTCTTGAATTAAGAACAAAATCAACTTGAAAATAGAACGAAGTGAACTTAATGTCGGATTTTTAGCTAACACCATTTCGTTCTGATATTGAGAACATTTAACTCGAAATGAGAACATTTGTGCTTACCCGGTTTTTAAGAACGAATGTTCTTGATTTGAGTGCAATGTTCTTAGTTTTTTTTCTCTGTGTACAGTTGACCTTCTGCTGTGCACCGAAAACAATATTCCCACAATAAATTTAATCCATATTGGACCTCATAAAGAAAATAATAACCTGGATACTACAAATATCACAATATTTTAGTTTATTTTTAATAATAATACAACATTTTTTTAACAAATTTACAACATATTCTCTCCAAATTTTTCAGTACCCATCGACGACGACAGTACCGATAACTGCGGCGGCGAGAATGGAGCTCCCCTGATGACGCCCTGCAAGAATTACATGGTTCTGGACTCCCAGGAAATCACCACGTTGAAGTGCGAGGCCAACGAGACGATTAGCTGGTGGAGCAGCTCATCTAACTACCAAATGCAGGAATTTAAGGGGGATTCGTTTGATAATGCCGAGCAGGATCCGTCACGACCATTTGGGTCCAGCCTTACACTTTTAGATGTGTCGGCCGAAGACGTGGGTGCCTATTATTGCGTGAAAGACGCGGAGCTTAACAAGATCGCCGAAAAGTCGGACGAGGCGATGGTCGAGCTGGTCAACCAGGGCCATGCCAGCTCCATGTACGTGTATGTGGACGACCAAGCCAATAAGTTGGCATCCACCACCAGCGTGGTGAAAGCCTTGCAATACACCGACGTGGTCATACCCTGTAAACCAGCGATGCCCGACACTGAAGTGTGGCTAGAAACCAATACTGGAGATGTAAGTTGCAAATATAATTTGTTTTTAAATACATCTCACATAGTTTAATAAACCAAAAAAGAAGGGATTTATATAGAAAGAATCAATATTTTTGTTTTTGGACGTCGATCGAATAAGAACTAGTATTAAAGCTAAGATATCTTTTGAGATATACGACTATTTGTACGAAATAACGGAGTTATGTGAATTTTCTTATTTCTTTCGACCGATTATAATAATTATTATTAAACTGACTTTGTAATTCCGAAATGGTAATCCTAAAAATGCTTTACTCCGGAGTAAAAGAGAATATGATTAAATTAGTATATTTATTAAGAACTTATAAATTTATTTTTTTTGGCATGCAGAATCCTCATTGGAAGATACCTTCGAAAGGTCAGATTCAGGGAAGTCCCAAGTTCTTCGATAGAATGAACTACCACCCCAGATGGGGCTTCACCTTCCGAATCATTGACCGTTTTACCGGTTACATCTTATGCAAATCGACGATAAATTCTACAGTTTTTGACGTTCTGTACACAGAGAGTATGTCACAGTTTTGTTTTAAAATGATTTTGTAGCTAAGCCCATACGATCCACAAATGTATATATATTCTATACTGTACAGATAGCCCATTCCCTAGATTTCATACCTATATATTGTAGTATTAACAAACCAGTTCCAAGTCCGTAACTGCATTGATAGGACGCTTTTTAGGCCTTCCTTTTTATTACCCGATTTCTGACCAATTTGCCTCTGTGCAGAAATATTCCAGCAAATCTGTCGGTCGGTACAATCCGAAACGGGGATTCACCATCGAAATCCGCAGCATCACGGATGGCGGCGACTACTATTGTCGTCCAATCTCACCCTTCCCGCACAACGAAGAGGAGTATACCAGCATAGAAGTGCTCTTTATTGGTAACGGTCACATTGATAGTGAGTTTTTGCACCCCAAAGTTTGTGATTTGTGATTTCCGTCTATACATGTCGTAAATATTGCTTCTCCTTTTTGAAATCGATCATTTGAAGCGGTTAAGGTTATGGTTTTCCCGAGGCCACGGATCTAATCTTTGCAATTCTATTCTCTTCCAAATTCATGGCTTTAATCATTCACTATAGCCAATACACAAAATTTTATTGCACGCAAGTTCGAACTCACCTAAAATTAAGTAGGGCTTTTTATTATAATTAAAAAAAATATAGAAATGGAATTGGGTATTTAATGCTTAAATTCTTAAATATTGAATATTTTTCATTCTTCATATCACAATAAATATAAAAAATTTCTTAAATCACCATTTAAAATTCAATATAAGTTTGAAAATCTCACTGCCTGCAAGTTTAATAAGTGTGCTAACCCAAGGTATTTCTTCAACTTTATGTTCCCCCCACTGTTTCTTGCTCACCAAATTGAAAATTAAAAAAATATTGATTGACTACCCGAACCCACTGTCACGTTAATCTGCTAACTCCTCCAGAAACCGGATCGGAAAGTCCCAGTACCAGCCCACCGACATCGGGGGCCTTGACTAACATGGGGTATGCGTATGCACCAGATGGCACCGATGGCGATGTTACTAACCAATCGACGGGTAAAGTGGCACTAACCAATGGTGATGGTGATGGAGCTCTATCCCGGGATCGGGCAAGGCGAAGTCCAGTCCGCCTGGCACCGATGAGATCGTCGCCCTCACCCAGACCGGGGCGTAAGTGTTGTCCTGGCTGTTGTTGTTGAAATGTTGTTGATGTGTTGTTGATGTGTTGTTGATCTCATGTTGATCTGTTCTTCTGTTCCGTTCTGTTATTGTGTTGTCCTGGCTGTACGTCATGTTTTGCATCCCTTACCTTCTGGCTTTGGTTTCAATTTTATTCGGTTATGGACTGATTTAACTGCTGTAGCTACATAGCTTATTTGTTACTAATCCCGGCTAACACCTACCACCTAAGTGCTGTTGAAACGTTAACCCATTTGTGTCCACGTCTATGTCTAACCCCCCCTCCATCTGCATGAAGCTGCAGCATTGCTGGCAAGCCCCAGACCTTTGCGAAGGGTATCTAATAAAGCTAAACTTTCTAACAACGCCACAGAAAGCGGCAAACCCCTGCCAAAGCCCGTGATTAAGACCACTGTGGATCATCATGTCATCACTGACTCCAATTTTACTCTGGTTTGCGAACAGTCCGCCTTCGTTGATTCCCTGTACGAAATTGAGTGGCAGACTCCGGCTCACGATGAGGTAAGTGAAATGCAATGCCAGCAAACGAAATATGTTAAAGATTAACCACTTTCGCAGAGCCGCTTTAGATTTAGCGCCGCAGAAACCGATCCCAAGACAAGGAACAGCACTCACCAGATGGGTAGGAGAACTCTGACGGTATTCAATGCCCAGCGTTCAGATTCCGGTACATACAAGTGTATAACAATAGATAAAACCCAGGATATAACACAATTTGTCAGCTATATGATTAAGGTTATCGGTGAGTTAAAAAAAAAAAAAAATAAGAAAATATATATAATATTTTACACCGATATCTACAGGACCAAACGAAAGCTACCTGAATGTGTTCGAGCCCTCGGGACATTACAATGTCCAAGAATTGGCTAATCGTACCATCCAGATGAGGGCCAACTTCGAGGGATATCCCACTCCTACCTTTAGCTGGTTTAAGCCCGACGGTTCGGAGGTGCGACAGTCGGAGCATAATTTTAAGATTATTTCCGAGGAGTTGGGTACAATGCTTCAGGTGCTGAATGCCCAGTTGCAGGACAGTGGCACCTACATCCTTAAAGGAACCAACTCCAAGGGGAGCGTGCATAAGGAGTACAAAGTGAGTGTGATGGATGGTCCAAACTTGGGCATGTCGGACGTCTACGTCCAGGCGGGATCCGTGGCGCACATGGAGTGCAACGTTCGTGCCTATCCGCCGGCGATAGTCACCTTCTTATTCCGACCCTGCAAACTTGAACCCAGTTGGCCCACCTGTGAAGCGCACTATCAGAACTTCAGCGTAAGTACCTCAATGGTCTATATATTAAGTGTGCTTTATTGATGTCGGTTAAGGAATATATACAATTTTTCAAAAACTTCTTAAAGTCTATAAATGTTATATTTAGGCTTAATATATTTGTATTTGTCCCCTAATCATCATTCATTTGTTTTTCCTGTGTCGTCCCATGGTTCGGTGTTTGGTGTTTTCGTCCTGCAGATACCAAGTGTACGGGAGAAATATGAGGTATATTTTTTGCTTACAATTTTCATTGAAATCCATTCCATTACAATCTAAAACCCCCTTTTACACCACCCACAGTTCCAGTCCAAGCCGAGACCCGGAAAACTGAGTGTGGAAACTATATACACAGTGTCCTTCCTGCCCACCGAGCCAGGAATTATCACTTGCATCGCCGAAAATCTGGTGAATGGACAGGCTAGAAGGAACACTCAGAAGGCTCACGTGCTGCTGGGCGATATATCCGAGAACATGACGATACATGGCTTCGATAAGAATCACAAGATCGCCAAGGGAGAAGATGTGAGCTTCACCTGCGAAGCGCTGGCCTATCACTTCGACGGCAATCTTGTGTGGCTCTTTAATGCCAATGATTTGACGGAGTCCGAACGTAAGACTTTCTCTATTCAATGTTAAATTTCATTTTTAATAATTTAAAATACTTACGCCCTCAGTTCTTCGAATCGAGACAAGTCGCACCAAGTACTCCTACAAGAGCACTATACATATATCTTCGATAGCCGACAGCGATCAAGGAACCTACGAGTGCAGGGCCTATGACAACAGGAATATCTCCATGTACAGCAGTCGCGAGATATCCTTGAGCGTCAACGATCCTTTCGCTCCTGTGTGGGTGAATAACAGCTTGAGTACCCACTCGAAAATAAAGCGAAAATTGAGCGAAGGAGTGGATTTGGATTGCGACTCGAAAGCCATTCCCTTGGCCACGGTGCGTTGGTACAAGGACGATAAGGATCTGGACGCAGAGATCTTGAAATACGAATACGTCACAGAAAGTAATTCCACGCTGCGAATTACGAACATCAATCCATTGGCCGAAGGCGTCTACAGGTGTGTGGTGGAGAACCGGTTGAACAGAATCGAGAGGACCTTCACGGTGGTCATTACGGGTAAGTCGGATTAACTTTTAGGATGATCACATATATAAAGCTGGGTATCTCTACGATATTTTATAGATCTACCCGGCATCAGCATGGCCTGGGTGTGGTTCGGTGTGATCCTCTTCCTCATCCTGATCAGCCTGTGTCTCTTCCTGGCCGTTCGCTACCAGAAGGAGCACAAGAGGCACAAGGAGCTGAAGGCAGCTGGTTTGGCCAACTTCGAGGAGGGAGCCGTGGGACACATTAATCCCGACCTGACCCTGGACGAGCAGGCGGAGCTCTTGCCCTACAATCGGGAATTCGAGTTCCCGCGGGACAACCTGAAGCTGGGCAAGCAGCTGGGAGCCGGAGCCTTTGGCGTGGTGCTCAAGGGAGAGGCCAGGGGAATCCGAAAGGAGGAGCCCGTCACCACGGTGGCGGTCAAAATGGTCAAGCGAACGGCAGACAACGAGGTGGTGAGGGCACTGGTCTCCGAGCTCAAGATTATGGTCCATCTGGGCCAGCACTTAAATGTGGTCAATCTCCTGGGAGCCGTTACCAAAAATATTGCGAAACGTAAGTTGAACGAACTTCTAATAAAACAATTTAATTTTTAAACAATAATATACCTAACACTTAGGCGAACTTATGGTCATTGTTGAGTACTGTCGCTTTGGCAATATTCAGAACTTCCTTCTGAGGAACAGAAAGTGCTTTATCAACCAAATCAGCCCGGATACCGATCACATAGATCCCAGCATCATGACTCAGCGCATTTCGGACAACTTCGACCTGCACCGGTAAGTTTTCACGGGCCATTAAAGTGACTAATAATTTAAAAACCTGAAATCAAAAGTAACCCCAACGTAAACTAAACCTTAGTTAAGATAACCGTTGTGCTGACTAACTCTTGTATTGTTTTATTCTTGGTTTTGGTACTCTTATGATAAAATCTAACCACCGACTAACTACCAACAAAACACGATCCACTTTATGATAAACTCTTGCTAAACTCAACACACACTCACCCACCAAAAACACTGAATGTTGTTGCACCTGTGCTTGTGATCCCGCTCCTGGTTGTGGTCTCCTCCTCTGTGCTCCCCGCTCTATGTGAATCCCCCTGTGTCCTTGTGGTGGCGACTAAACTCCAACTAACAGCGATGCGAACGGTGGTGGCCTGAAGTACGCCAATATCGGTTTCCCGATCCACTCGTACGTCAATGAACCGCACAACAATAACACGCAACCGCCACCTCACCGCAGGAACTCGGACAATGATCCCCGATCGGGCACCCGAGCCGGACGCCCCGGATCCGGATCCGCCACCTACAGCTACGACCGACAGATGGACACCTGTGCCACCGTGATGACCACAGTGCCGGAAGGTAGGTCCCTATCTATATTACTATTAGAGGACGACACCACACCCGCGTCTTGAGACAATAATGTAGAACTGTTAATGTCATAAAATTGTTACTTCCACACACATGTTATGTTTCCGGTTATTTGTTTCTTTGTTCTAAATTATGCGTTTTATAACCATTTATTTGGTTGATCAACGTTTAAATAAAATTTTATGTTATCGAAAAAAAAAGATATTAAAATGATAGAAAATAATATATGGATGTCTCCAGATGTCTTCCATTTTTAATCCTTTTTTTATTTTTGTACCTATTTATTTTTTTTTTTTATTTTGTCAAATTAAAACTAGTAGACAATATATGATAGAAAATAATATATGGATGTCTCCAGATGTCTTCCATTTAAACCAAAGGTGTCAGAAGTGCGGCGATCACTGACTTAAACCCATTGACTAACTTTTTTTTATTTTTTTATTTATTTTTTTTTTTTATTATTTTGTCAAATTAAAACTAGTAGACAATACTAAATTTAATGGATAAAAATGACACTGGAAACTGAAGTCCTTTGGCCGAACATTTTTTAAAAGCACAAATAGTATTTGAAATCAATTTAGGAGCATAATATTTATTTTTAATATACTTAAAATAGAGTGAGAAATTAAAATAATCCCATTCATATTCCTCAGATGATCAAATAATGTCCAATAACTCCATACAACCCGCCTGGCGTTCCAATTACAAGACAGACTCCACGGAGGCGATGACAGTGACCACCGTTGACTTGATCAGTTGGGCATTCCAAGTGGCCCGTGGCATGGATTACCTGTCCTCGAAGAAGGTGTTGCACGGCGATCTGGCCGCCAGAAATATTCTCCTCTGCGAGAACAATGTCGTGAAGATTTGCGACTTTGGTCTGGCCAGATCCATGTATCGAACGGATAACTACAAAAAGTCAGGTATATGAGAACTACAGGATATATTTTTAGATTTTTTAAACAAACAATCCTTCAATTTCTAGAGAGTAGCAAACTGCCCATTAAGTGGCTGGCGCTGGAGTCGCTGAGTGATCATGTCTTCAGCACCTACAGCGACGTTTGGTCCTACGGAATTGTCCTCTGGGAGATGTTCTCGCTGGCAAAGGTTCCTTATCCGGGCATAGAACCCAACGACCTGTTCAACAAACTGAACGATGGCTACCGCATGGAGAAGCCTCCGTACGCGAATCAGGAGCTCTACGAGATTATGCTGGAGTGCTGGCGGAAGAAGTAAAAGAAACATATGCTTAATATTAAATAGACTTCATTATCCAATGTATTATTCCAGTCCTGAGAGCAGACCTTTGTTCGCTGAGCTGGAGAAGCGTTTTGGCAATATGCTGGGCGAAGATGTAGCCAATGTAAGTGGAGAAACACTTTGTTATAAAGAACCTATGTGTAATATCTGAACTTCGCAGCACTACCTAGACCTGAACAACCCGTACATGCAGAGCAACATGGAGTACATGAAGACGCAGTCTACGGATTACCTGGCTCTCATGGGATCCCCCGACGAAGTGGCGCCCGCTGCTCCGCGCTACGTGAATAACCTCATAGTGCCCAAGATCCGTGAGTATTATGATTATTCCATGGCCATGGATCAGGTTACTAACTCTGCACACTCACCTCCCACTCATCCGCCCATCGAAATGCACATCCACACGCGCTGGCACACTAACTCAGACATCGAAATGCCGGATGACTACATGCCGATGAACATGGACACCGAACCCGATGCCAGCACAGCCATATTCTCACCCACGCGCCTCGAAAACGGGGCATCCGACTTTCCGGACTTCTCAAGCGAAACCACTTTCAATTTCCCAGGCGAGCGGCAGTCGCCGACGTTGAGCAATAATCTGAACAACGGATCGAGTAAGCCGCTCCGCAGGAAGAACGGCCTGCCGACGGTGGATGCGGCGGACCAGGCTCCGGAGGAGATACCCATGCTGCATCGCCGCTCCACGGGATCGGATGACAGCCATCCGGAGAGTCCGGAGCAGGGCAGGCGCTTCAATCAGGCCCTCAAGCAGCAGTACGTCACTCCGACGCCTTCGCCCCGCCATCATGTGGAGACAAAACTCAACGGGGAGTCCGTTGAGAACTACGTGAATGTGAAGCCACCCAGGAAGAATATACCCGGCAAGACCACAACTGGAGGTGGGGGTGGTGGTGGAGCACCTGGAGCCCCCACGGAAGCCTTCTCGAATCCCAGCTACCAGCCACTGTCCACCGTCAACGAGAAGGAGCAGCGAAGGTATTAGCAAGTCCCGGAGCCATTAGTTTTAGTTTAGGACCTCTACACAGCTCAGTTGGAGTTTTAAGTGGAACTTAAAGTAGGCAATTTTAAACTATATCAATGATGAAAGAAACTGTCAGCCATTAGGAAAACCAATTGATTAAAACATAATTCAGCACGTAATAATCTTAGTAACTAGTTAAAATTTCAACTCAACTGCTTAGGGGCCTTTAAAGGAACAATACTACCAAGTGGCATTGTCAAGATTCTGATATAGACCTAAGACCACCCACACTCACTCCATGTTATATACTATTAATGCCATTTCATGTTTTAATTTAGTCTAGACCTAAGCCTAAGCTGATCTATGTAACTGAATGTCTTGTAATTTGTATGCATGTACCTTCGACTACTCAAATACAATGGGTATAACAAGTATAGAAACATGTGGTTTTTATCTTCTATGTAATTTTTCTCATCCTTCCTAATGCGTCGTATTCCAAGAGTTCGTTCTTCAGATTAAGTGTCTTTAGCTCCAAACAAAGAGACAAGCAAACAAATAAAAAATCCGCTCTATATCTGAACGATTTGCATGTTCTTAAAATCTTGGTAGGCAATTTTTGTTTAATGCTGAAATAAGCTGGGATGACACATTCAATTTGTATTGTTATTATTTGGATTATTTTATTTTCCCTGTACATTTTTTGTAAAGTTATTTGCCGGAAATAGGCAATGGATATGAAAAAACGCATCATGACTCAGTATTTCAAAAAAGCGTAATTAACAGTTGTTGTTTAAAAAAAAAAATGTTGTTCTCAATTTATAAGGATGGGTTCTTGTCATCAGAATATTAATTAAAATTTCTAAGAAATGTGTTCAATTTAATTCAAACTTTTTTTTTAGAGATATTTAAGTAATATCCACTAAATTTTATGTCTGATACTATCGCCTAATATATCGGTGACCAAGCAATGCCCAGAAAACTTTTAAAAACTTACGTATTTCGTCCAAAATTTTCGGACTTCATCTACTTCTTACTTTAAACAGAAAAATGTCCCCTAAAACTTGTATTTGGTATAACTTTTTTACGGAGTTTCAGCTGTTAAAGGTGTCAATTGAATTGTCAACTAGGCCAAGTGGATCGGCCCATCACAGCAGATATCTATTGATTTCCACGCGGTGTCGCCCTCTCAAACTCTTTCTATGCCATTTGAACCGTAGGTACTTATTATAAATAAATCTTAAATTAAACCAACCTGGACCTTTCGCTTTTTTATGGGCAGAATCGGGGAAATTTATGTGATTCATCTGGAACTCCCTTGTGTGTGGTTAGCAAGCGATAATGGTGACGCTACTCCGAAAATTCAGCAAAAACCTCCATTCCTTCTCGGGTCATTATGATGTTCGTTTGTGCGCGAAATTCGGATTGAAGTCAGTGTCTACTCAGCTCGTGAGCTCGTGTGGTGAGCCGCTCTATATAAATTTGTAAAAGGAACTTTTCATATTTATGAATATATTAAAAAACAAGAGAGAACGCTATAGTCGGGTTGTTGTCCCGACTATCTAATACCCGTCACTCAGCTAAAGGGAGTGCGAACGCTGTGTCGGGTTGCTGTCCCGACTAATAATCGTAACTCAGCTAAAGGGAGTGCGAGGGAGATAGATATATAATTTTTGATTGCGTATAACTTTTTAATGAATGGTCCGATTTGAAAAATGTCTTCTACATTTCGATAGGTATAAATATACACAACAAAATTGCATTTATACTTCTCGGAAATCTTTAAAGATGTGGGCGCAGGACCATTTTAAAATCGTTAGTGGGCGATTGTGGGCGTTAGAGGGGGCGTGGCGCTCGGCTAAAATAAACTTGCGCTGCGTAGGGAGCCAAAGAATATGTGCGGGAAATCTCAACCTTCTAGCTTTTGTAGTTTCTGAGATCTCAGCGTTCATACAGACGGACAGACGGACAGACGGACAGACGGACATGGCTAGATCGACTCGGCTAGTGACCCTGATAAAGAATATATATACTTTATGGGGTCGGAAACGCTTCCTTCTAGCTGTTACATACTTTTGCACGAATCTAGTATACCCTTTTACTCTACGAGTAACGGGTATAACTAATTAGATTAAAAATAAACGTATAAAAAAATAAAGCAATAATGAATTCATCGCGATCCAGAATTTGGCATCAATCGCTATCGCTTCGGTTCTTTCCATGAGTTTTACTTTGTAATATAGTGTATTTATTGAACTTCAAAAAGGTAATTTAAAGCGCTATAAATGATAACTCCAACTTTGTGCGAGCCAAATGTTTTAAAATTGTGAATATTTAGAAAAATAAAGCTACAAAAAACAAGCCATTAATCAAATGGGGGATATGACTGTGCTCCTGAGGAGAATTCTGCTGCCCCTGCTTCTGTTCGTTTGGATCTCGTGTAGCAATGCACGTAAGTAATTTAGGGCAAATCTCTTTTTAAAAAACCCACATATTTCGATATACATATGATTTTATTCCAAAGGAATTTTATGATGTGACAAAAAAAAGCCATTTATTAATACAAATGATGTTTAAAAATTAAGAGCTTTCTTTCTGTTTCTACACTCAGAAAAAAAATCGCCCTTAATTTTAGAAAATCGCCCGTGATTTCAAATCGCCATTGAATTAAGAAAATTTTTCTATAACCTAGAAAAATTTTCTTAAGTTTATGGAAATTCGCCATAAAATTTTTTATAAAATGAATAAGAAGAAGAATAGTTGATTTTTTTCTTGGATTAATGGCGATATTTTCTTGGATTAATGGCAATATTTTCCGACCTTTTTTCTTGAGTTAATGGCGAAATCGCCTTTGATTCTAGAAAATAAATACCTATTTTTTAGGAAAGTTGTGTAATTTTTTAGTGTTCTAGTATGGTGGCCTAGCTGTTAGAGGCGTTCGGACACTAAACATGTGTACAAAAGTCGCCGCGGAAACCGCGGTTCGACTTCACGCAGGGACGAGTCTAATATTTTTTTTTTAATAGTTTTTGTTTTTTTTTTCGTATAAAAAATCTTTTGTTTTGGTTTTCCATTCACTAAATTGTTAAAACTGTTGTTAACAAGATTTAATTAAAGTAATTGTAATTGGTATACCAATAATACGACCGTTAACACTTTAGGCATCTTAAGCCATTGCATTGCAAGAAGCACGCGTGGCCGAGTGGTTAAGATGTCTGTCTATGGTGTGAGCGGTCGCGAGTTCGAGTTCAGGTCGAGGTAAGAATTTTTCCTTAAGTCTTTTATATGTTTACAAAAAGTTTTTTCTGTACTTAAAATGCATTGTAATTAATAAACATTTATAATAAATTTGAATTTAAATTAAATAAATAAATAAAAAAATAAATAAATAAAAATGTAACCTATTGTCACGATATGATTGTCATTAAAACATGAAAGGTTTCCTCCTAGTTAACAAACCTAAATGCAAAAGTGATAAAAAAAGTCGGACAAAATTAAAAAAAAAGGTTATAAACAAATATACTTTTATTTTTCTATTTTTAAGAAAATTTTTCTTAATTTTAGGGTTTTTTGCCGTAAAATTCAGAAAAATTGGTAATGATTTTTAGAAAGGCGAAACCGTAAATTCAAGAAAATTATTTCCCATTATTAATGGCGAATCGCCGTTGGCTGAAAATCATAGGCGATTTTCTTGAATCAATGGCGAATTTCTTGAATCAATGGCGATTTTTTTTATGAGTGTATTCATAAGATTCATAATGGTTCAAATAATATTTAAAGAAAATTATTCGCAATATAATTATTCAGCATAGAAGTGCTCTTTATTAGTAACGGTCACGGTCCCAACAAATTTTGGGATTTTTGATATCCACCTTTAAAAGTCGTAAATATTGCCTTGCTTCATTGAAATCTATCATTTAAAGCGGTAAATGTAAAGGCAATCCTCAGTCTTTTGCATAGGGTATCTAATAAAGCTAAACTTTCTAACATTGCCGCAGAAAGCAACAAAGACCTTCCAAAGCCCGTGATCAAGACATCTGTGGATCACCACGTCCTTACGGACACCAACTTCACCCTCGTTTGCGAACAGTCCGCCTTCGTTGAATCCTTATACGGAATCGAGTGGCAGACACCGTCTGTCGATAAGGTAAAATTCAATCCAAGCAATCCAACAATTTTAAAGATTGTTATTATAACATTCCCGAAGAATCGCAGATTTACCACCGCAGAAATCGATCCCAAGACAAGGAACAGCACACACCTGATGGACAGGAAAACTTTGACTATATTGAATGCCCAGAAGTCAGATTCCGGTACATACACGTGTGTAACTACAGATAATTTCCAGCTTATCACACAATATGCCAGCTACATGATCAAAGTTATAGGTGAGTTTATCAACTTGCTAAATGTATTCTTATCAGTTATAGTAATGGTATACTATACCGATACTCACAGCACCAAACGAAAGCTATCTAAATGTCTACGAGCCGTCGGGCCATTACAATGTCCAAGAATTGTCTAACCGCACCATTCAAATGAGGGCCAACTTTAAGGGATATCCAACGCCCACCTTCAGCTGGTTCAAGCCCGACGGAACAGAGGTGCGACATTCGGAGCACAACTTCAAGATCCTCTCCGAGGAGATGGGTACAACGCTTCAGGTGCTGAATGCCCAGTTGCAGGACAGCGGCACCTACATCCTGAAAGCCACCAATTCCATGGGGAGCGTGCATCGGGAGTACAACGTCAGTGTGATAGATGGTCCAAACCTGAGCATGTCGGACGTCTACGTCAAGGTGGGAACAGTGGGGCAACTGGAGTGCACCGTTCGCGCATATCCGTCGGCTACAGTCACCTTCTTTTTCCAACCCTGTGGATTTGAATCCAGTTGGCCCACTGCCGAAAGGAAATATCAGAACTTCAGCGTAAGTATCTCAATCGGGTTTTTATTAATATTAATATTTTATTATCGATTCAAGTAAATTACACTAATTTTGATTAAATTAATATTTAAGTTTAATGTATTTGTATTTCTTTGCTAATCATCTTTGAATTGATATTCCGTGTCGTTCTATGGTTCGGTGTTTGATGTTGTCGTTCTGCAGATACCAAGTGTACGGGAGAAATATCAGGTACAATAATTTCTTACAACCTACATTCCATATCCTTTCGATCTCAACTTTTCACCACCCACAGTTTCAGTTCAAGCCGAGACCCGGAAAACTACACTCAAAATAAATTTAACCCTAAATTTTAGAAAATCGCCATTAAAATTTCTTTTTTCTAAATACAAGAAAGTTATTTCTAAATCTAAGGAAATTTTTCTTAAGTCAAGAAAGTTTTCCTTAAATCCAGGAAGTTTTTCTTAAATGTAGAAAATGGTTACCATGAACTAAAATCACCCTAAAATCTAGAAAAAATGCCCTTAAAATTAGAAATTATTTTCTGAAAAATAGAAAGGCAAACGAAAATAATAAAATATTTTGGCAACACCTTTTCTAAAAATTAGTGCCCTAACCCTAAAATGAAACCAACCCTAAATAATAGAAACATTTTCTAAAAAGTAGAAATTTTTTCTAAAAAATAGAAATATTTGTTTTCACATGCTCTGGCACACCAAAATGTTCAATGCCAGAACTTGTCAGCTGCCGGCCGGCTGTACTCGTGGCGCAGACCGTTAAAGCACTTGGTTAGCAATCGAATCGACGCGGGTTCGAGTCCCAGAGCAAAATTTTTTAACCTTTTTTTTTATGTTATTTTATTTTTTTTTATTTTCTTTTCTTTTTATTTATTTTTTTACTTTTTTTTATTCCTTTTTTTATTGATGGCAAGCGGTAAACTAAAAATAATTAGGTTTATATTCAGCTATTTACTATATACTACACATAATATAAATTGCGTTAGCATAAATATATACATATGTATATACGTATGTAAATAAGTAAAACGCGAATGGTCAAAATTATGCAATTAGTATTCAAATGTGTTGTCCGCTTCACCCTTTACATACAATGCTCGGTTTGCCACAGCAAGTTTAAGTGCTACAATGGCCCAGTATGTAGGCCGTTCGCTCCTCGCGCGGGAGACCCGGGTTCGATTCTCACGACGGACAAGTAAAAATTGTAAGTTTTTTTCAGGAATATAAAATATTAACTAATCATAATTTCTACATTCCCAATCTTCCGCAATCCCGTAGTCTACACTTACAACCACATTTGGCTTTGGTTAGATAAGAAATCCAAGCGCAAATACATAATAATAAATACATAACCTTTAACATTCACAATATACATGACACACAACGCCTACATATGTATATAGGGAGGAGTACATAATATAAACGTATATACAAAAAAAATCATGATTGAACATGTTTTTTTGTTTTGCTTTTAATTTCTATTTTTTAGGAAAATTTCCTAATTTTTAGAAATTTTTGCCCTTAAATTTAGTAAAATTACCCTAAAATTTAGAAATATGACGTCAAAAAAAATCAAAAATATAGAAAAATGTGACCCTAAAATTTAGGGCGAGCTTGTCTTGAAGACAAAAGTAGGGCGATTTCCTTGACTTTAGGGTTAATTTTATTTTGAGTGTAAGTGTGGAAAGTATTTACAACGTATCCTTCATACCCACGGAGCCGGGAATCCTCACTTGCATTGCCCAAAACATCGTGAATGGACAGGAACGAAGGTCATTGACCCAGGCTCACGTACTGCTGGGCGATACTTTCGAGAACATGACGATACATGACTTCGATAAGCATCACAAGATCGCCAAAGGGGATTATGTGAACTTCACCTGCGAGGCCCTTGCCTATCACTTTGCTCCAATGTGGGTAAATACCAGCTTGAATGACCACTCCAAAATAGAGCGAAAATTGAGCGAAGGGGTGGATTTGGATTGCGACTCGAAAGCTATTCCCTTGGCCACGGTACGCTGGTACAAGGACGACAAGGATCTGGACGCAGGGATCTTGAAATACGAATACGTCACAGAAAGTAATTCCACGCTGCGTATCACGAATATCAATCCATTGGTCGAAGGCGTCTACAGGTGTGTGGTGGAGAACCGGTTCAACAGAATCGAGAGGTCCTTTACGGTTGTTATTACGGGTGAGTCTGACTATAATATGGCAATTTTTAAAATGATAATCTATTTTAAATGATTTGTAATCTAAAGCGTATATGAAATCAAATAAAAACACCTCTTAACGAGGTAAAAAAACTAGTGACGATCGCGCCTTCAACATACAAAAGTTCTGATATCAACATTTGTGACGAAAAATTATTACACTCGTCATTAAATAGACTTTCTAATATTTTCTCATTCGGCCCGCCCTAGCAAACTATTCCAGCCTTTTTCCCTTTACAGGCATTTTCTATTGCAGCGTGCCGAATGAGAAAAGATTAGAAAGTCTATTTAATGACGAGTCTAATAATTTTTCGTCACAAATGTTGATATCAGAACTTTTGTATGTTGAAGGCGCGATCGTCACTAGTTTTTTTACCTCGTTAAGAGGTGTTTTTATTTGATATCAGAAGTTTTTGTTTGTTTACATTTGCTCTCATAGGAGCTAATATATACATTTAAATTTAAATTGGTAAGCCATTGTATTTAACGAATTAAGTTAAAAAGGCGATGAAGTATATCAAAATACCTTTTAAACGAGTTATAGCACATGTCTGTACCTGTAGTAGTTTAGAACTTACAAACTAACGAAATTTAGCTATTTTTAGCTTTTTTTCCCGCTAAAGTAGCGGCTTTTTCCAAAAGTCGTAGAACAAAAGATTCCTATATGGAACTCTTAAGTGCAAATTTACTGATTCCATGACCCTAAAATACAGTTCGTATACCCTCACACAAAATTCAATACTCAGGGAGCGTTAGTTGTTCGAGCTGGCAAAAGTGGCTATTTTCGTATAAAAATAACTTTTAAACGTGACTTTTTACAGTAATGTGTTGTATACCAAAATTTAAGGAATCTCAAGGGCTATACAGTTTAAAGTTGTAAGGAAAATCGTTAGAGCCGTTTTTGAGAAAATTAAAAAAAAGCTAAAAAGAAAGTTTAAAAAAAAATTCTTTTGTTCATATCTTTTTAACTATTACATTTACACAAATTGCATATAGAGGGCGTTTATAGCATTTAAAAATACCTTTCAAACGAGATGCAGCACAAGTCTGTAGCTTTAGTAGTATAGAAGTTACGGCTCTCCGAATTTTAGCTATTTATAGCTGTTTTCCCGCTAAACTAGCTAGTTTTTCCAAAAGTGGTAGAACAAAAGTTTTTTATATCGATGTGATGAACGTCATATCAAATTTTCAGAACTTAAAAAACATATTTTGGACAAGTGGACAAGTGGACAAACAGAATTAAATTTTCATTTTGGGAAGAAGAAGAAAATCTTATTTTGGCTATAACTTTTGAACGGAGAGTCGGATTTTGACAAATGACCCCTCATTCGACGGGTATTTTCAAAAGGAATACAACTAAAATATTGCGAGGGGGCATTTATCCCCACCGGCCCCAACAGCTCCAAATTTCGAAATTTTCACTTTTTCACTTTCACCGCTCTCTCTCCCAAGCCAATTGATTTTTTTAAAGTCTTGGTATGCAATCCTGTTAGTTTTAGCTATACCTTTCGATAGGTGTATCATTCATTATGATCGGACCATCACAGTAGATTTTCATTTCTTCGTGTATATATAGTAGTCGCCTTCGCACACTCTCCTGGTGCGCTTCGTCACTACATGGACTGCCGTCCATAGTGATGACGAGTGTAATAATTTTTCGTCACAAATGTTGATATCAGAACTTTTGTATGTTGAAGGCGCGATCGTCACTAGTTTTTTTACCTCGTTAAGAGGTGTTTTTATTTGATATCAGAAGTTTTTGTTTGTTTACATTTGCTCTCATAGGAGCTAATATATACATTTAAATTTAAATTGGTAAGCCATTGTATTTAACGAATTAAGTTAAAAAGGCGATGAAGTATATCAAAATACCTTTTAAACGAGTTATAGCACATGTCTGTACCTGTAGTAGTTTAGAACTTACAAACTAACGAAATGTAGCTATTTTTAGCTTTTTTCCCGCTAAAGTAGCGGCTTTTTCCAAAAGTCGTAGAACAAAAGATTCCTATATGGAACTCTTAAGTGCAAATTTACTGATTCCATGACCCTAAAATACAGTTCGTATACCCTCACACAAAATTCAATACTCAGGGAGCGTTAGTTGTTCGAGCTGGCAAAAGTGGCTATTTTCGTATAAAAATAACTTTTAAACGTGACTTTTTACAGTAATGTGTTGTATACCAAAATTTAAGGAATCTCAAGGGCTATACAGTTTAAAGTTGTAAGGAAAATCGTTAGAGCCGTTTTTGAGAAAATTAAAAAAAAGCTAAAAAGAAAGTTTAAAAAAAAATTCTTTTGTTCATATCTTTTTAACTATTACATTTACACAAATTGCATATAGAGGGCGTTTATAGCATTTAAAAATACCTTTCAAACGAGATGCAGCACAAGTCTGTAGCTTTAGTAGTATAGAAGTTACGGCTCTCCGAATTTTAGCTATTTATAGCTGTTTTCCCGCTAAACTAGCTAGTTTTTCCAAAAGTGGTAGAACAAAAGTTTTTTATATCGATGTGATGAACGTCATATCAAATTTTCAGAACTTAAAAAACATATTTTGGACAAGTGGACAAGTGGACAAACAGAATTAAATTTTCATTTTGGGAAGAAGAAGAAAATCTTATTTTGGCTATAACTTTTGAACGGAGAGTCGGATTTTGACAAATGACCCCTCATTCGACGGGTATTTTCAAAAGGAATACAACTAAAATATTGCGAGGGGGCATTTATCCCCACCGGCCCCAACAGCTCCAAATTTCGAAATTTTCACTTTTTCACTTTCACCGCTCTCTCTCCCAAGCAAATTGATTTTTTTAAAGTCTTGGTATGCAATCCTGTTAGTTTTAGCTATACCTTTCGATAGGTGTATCATTCATTATGATCGGACCATCACAGTAGATTTTCATTTCTTCGTGTATATATAGTAGTCGCCTTCGCACACTCTCCTGGTGCGCTTCGTCACTACATGGACTGCCGTCCATAGTGATATTTTGGAGCTTGAAAAATATCGACATTATAGATATTTTTGATATTTAACAAGCATCGATATAATCGGAAACATCAATGATTTTCTGAAGTTTTCTTATAAACATAATTGTAATCAGTTTTTTAGAAAGTTTTTGATTCTTTGAAAACATGGATATTATCGAAACATATTGTGAAAGTATCGAAAATATCGATATTTTTCAACCTTATATTTATGTAATACATTATAGATATACCCGGCATCAGCATGGCCTGGGTGTGGTTCGGTGTGATTCTCTTCCTCATCGTGACAGGCCTGTGTCTCTTCCTGGGCATTCGATACCAGAAGAAGCCCAAGCGGCGTCTGGACCTCAAGGCAGCCGGTTTGGCCAATTTCGAAAAGGGTGCCGTGGGACACATTAATCCCGACCTGACCCTGGACGAGCAGGCGGAGCTTTTGCCCTACAATAGGTTATTCGAGTTCCCGCCAGAGAACTTGAAGCTGGGCAATCAGCTGGGAGCCGGAGCCTTTGGTGTGGTGCTCAAGGGAGAGGCCAGGGGAATCCGAAAGGAGGAGCCCGTCACCACGGTGGCGGTCAAGATGGTCAAGCGAACGGCAGACAACGAGGTGGTGAGGGCACTGGTCTCCGAGCTCAAGATTATGGTCCATCTGGGCCAGCACTTGAATGTGGTCAACCTCCTGGGAGCCGTCACCAAAAATATTGCGAAACGTAAGTTGAATGAACTTCTAATAATAGAATTTAATTTTTACACAATCATATACCTAACATTTAGGCGAACTTATGGTCATTGTTGAGTACTGTCGCTTTGGCAATATTCAGGACTTCCTTTTGAGAAACAGGAAGAGCTTTATCAACCTGTCAGTCCGGATTCCGATCACATAGATCCCAGCATCATGACCCAGCGCATTTCGGACAACTTTAATCCGCACGGGTAAGCTATTAAGGTGACTAACAAACCCATTAATTTGAAAGCCTAAAGATAAATTAAACCTTAGTTAAGATAACCGATGCTCTGACTAACTCTTTAATTGTTTTGTTTCTTGGTGGCGACTAAACTACAACTAACAGCGATGCGAATGGTGGTGGCCTGAAGTACGCCAATATCGGTTTCCCGATCCACTCGTACGTCAATGAACCGCACAACAACAACACGCAACCGCCACCTCACCTCACTTACAATACAGACTCAATGGAGACGATGACAGTGACCACCGTTGACTTGATCAGCTGGGCATTCCAAGTGGCCCGTGGAATGGATTACCTGTCCTCGAAGAAGGTGTTGCACGGCGATCTGGCCGCCAGAAATATTCTCCTCTGCGAGAACAATGTCGTTAAGATTTGCGACTTTGGTCTGGCTCGATCCATGTATCGAACGGATAACTACAAAAAGTCAAGTATGTATATAATACGATAGGAAATGATGTACTTTTAGATTTGTTAAATAAATCCACATATTTGTAGAGGGTGGCAAGCTGCCCGTTAAGTGGCTATCGCTAGAGTCACTCAGCGATCATGTCTTTAGCACCTACAGCGACGTTTGGTCCTACGGAGTTGTCCTCTGGGAGATGTTCTCACTGGCAAAGGTTCCTTATCCGGGCATAGATCCCATGGAGCTGTTCAACAAACTGAACGACGGCTACCGCATGGAGAAGCCGCCATACGCCAATCAGGAGCTCTACGAGATTATGCTGGAGTGCTGGCGGAAGAAGTGAGTGAAGTCTAGTGACTGCCTATTAAACAGACTGCATTTTCAAATACTTTCTTCCAGTCCTGAGAGCAGACCTTTGTTTGCAGAGCTGGATAAGCGGTTTGGCAACATACTGAGCGAAGATGTAGCGAAAGTAAGTGGAGAATTCTGTTTCTATAAAAAAACCCAAATGTAATGTATGTGAACTCCTGAACCTCGCAGCACTACATAGACTTGAACAACCCGTACATGCAGAGCAACATGGAGTACATGAAGACCCAGTCTACTGATTACCTCGCCCTCATGGCGTCCCCCGATGAGTTGGCACCCGCCACTCCGCACTACGTGAATGAACAAATAGTGCCCAATATCCGTGGCCCTGCCATATTCTAACCCATGCTCCTCGAAAACGATGCATCTGACTTTCCGGAATTATCAAGCGAAACTACTTTTAATTACCCAGGAGACAGGCAATCGCCGACGTTGAATAACACGTTGTCAAGACTCTGATATAGACCTAAAACCATCTTATATACTATTAATGCCATTTCATGTTTTAATTTACCTTCGACTACTCAAATACAATGGGTATAACAACTATAGCAACAAGTGGTTTCCTATTTTTATTTTTCTCATCGCTTCTAATGCGTCGACGTTTTTCCTCCAGGTATAATTCCAAGAGTTCGTTCTTCAGATTAAGTGCCCTTAGCTCCAGGTGAAGTCAAATCATCGGAAATTGCTTATTGCCCGACAATATCTTCTTGTTTGGCTTACTTCTAATAAATCTTGTTGGTATTTTGGTCTTCATGGATTGGGTTTCTTGCGAACTACTTGTTGTTCAACTTTGCATTAAATATATTTATTATTTTAAACCAATTAAATAAAAAAAATAGCGTCTTTCTCATCTTTATAATAGTGTGGTGTCTGGTCCTTGTAATGTTCCAGGACCCTATAGCAGATATACAAACAGACTCGCCGACAAGCCAAGGTATACAATTTTCACTTTGAGCACACCCAAAAAAAACTCGATATGAATCGTAGGTCAATTTGACCTTTTTTAAGATCATTTTTAACTTGATATGGGGCCAGGTAAATGTGATATGTTCGAAATGTAAAAAATCTTATTTCTGACCAAAACGTACACTAGTGCGAGCGAGAAAACATGCTTGAAGTACGTCAGTTCGAATTTCGAATCAGTCTTTCTCCCTTCCACTCATGTCATTTTGCTCGCCATATTGATTCTTGCGCTCTTTTTCGAAGTTAGAGAATCTCCGAGAGAGAGAATTCGGCAAAATGATATTATCTAATGTAAATTTATGAATATTTCAGGTAAAAACGATATGAGTAGGAATAACCAGAAAATTACCTGGACTTATCGATTTTACGGCGACGTGCTTTTTTTTGTGTGCAGTCCCCCATATCTTGTTTTTTTGCCATCACATTGGCAATACGAATTGTTAAATTTAATTGAATTACTGGTATGTAAGTGTTATAGGAGGTTTCACTAGTGATCGATTTGGAAACAATGATTTTCGAACACGGTGGCAATACTGAAATTATTTAAATTCTTTTATTTTCCATGTACTTTTTTTTACACTCTTTTGACGGAAATAGATAAGCCTATGGACATGAAAAAACGGATCATGATTCAGTATTCCAAAAATGTGTCATCAACAGTTTTTGTTAAGGAAAAAAAATAAAAACACTTTCAGAATAAATCAATTATTCATTAAAAAAGGTTATTAAAGGTTATTTATAGGTTATGAAATGTTGATCTCAACTTATGGAGGTGGGGTCGTTTATTTAATTCAAACCCTTTGTTTATTGTTTAGTATCATTTAGGTAACATCCACTCATTATTGTGTCCGAATCGGTTAATACATATATCGGGGACTAAGCGATGGCGAGAAACTTTTAAAAAATTCCGTATTTCGGTCACAAACTATTGAATTTCATCTACTTAATTTTTTTCTCATTTCCAACAGCAAAAGGACAACAAATTTAATTATAACACGTCCCCTAAAACTTATTTCCGGTATAACTTTTGCATTTCGGATTTTTACAAATAAGTTGTAAAATGCAACTAGGCATAGTGGAGCAGTTATTACGCGTTATGATCGGACCATAGCAAAAGATATTAATTTATTCTTTTCACACAGTGATAAATAACCATTTTAACCGTAGGTACTGATTATAAATTAATCGGAAGTTAAGACAAACAATAATCGAACCCAAAAAATAAAAATACCCTTATAAAATGGTTCAACATGAACTTTTTTAACGTTATCTATCGCTATTTTATGGGCAGGATTCATGTGATTGTTCTGGTATTCCTTTGTGTGTCGTAAGTAAGCGATAATGGTGGCGCTACTCGGATAAATCAGCATAAACCTCCATTCCCTCTCGGGTCGTTATGGATTGAAGTCAGTGTCTACCGAGCTCGTCATCTCGTGTGGTGCTAGGACGCTCTATAAATTGTTTAAATTTATGAATAAATAAAAAAATTAATTACATTAAAAATCAACGTATAAAATTGTGAATATCTATCAAATCGGGGATATGGCTGTGCTCCTGAGGAGAATTCTGCTGTTTCTGCTTCTGTTGGTTTGGATCTCGTGGAGCGATGCACGTAAGTAGTTTTGGGCAAATCTCTTTAAAAACCTACATATTTCGATATATGATTTTATTCCAAATAATTTAATAATGTGACGAAAGAAAGCCATGAACAACACATGATGCATAAATACAAATTATGTTTGGAAACTAACAGCTTTCTTTCTGTTTCTACTTCTAAATTTAAATAATATTTAAAGAAAATTATTCACAATAAATATTGACTAAAATTGTTCCAGTACCGCATCCCAGTGACAGTACCGATAGCTGCAGCGGCAAGAACGGAGCTCCCCTGATGACGCCCTGCTGGAGTTCCATTATTATGGAAGATGAGACAACCACTATTCTAAAATGTGAGGGCGACGAGCCGATCAGCTGGTGGGGCAGCGCAACTAACTATCCGATGGATTTTAAGGGGTATGGGTTTGTAAATACTGCAGATCCGAAGCGACCATATGGGTCCAGCCTAACACTCTCCATGTTGTCGGCTGATGACGTGGGTACCTATTATTGCGTGAAAGATTCCGAGCTTAACAAGATCGCTGATAAGTCGGAGGAGGCGATGGACGAGCTGGTCAACCAGGGAAAGGCCAGCTCCATTTACGTGTACGTAAACGACCCAGACAATAAGTTGGTGTCCACCACCAGCGTGGTGAAAGCCTTGCAATACACCGACGTGGTCATACCCTGTAAACCAGCGATGCCTGACACTGAAGTGTGGCTAGAAACCAATACTGATGATGTAAGTGGACAATATACAAATTTATATATTTATACCCTTGCAGAGGGTATAATGATTTCAATCAGAAGTTTGCTACGCAGTGAAGGAGACGTTTCCGACCCCATAAAGTATATATATTCTTGATCAGCATCACTAGACGAGTCGATCTAGCCATGTCCGTCTGTCCGCCTGTCTGTCCGTCTGTCCGTCCGTTTCTACGCAAACTAGTCTCTCAGTTTTTAAGCTATCGGAATAAAACTTTCCCAAAAGTCTTCTTTCAATTGCACGTAGTATATATGTCGGAACCGACTGGATCGGACAACTATATCTTATAGCAGACAGACAGACGGACATGGCTAGATCGACTCGTCTTGTGATGCTGATCAAGAATATATAAGCTTCGGCTGGCCGAAGCTAGCTTCCTTTCTTGTTTTTATTCAATTCTAAATGAGAAAGAAACTAAGTCAAAGTTTATATACCCTTCAGGCCATCATCAACACTCCATAACGAAGTTATACCATTTCCTATATTTTAGAATTTCTTTTTTGTTACTCAATATATGTCTAATATGTCTCTGCGCAGAAATATTCCAGCAAATCTGTCGGTCGGTTCGATCCGAAACGGGGATTCACCATCGAAATCCGCAACTTCATGGATGGCGGCGAGTACTACTGTCGTCCAATCTCACCCTTCCCGCATAACGATGAGGAGCTTACCAGCATAGAAGTGCTCTTTATTGATAATGGTCCAGTTGATAGTGAGTTCCTCCACCACAAATATACAAAATACACAAAATTCTATAGCTAGAATTTGTTTAACAATGTCTTAGAGACATTGTCTATCTATCTGTGTAACCCGCGTAACCCCACTCCATCTCCATTAAGCTGTAGCATTGCTGGCAAACCCCAGTCCTTTGCGAAGGGTATTTAATAAAGCTAAACTTTCTAACATCGCCGCAGAAAGCAAGAAAGACCTTCCAAAGCCCGTGATCAAGACCTCTGTGGGTCATCACGTCATCGTGGACACCAACTTCACCCTCGTGTGCGAACAGTCCGGCTTCGTTGAATCCCTATACGGAATCGAATGGCTGACACCGTTTGCCGATAAGGTAAGTAAAATGCACTCCATGCAATCCTTCAATTTTAAAGACTAAATGAAACATTCCCGCAGAATCGCATTAGATTAAGCACCACAGAAATCGACCCCAAGACAAGAAACAGCACTCACCAGATTGGCAGGAGAACTCTAACGGTTTTGAATGCCAAGCGTTCAGACTCCGGTATATACAAGTGTATAACAATAGATACAAACACATACAAAAACAGAAACAAACAGATACAAATATATAAAACCCCGGATATTACACACTTTGTCAGCTACATGATTAAAGTAATAGGTGAGTTTATCAACTTGCCAAATTTATTCTTATCAATTATATTAATTGTATACTATACCGACACTCACAGAACCAAACGAAAGCCATCTAAACTTGTTCGAGCCCTCTGGCATTTACAACGTCCGAAAACTGGCCAACAGTACGATCCTGATGAGGGCCGCCTTCGAGGGATATCCAACGCCCACCTTCAGCTGGTTCAAGCCCGACGGTTCGGAGGTGCGACATTCGGAGCACAACTTCAATATCATCTCCGAGGAGTCGGGTACAACGCTTCAGGTGCTTAATGCCCAGCTGCAGGACAGCGGCACCTACATCCTGAAGGCCACCAATTCCATGGAGACCGTGCATCGGGAGTACAACGTCAGTGTGATAGATGGTCCAAACCTGAGCATGTCGGACGTCTACGTCAAGGTGGGAACAGTGGGGCAACTGGAGTGCACCGTTCGGGCCTATCCTTCGGCTACAGTCACCTTCCTTTTCCAACCCTGTAGACTTCAACCCAATTGGCCCACTTGCGAAAGGAACAATCAGAATTTCAGCGTAAGTACCTCAATTGGTTTTCTAATAAGTGTATATTGTAGAAGATATAAAATATGTCTATTAAGGGGCGTTTTCTCGTCCGCCTGTTAAATTTAAAGTAGGGTTAAAACTCTGATTTCCCACACAATTTCAAGGTTTTAACTCTACTTTAAATTTAACGAGAAACGAGAAAACGAGACTAAATGTAATAGAATAACTATTATGTGTATAAAAAATAAAAAATAAAATTTGTCTATTAAGGGCCGTTTCCTCGTCCGCCTGTTAAATTTAAAGTAGCGTTAAAACTCTGATTTCCCATACGATTTCAAGGATTTAACTCTACTTTAAATTTAACGAGAAACGAGAAAACGAGACTAAATGTAATAGAATAACTATTATGTGTATAAAAAATAAAAAATAAAATATGTCTATTAAGGGCCGTTTTCTCGTCCGCCTGTTAAATTTAAAGTAGCGTTAAAACTCTGATTTTCCACACAATTTCAAGGTTTTAACTCTACTTTAAATTTAACGAGAAACGAGAAAACGACCCTAAATGTAATAGAATAACTATTATGTGTACTCAATTCACCTTAAATACTTTTTAAACGCAAATAAAATTAGATTAGATTCATATTACATTCAAGAACATTTAAGAACGTTAGTTTTGCATAATTTTATATTTAAGTTTAATGTATTTTTATTTGTTCGCTAATCATCTTCCAATTGATATTTCGTGTCGTCCCAATGTTCGCTGTTTGATCTCGTCGTTCTGCAGATACCGAGTGTACGGGAGAAATATCAGGTACAATAATTTCTTACAACCTACATTCCAAATTCTTTCGATCTTAACTTATCTGTTTTTACCACCCATAGTTTCAGTCCAAGCCGAGACCTGGAAAACTAAGTGTGGAAAGTATTTACAACGTATCCTTCCTACCCACGGAGCCGGGAATCCTCACTTGCATCGCCGAAAACCTGGTAAATGGACAGACAAGAAGGACATGTCAGAAGGCTCATGTGCTGCTGGGCGATGTTTCCGAGAACATTACCATACATGGCTTCGATAAGCATCACAAGATCGTGAAAGGGGATTATGTGAACTTCACCTGCGAGGCCCTGGCCTATTACTTTGACAGCAATCTTGTGTGGCTACTCAATGGCACTGATTTGGAGGAGTCCGAACGTAAAACATTTGTAAAACTCATTTTATGAGTCTATTTTTTTTTTAAATTTTAAATATTTTCAGTTGTTCAAATCGAGACTAGTCGCACCAAGTACTCCTACAAGAGCACTATACATATATCTTCAATCGCCGACAGCGATCAAGGAACCTACGAGTGCCGGGCCTACGATAACAGAAATATCTCCATGTACAGCAGTCGCGAGATATCCTTGAGCGTCAACGATCCTTTTGCTCCTGTGTGGGTGAATAACAGCTTGAGTACCCACTCGAAAATAAAGCGAAAATTGAGCGAAGGCGTGGATTTGGATTGCGACTCGAAAGCCATTCCCTTGGCCACGGTGCGTTGGTACAAGGACGACAAGGATCTGGACGCAGAGATCTTGAAATACGAATACGTCACAGAAAGTAATTCCACGCTGCGAATTACGAACATCAATCCATTGGCCGAAGGCGTCTACAGGTGTGTGGTGGAGAACCGGTTAAACAGAATCGAGAGGACCTTCACGGTGGTCATTACGGGTGAGACGGACTTCAATATGGCTTTTTTTTAAATGATCATTTATTTTAGATGACTAAAAACAAAATAGATATGTTTGATAGTTTACAAACATCGATGTTAATCGGAAAAATCTATGTTTTTAATGAAGTTTTATTATAAACATAATTGTAATGTGACTAGTAGGGTAATGTGACGAACTCGTCGAATCTCATATATAACGTCACGATAAAAATTCCAAATAAATGTGGGACGACTACATACTCTTATCGTGTCGACAATGTTTTTACAGTAATATTATTAAGAAGTCCCGTAATTTGTTCGTGTGGTAATTTTTTCTAAAAGGTGGTGCACAAACTAGCAAACCTATTCAATTTATTTGTGTTTCAGCAGTGCCAGAGCGAAGATGCTCGTATAAATGAGATCCTAATCAACAATTTTTGGTACCTGGCGTTTTTTTTTGTTTGCGGCGTTTGAGACTGACACCTTTTTTGCTCCAAGTGTACCTTGTAGGGAATTTAACCCCGATGGAACTTCGAATCGTACTTTTACAGAAACAAGCTCAGTAGATGTGAGCAACTTTGCGCTTTTACATTTTTAAAAAATATTTATTTTTGGGAAAGCTACATTAAAAAACAAATCGTTCGTCACATTATCCTACAACTTTTGAAATTGCAAAAAAGTATGGTTCACGCCAAACGCTGTAGGATTCAGCTCCGTTGGAATTTCGAATCCTAATATTGCAGAAATATGCTCAGTAGATGTAAGCAACTTTCTGCTTTAACACTTTTAAAAAATATTGATTTTATGAAAAGTTACATACAAAAAACGAATCGTTCGTCACCTTACCCTACACTCCCCTAATCAATTCTGTACAATTTAGTTTCTTCCTGGGAAACATCGATATTATCGACACAATATTGCGAAAGTATCAAAAATATCGATATTCTTCTAGGTCTAATTCATAGCTATATAATACATTATAGATCTACCTGGCATCAGCATGGCTTGGGTATGGTTCGGTGTGATTCTCGTCCTCATCCTGATCAGCCTGTGCCTCTTCCTGGCCATTCGATACCAGAGGGAGCACAGGAGGCACAAGGAGCTGAAGAAAGCTGGTTTGGCCAACTTCGAAATGGGTGCCGTGGAACACATTAATCCCGACCTGACCCTGGACGAGCAGGCGGAACTCCTGCCCTACAATAGGTTATTCGAGTTCCCGCCAGAGAACTTGAAGCTGGGCAATCAGCTGGGAGCCGGAGCCTTTGGCGTGGTGCTCAAAGGAGAGGCCAGGGGAATCCGAAAGGAGGAGCCTGTCACCACGGTGGCGGTCAAGATGGTCAAGCGAACGGCAGACAACGAGGTGGTGAGGGCACTGGTCTCCGAGCTTAAGATTATGGTCCATCTGGGCCAGCACTTGAATGTGGTCAATCTCCTGGGAGCCGTCACCAAAAATATTGCAAAGCGTAAGTTCAGAGAACTTCTTATAATAAAATTAAATCTTAATATATCTAACACTTAGGCGAACTTATGGTCATTGTTGAGTATTGTCGCTTTGGCAATATTCAGAACTTCCTTCTGAGGAACAGAAAGTGCTTTATCAACCAAATCAGTCCGGATTCCGATGAAATAGATCCCAGCATTTCCGAAAACTTCGGCCTACAACGGTATGTTTTTATGGGCCAGTAAGGTGAAGCTTAAAATAATCCCAACGTAAACTAAATCTTAGTTAAGATAACCGATGTTCTAACTAACTCTTGAATTGTTTTGTTTCTTGGTGGCGACTAAACTACAACTAAAAGCGATGCGAATGGTGGTGGCTTGAAGTACGTCCACACGTACGTCAATGAACCGCACAGCAATTACACGCAACCGCCACCTCACCGCAGGAACTTGGACAATGTTCCTCGATCGGGCACCCGAGCCGGTGAGAATATTATATAAATATTTTATACCTAATATCAGGAAACAACAAAGCAATTTGTTTTTTCCATTATTTTTCCTGTTGTCCGATCCGGTTCATAATACTATATACTAGACTACCTGAATTAGCAAGAACTTTCAGAAATATCCGATAGCTTTAGTTTTGTAGAAAAAATTGGAAACATAATGTCCAATACCTTCATGCAACCCACTTACAATACAGACTCATTGGACCCGATGACAGTGACCACCGTTGACTTAATCAGCTGGGCATTCCAAGTGGCCCGTGGCATGGATTACCTGTCCTCGAAGAAGGTGTTGCACGGTGATCTGGCCGCCAGAAATATTCTTCTCTGTGAGAACAATGTCGTAAAGATTTGCGACTTTGGTCTGGCTAGATCCATGTATCGAACGGATAACTACAAAAAGTCAAGTATGTATTGGGAAAAGATTTGTTAAATAAATAATCACAACATTTTTAGAGGGTGGCAAACTGCCCGTTAATTGGCTGGCGCTGGAGTCACTGGGCGATCATGTATTTAGCACCTACAGCGACGTTTGGTCCTACGGAATTGTCCTCTGGGAGATGTTCTCACTGGCAAAGGTTCCTTATCCGGGCATAGAACCCAACGACCTGTTCAACAAACTGAACGATGGCTACCGCATGGAGAAGCCGCCGTATGCCAATCAGGAGCTCTACGAGATTATGCTGGAGTGCTGGCGGAAGAAGTAAGTGAAGTATATGCTTAATATTAAATAGAATTCATTATCCAATTCATTATTCCAGTCCTGAGAGCAGACCTTTGTTCGCTGAGCTGGAGATGCGTTTTGGCAATATGCTGGGCGAAGATGTAGCAAATGTAAGTGGATAACCACTTTGTTATAAAGAACCTAAGTGTAGTATCTAAATTTCGCAGCACTACCTAGACATGAACAACCCGTACATCGAGAGCAACGTGGAGTACATGAAGACCCAGTCTACGGATTACCTGGCCCTCATGGGATCCCCCGACGAAGTGGCGCCCGCCGCTCCGCGCTTTGTGAATAAAGGAATTGTGCCCAAAATCCGTGAGTAGATATAAAGTATAAAGATCAGGTTAATAACTAGGCATTCACACAGACATCGATGAACAAGCTCCGGAGGAGATACCCAGCCGCTGTCCACCGAAAAGTAGAAGAAGCAGAGAAGGTATTAGCAAGTCAAGGAGCCATTAGTTTTAGCTCAAAACCTCTTGTCAAGATATAGACCTAAGTATGATCCCCAAACTCATAGCATTACTATAAAAGTACTACTTAAATACAATTGGTATAACAACTATAGCAACAATCGCTTTAGTATCTTTAATTTAATTTTGTTGATCATTCCTAATGCGTCGACGCTTCTCCTCTATTTCTAGTTCCAAGAGTTCGTTCTTCAGACTAATTGACCTTAGCTCCAGGCGATGTTTCTCCCCAGATCTTATGTTTTCGTTGTAATAGAACCTCTGCTGAAGTCGAATCAACGTAATTTGCTCATTGTCCAGTAATCTCTTCTTGTTCCGTTTACTTATAATAAATCTTCTTGGTGGTTTTTTCTTAATGGTCTGGACTTCTGGGGGATTCCCCTCGGGAATTTCATAGAAAGGTCCCTAAAATAGGGTTGGGCTGTTAACGGTTTATATTTACTAAAATGGTGCTCCAAACCTGATCGATTGAATCTGTTTGAATAGTTAAGTTTTCAACCCCATCGTCTGGAAGTTAAAGTACATTAAAATACATTATTTAAAACCAATTAAATAAATAAATCCGCATCTTCCTCACCTTGGTAATCCTGTCGTTCGTTATCCAATGAGTTGTCTGGATCGGAATCCTCATACACGACAGACACACAACTGCTGACTGGATCAAAGTCCTCCGTCTTAAGAATGCGGGGAATCATTGTTCCCTCGGTCTTGAGCTTGGTGTTCATGTTCTTGTATTTATCCTTCAGGGTTCTCCAGGTGCGTTTCGAGCCAGTTTGGGTGGAGAACAGGTGGGCCAACTTCTCCCAGGTTTCCTTTTTCAACTGGCAAGTGGCCGCATCGGAATTCTTGTTGTCGATGATGTGCTTATAGGGTTCGAGGAGCTCCAGCAGCTTAATCTCTTCGGAGAGGACAAAGTTCTTGCCCCGTTTTCGCGTTTGCTTTTGCATTTGACTAAGGTTAAACATTTCGTTTTAAATCCGGATTAAGTAAATCACGATTGACACTTTGAAATGGAAAAGCAAACTAACCAGATTGTATACTTTTTTTAATACTAGATAAAGATATTTAAAATGGTTATAATAGGAAAAGTAAAATAAGATTTATAAAATAAACCGTAAATAAAAATTAAATAAAAAAGCATTTAATTGAATTACATTTTGGTACCAGTTTTAGACTTTTTAAATGCGATTAAAGGGTAACCGCGAAGTATCGACTATTCGATTGTCCGCCTGTTGCCACCCACCGATAGGCGATAAGCGATATGTCTAGTATGACCGTATTTACAAAAACAAAGATTGTTTAATTTCTCCCTGCAATTTGTAATAATTGTTTTTAGCCCAATTCAATTGTTAATTACTCGGCCGCAAAATGATGGTAAGTACAAATGGAAGCCGGACTTCACTGCTTCATAGTGGAATTGTTTAAACAATTAAATTGCTGCGATGCACTGCGTTTTCGTGGCATCAAAATGACGCCTCGCCCGCACACAAAGGCAGTCTTATCATTAAATGGGCGTAACTAGAGTGCACATCGGCTAATGGTTTCTTTGACTTCCGTAGGACGGCACGGATGACTCAAACCTGCTGAACAGTCCCTCCACGAACAACGGGGCCACCATGGAAATCGTCTCGCCCACAAATCCGCTGGCAAATCCGCCAGGAGCACCGGGCGAAGGAGCACCCGCCCCGAGTGGTGCCACCAATGGCAGCGGATCCGCCACCTCGCCGGACAGCTCCTCCTCCGCCCCGGCCACGCCCGCCGTTCTGGGCGAGAACGCCCTCCACGTGGAGATCTCCGATGCGCTGAGCGAGAAGGAGAAGGTCAAGTTCACAGTCCACACCCGCACCACGCTGCCGGGATTCGCGAAAAAGGACAACAATGTGGTGCGCCAGCACGAGGAGTTTGTCTGGCTGCACGACCGCATCGAGGAGAACGACGACTACGCCGGCTACATTGTGAGTTTCTAAGTTAACCTTTGACATCCTGCTAATCTATGGAAATCCCTGCCAGATTCCGCCCTGCCCCCCGCGTCCGGACTTTGATGCCTCCCGCGAGAAGCTGCAGCGCCTGGGCGAAGGCGAGGGCAACATGACCAAAGAGGAGTTCAAGAAGATGAAGTCAGAGCTGGAGGCGTGAGTGATAATTAAGCTAAATGTTGATTATATGTACTCATTTCGACCACGTTTATTTCCCAGCGAGTACCTGGCCACGTTCAAGAAGACTGTGGCCATGCACGAGGTGTTCCTGCGCCGCCTGGCCAGTCATCCCGTCTTTCGCGTCGACCAGCATCTGAAGGTGTTCCTCGAGTACGACCAGGATCTGTGCGCCAAGCCGCGCAAGAAGATGGCCATCTTTGGCGGCTTCGTCAAGTCGCTGGGCAAGACCACCGACGAGATCCTGCTGAGCGCCACGGTGCGGGATGTCAACGACTTCTTTGAGAACGAGCTGCAGTTCCTCACCGAATACCATGGACATTTGCGCGAGGCTGCGATCAGGACGGAGAAAATGACGCAACGCCACAAGGATGTGGGCGATTCGCATCAGAAGATATCGAATGCGCTGACGCAACTCTCGACCACGGAGAAGGGGAACGTGGAGACGTTTGTGGCCAAGACGGCGGAGATATTCGAAAGGATTAAGGTTTGTATACGCAGATAAATCCTCAATGTACTCCCGTACTTCATTTTTTATAATTCTTTACAGAATCTGGAGACCCGAGTGGCCAGCGATCAGGATCTCAAGCTGGGCGATACCTTGCGCTACTACCAGCGAGATAGTGACGCTGCCAAAGCTCTACTCATCCGGCGCCTGCGATGCCTGGCCGCCTATGAGACGGCCAATCGAAACCTGGAGAAGGCCCGTTCGAAAAACAAGGATGTTCATGCGGTAAGATCAAAATAAGGGCCACCAGAACCAACTTTCAGATCGTTTAAAAAGAGCAATTGTTCTCCCTAAACAACGTTTCCAGCGGGGCAATTAATTCTCACGCTTCACTAATTACAAACAACAAATTATTTGCGTTCTTGTATTTTATTTCTACCGTCCACAACCCCACATTGCTCTGCTCTCTGCTCTGCTCTGCCTGTCCCTTCCTCTTCACTTCTTGTGCGTGTTTGTGGTTCTGTTTCTGCAGCCTTTGGAGGTGCAAGAGGTATTTGGCAATTTAACGTTTTAACCGTCGGTTTAGTAGATGTGTCGCCACCGCACGTAACAGCTGCATGCATTCCACCGTTGCTCCACCCATATTCACTCTAGCATGTCCTTGTTGTGGCCTAATGTACTCAATTCGTAACTAATCCCTTTATTTTGACCATACGTAGGCTGAGACTGCCCAGGCGGAGGCCTGTGAAAAGTTTGAATCCATGTCGGCCTGTGGAAAGGAGGAGTTGATCGGTTTCCGCAACCGACGGGTGGCTGCTTTCAAGAAGAGGTGGGTAAATCTATTAATAAAACTAACATTTATTAACTTCCGCCTCTCCCAAAGCCTCGTGGAGCTCTCGGAACTGGAGATAAAGCATGCCAAGACCCAGTACGAGTACTTGCGCCAATCGCTGCTGGCGCTCAAAGAGATTGCCTGAGACGTGGAGCCGGGGGAGGCGGAAGTGCCGGCGCAACCGGAAGTGGAAGTGGATGAGGAGTAGGAGTAGGAGTCACCCGCACATTGTTTACACACCCCATTGAACCGCACGCCTCATTGACAACACGAACGCCCGGGAGACGAACTAAATCAATTGTTTAATTGCTAAGCAAACAGTTTATTATTGCACAGGCCAGATCGAGTGCAACATTATTACCTTAGCCCCCGTATTATATTAACGAATATCCATTTGTTTTGTGAACAGAGCGCTTTTATATTTGTCAAACAAGCATTCCTCTCTCTAAAGCATAAACTACAACTATATTGTAAACACTTTTGCATTTGAAGCAGAATATAAACGAGAAATATTGTACAGAAGGCGTGCTGTTTGCGAGCAGTCAGTATACTAGCCTTGCTTGGAATCGGTTCGGTAGCCAGGCAACAGCGAACGCTACAAAATTTAGCGTCCCAAGGAGAGCTGAAAATTGTATTCGTTTCGGGAGTTTATTTCAGATTTCTCTAGTTGTTTTTATTTGTTTAAAAATGGATGACTATGGCGTCTTTGATTACAAGCGCCCTGTTAGCGCCACGGATCCGGATTGGAGGACCTCGTACTATCGCGGGCATCGTCACATCACCGATCTGAGGATGGGCAACAAGCTAAACGCCAAGTTTGCAGACAAAGGGATTTATGTACAGGATCCGCTGCTGTCGGAGAAGCCGACTTCGGAGTGCATGGCCAATTATGTGTGGCAGGTGAGTAGATTGTTATGGGATTTCTTGCACCAAATTAACTATTGTTTTATCCTTCTAGTACGGCAATCCTAATACCCTGAGGAATCCCTCGCTCAACATGAAGACCCAGTACATGAAGCCCTTCGAGGAGGGCAAACTTCGCTTCGTGAAGCGGAAGATGAAGCCCATTTCGAGTGTCAGTCACGATTCTTTTGTGCTCAAAGAACTTCCCGAGGAGCAGGAAATTCTCCCGATTACAATGCCCACTCCGGTGGCGGCCACCAAGCTGATTATCGACCGTTCGGAGGCGTCCTACAGCAAGTACTTGGACCCCTCTGCCACCACCTATAATCTCTCCTATGTGCGCTTGAGTCCCGAGGATTTAACAGGCGGTGTGGCGGCCCACGATAATATAACTTTCTGGAATTGGTCGGAGAAGATGCCGCCCACTCGGAAAGTAAGCCGTGAAGAGGATCACGCAATGTGCGACGAGGGTAACACGCAGATTTGTCCCAAGCGGAGATGCGAGTTCCAAAACCTCACGAAACGAGTGCCCCATTCGGGAATGATCACCGAAGTGCGGGCTAATTTCACGGATCCGCAGTTCCGAAGGGTGGAATTCGATCCGGATGTGAAACCGATCCTGGTGCACGAGGAAGTTACGCCGTTTGCAACGAAAAGCGAGTACAACATCTACGGATCGGGAGAGCCCGTTATCAAGTACGTTTAGGAGTTTCCTCTTTAATCGTTTTGTCTTTACCTTCAACTAAATTTATGTTAAGATGAATAGAGCATATGGTCAGTAATATTTAATTTTTTTGAGTGGATTGATTTTTTCCACTTTTCTATACTCAAAGGCAAATTTTCTAATAACAAGAATTTTTTTTCTATTTTCAAAGGTAGGCCGATTCAATGGCGAGATTTCTAAAATTTAGAAATTAATTTTTATGCATTCATTTTCTGGGAAATTTTACATATAAAGTTTATTGCATTTAATAAAAACTGAAATTAAATTTTTGCATCCAGACTTCAAGGAAGGTCCTACTAAGGTACATAAATATGGGTTCTGCTTAGTAGTTCACTCAAATGAAGTAAAGCTGTATGGAAGCAGGTGGTAAGCGGAGGTGACCAGCACTTCATCATCATCCTGAATGGCAGGAATACAACTCTCCTGTTCCGGCGGCGGAGCCTTGGCGATGTAAATGGGAATGTCCTTGTGCACGAACTCCACGATGAACTGGCGGCAGACGCCGCAGGGTGTGGTGAAACCATCCGGATGATAGGCCACCACGGCACCAGCCGTGTACTTCTTCTCGCCCTCGCTGATGCCCTTGGCCAAAGCGCATCGCTCTGCACAATTTCCGGAGGTAAAAGCTACGTTCTCGATATTGCATCCCGTGTAGATCCTGCCGCACTTGGCACGGAAAGCTGCTCCGACTTTAAAGTTGCTGTACGGCGCATAGGCGCACCTGCGGGCGGAGAGAGCCGCCTCCAGCAGCTCGCGACCATCTTCACCTGGGGGAAAAAGAAATCCAGTAATGAAGATGAAAAGATCTAGCATACAGAACAGGGATACACCTACCAACGGCACAGAAGGCCACCGTGTACTCATCCAGCATCGGGGGATGTAGAAGGTTCTCGGATTCACTGGCCCGTCCCCTATCTCCATTGAGTCGTGCTTCCCGGCGGGCCAGCTCACACTGCAATCCCTCCAAGGTCATCATGTACGAGCCCAGGACCTTCTGGAGCCTCTTCTGGCGCATCTCCTTGATCTTTCCGCCAGCGCACTTGGTGCCAGACCGCTCCTGACGACGAGCTAGCTCACACTGCAACCGCTCCAGATCCTTCATCTTCTTCGCCAGCTGCTTTCGCGTGAGCTCATCCTGCATGTCGTTCAGGTTTTTCATGTACCGCTGAAGGAGCTTCCGCTTTTCGGACATTTTCTTTGGACTTTAAATTTTTGTAAATCGGAAACGAATACTGATTCTGTGGGAAATCTGTAGAATACTAATGTCAATCTTTTTTTTTGATATTTTTGAATACCTACTATCTTTACTAACAAAATCTTTTAATTTTTGGGAATTTATTGAGCTTATCTACTCAAAAAGAATGGAAAAAATTCCTTCTATAATATAAAGTATCATAAACAAATCCTCAGCAAAGTATGTATAGATGTACTGTTCAACCACTGAAATCTAATACTTAAGCTTACATTTCTATTTTCATGATAATCAAGAAAGTGCTTAGTCTTACTTTTTCATAAATCGGGAATTCCCACCTTATAAAATTTCTTAACGTCAAATACTTAGGCATAAATCAATCAAAATGAATAGCTCTTAACGAATGATAATAGTTTAATGTTTGTTTGATAAGAGCTTTTTATTAATTTTGTTGTAACGGAAACTGACATTAGCTAATTTATCATTTATTCTTTTCATAAATCTAATCGAAAGTATTTAATCAGCTGCTTCAATAATATTTCAAAGGTTTAATCTTTGAAAAGCTATCTACCTTCTCATATTTTTATTGAGCAAAAAAACATTCACCCTTGTTAGGTAGTGTAATTTTCTTTATTTCAAGTGATTAGATTAAAATTATATAGATTACTATTGACAAGGGGCAGTGTGAGGGGTTGTGGTCCAACCTTGAACTAGCTGCCTACTCTCTCTCCGATCCTCTTCCTCCGCGGTGGCTTTTATTTTACTTTCGATAGGTCTTGAAACTGCTCGGCAACAGATTGAAGATCGAGGTGCATAGGACGGGGTCGTCGTCCTGTAGAAATTCCTCCTTTGCCGCAATCCTCGCATCGATTGCCTGGGCCACGTAGATGGGTATATCTTCGGTGGCAAACTCCCGGATAAACTGCCGGCAAACGCCACAGGGAGTGGTGAAGACGTCGGGTTCGTAGGCCAAAACAGCTCCAACGGAGAACTCGGTGGCTCCCTCGCTTACGGCCTTCGCCAGAGCAGTTCGCTCCGCACACGAGCACGGCGTGAAGGCAGCGTTCTCCACATTGCATCCGGTGAAGATCTGGCCACCGACCTTGGCCCGAAAAGCAGCCCCCACTTTGAATCCACTGTACGGCACATAGGCCCGCTGACGCACTTCGAAAGCAGCTCTCAAGAGTTCTTGAACCGAGGGATCTGGAAGGCAAAACAATCCACGTCACAGTAGTGACATAGAAAAATACCACTTAGAACTTGGATCTTAGCAGATGGTTATTCGAAATATTTACAACTATATCTTGGGGATGGTTAACTTCATAGATATGTTAAGATCGTTTTCTTATCATCGATCTGGAGCAGTAATCTTACCCAGACTGCCGAAGGTGGCCACCTCCTCTGCCTTTTCGGGGCGTGCAAAATTTTTGGTCAGATGTGTCATTATTATTTAATACTTTTGGTCAATGGAGGAGGCACGACTCTTGAATTTTGTTTTATTTTTAGCGAGGCGAGTGCGTGGCTCGTTGTTTCTCCTTTGAACGTCCGCTGGCAAATGGACGGTTTGTGGTGACGGCGCCGCGCGAAGTTGGCTATGATGATAGCCCTCTCCGGCGTGTGGTGGTGACGAAAATAAACACTTGGCCAACTCGGAGCGGGAGAGCGAACTATCCGGCTGATAAGCAGCGATCGTGGAGAGCAGTGAAAAACACAAACAGATGCGTTGTGCCTTGTATAAGCTATTCAATCAACAAACAACGAGGGGTGGGTTTACAGAATATAACAGACTGGGAATCACATAAACTATTGCACATGGATTGCAGCGGGCGGTTGGGCTTGTCTCTTCCTATTTCCCGTTCGAGAAGCTGAAGCCGTTGGGCAGCAGTTGCAGGACGCTGGTGCAGAGCACCCTCAACGGAAGATTGGTCGGTTTGGCGGCATAAAGGGGGATGTCCTTGCCGTTGACGAACTCCGAGAGGAACTGCCGGCAGACGCCGCAGGGCGTGGTGAAGCCGTTGTCCTGCTGGGCCACCACCGCACAGGCCACAAAGTCGCGTTTGCCTTCACTGAAAAATATATAGTTTTTAGTTTATTCAGAATAAATTATTTTCCAAACAGGATAGGTACTAAATATAAATCTATTTTAATATATAACTACCTTTATAGTTAGAAATAAGAGTTTTCAACAAAAATTTTGTATTATAGAATAGAAAGAATCTGAAAACAGTGAAACTATATCGAGTATATTTCCATAAAAAGATTCAATACAAAACGAATATTTTTAAAAATTTACTTAATGAATGAATTAATAAACACTGTAGTTAGAATGAATGAAAACTAATATTTAAAAACTAGGTACTATACAAAAATCTATTTTTATATATTACTACCTTTATAGTTAAAAATAAGAGTTTTTAACAAAAATGTTGTATTTCAATAGAAAGAATCTGAAAACAGTGAAACTATATCGAGTTTAATACCATAATAAAATTATATACAAATCGAATATTTTAAAAAATTTCTTTATGAATGAAGTAATACACACTGTAGTTAGAATGAATGAAAACTAATATTGAAAAACAGAAATTTCCCAGATTAAATGGCGCAACAACATATGTAAATATGTATAACAACTGATTAAAATTCTTATTTACAAAATATATAGGGTTATCTCTAGGGTTATCTTATAATGATGAAATATAACATAGTATTTTAGAAAAATATGAATATTATTTGTAATGAATTAAATTATAGTTTTTGAATATACATATCTAAATGTATAAAATACAGAAAGGATTTTGTTTCGAAGCTTGATTTTCATCAGAGGACTTATATACATATGACCACATATTGACCCACTGACCTGATGGCCTTGACGGCTGCAGTGCGTTCCGCACAAATGCAGGTGGCATACGCCCCGTTTTCGATGTTGCAACCGGAGTATATTGTGCCATCGCTGGTCCTCAGAGCAGCTCCCACGGCGAAGTTACTGTAGGGACAGTAGGCCTGCTTTCTGGCCTCGGTGGCTGCCAGGATGAGCTCTTGGATCGAAGGATCTGCGGAGAGAATAATATTTATACAATTAGACTGATGTATTATCATTTTCCGACCTCGTACCCATGCTCTCGAACTCCCGCACATTGGGCTCGTCTCTTGCACCATTGATAAACACCTGTGTCATGGCCGATGATTGCTAATTAATATTTCGCAATAGGAAAAGCAGCTCAACAAATAAACAACAGCTCCAATTCTCACTGCCACTAGAAAAGCCAAAGCTGCAACAGCTGTTTTTGGCAGGGGCGTAGGCAGGCTGGCTTTCTAGGGGGATGAGCTTACTAGCTCCAATATATAATAAAATAAAAATTTATATTTGTACCAAAATTAATATTTATGTTTTATCTAAATTTATAATACTATTCCACACATTTTGTAAATTAGACCCTTTTTTATTTTTTAGTTTATAAACCCCCTTTTGAGACGCCCCCGCCTCCCACTCGCAGCCACGTTTTCCAACACTGTCACTCCATGTAAATAAAAACCCAGGTGGAAGTGGTTGAATTTTGTTTGTGCCATAGAATTGCGTCTGCTTTATTTCTCTCTTATCGTACAATTCGAGCCCAATCGGAAAAGTTAGCGACCGATTTAGTGGTCATTACGACGGGAAAGACCGTGAGAGTGAGTGACTGTTGCTGTGGTTTCCCCGCACAAATTTCTACCTCATTCAGTGTAATAATGTCGACGAACCCAAGTCACCAGAGCAGAACAGCGACGGAGGACGTGCAGATCGCGATGGGCGGTTCCGGCGGAGGATCGGGCGATGGCGACCCGGACAGACTACCACCGATTAGCGAGAAGGACCAGCGATTCCCCTACTGCATCGTTTGGACCCCCATTCCGGTGCTCACCTGGCTGCTGCCCATGATCGGTCACATGGGCATTTGCACCTCGTCGGGAGTGATCCGTGACTTTGCCGGCCCCTACTTCGTCTCGGAGGACAACATGGCCTTTGGTCGTCCCACTCGCTACCTGAGATTGCATCCCAAGTACGTGGAGGGCGGTAGCTACGCCTGGGATGAGGCCGTTTCCAAGGCATCCGTGCTCTATGGCACCCGCATCCACAACATCTTCTGCGACAACTGCCACTCGCATGTGGCCACGGCTCTCATAAATATGCGCTACAACAACAGCACCAGCTGGAACATGGTCATCCTGAGCATGTGGCTCTTTGTCTGCGGACGGTACGTCGGAATCGGGGGCTTCATCAAGACCTGGCTGCCGTTTGCGATTCTCCTGACCATCTGCATACTGCTGGGCGTCTACTTCTAGTGACTAAGATTATGTTTAATCGTTTAGTTTAATGGCAAATATGTTTAGTGTGAAACAATGGCACGGAAGCAATTAAGATAATTTGTTTTGAGCCCCTTATCTAAGTATGTATGTCGTGCAATAAACGTTTTATTTATTCATTCCACGCTTTTAGTGGGCATCATGTGCCAGATAAGAAACCCATCTAATAGGCATTTAAATGTATATCCATTCATTAATTGAGGACATGTGAAGTAGGTCATTTAGAACGCAGATTACCAATGTCTAGTGTCTAAGATAAGGTTTATTCACTGGGTTCGTCCCATTTAAATGCTTGTTTACATGGTGTATAGTAACTACATCCCTATGACTTAAAGTTTGGCGTTTGGAGTAGATTAACTAAGATTAATTCTCAACGGCGCGGGTGACTTCTTCGGCCACTTCAAGGAGTTTCTTCCACTGCTTTATGGAGAGCGAGATGCCCTTTTTGCCGGGCAGCGTTTCACCGTTCTTCTCGTAGAATTCTCGGATGTCCACCATCTTGCGGCCGCGGAACTCGTTGATTCGCACCTGGCGAAGTCCTTCGAGGGTCCAGGTGGTGGCCCCATCTCCGCCAGAGTCTCCGGCGGCTGAGGATTTCGGACCTGCAGATTCCTTGGCCTTCTTGCTAGCCGGCGGATTGCGCTGTAGATGTTTTATAGCAATTAAGGCCAGTTATTGGTGATTTTCGACTTGACTTACATCCTCTGGTCCGCTGTCACTCTCCGAAGAGGAGGCTTGTTGCTTCTTCTTTGTCTTGGGCATTTTTTGCTTATTATTTTCGAGAATTAGGAGATTAAACAACTGGCAAAAAATGCGTGAAAATTCGCGCTAGTTAGGCAGTGTTGTTAAGCGCAGGCAGAAAGAGCAAACGAGAAATCGGTTCGTCAATCGATACATCGATAAGATATAAAATTTATCATAGGTATTCCCTAATCTTTTTAATCCCAAAATTAATTAATGCATTTAATTTTTCCAATAAAGGGAACGACCAAAAATCGCTCCTTTTAAATCAATAAAATAAAATCGAATATTTAAGAAACGCCTGGTTAAAATTTAACCAATTCTAAATGAACAGAACAGTAACAGAATACCCTTTATATTACTATAAATCACAGCTATCGATTTATTTTCACACAGTGTTGGCAAACCGTCGGCACTTTGGCACACTGTTCGGCCGGCGTCACTTTAGAACGCGCATTTTTTTTGCAGAGTTATCATTTTGTTGAATATTCTCCTAGCGTCAGCAACTGCTGCTTTAATATTAAGTCAAGAAGAAAGTGTTTAAATAAAGTGTTAAACTACAACTAGTGGTAAGTGGCGGCGGTTTCTGTTCTGACAAAAAAAGCGACTGAAGGGTTCTCTTGCATGTGCTTGTGTGCGTGTGGCTGTGCAAATTTGTATCGTTTTTTTTTTTTTCAACCGTGCGAAGTTTTTAAATTACAAACATAATGGGCAAGAAGACCGACAATCCTGAGAGCTCCGGCAAGGGTTCGGATGGCGAGGAGGAGGAGGAGTACGCCGTGGAGAGGATCATAGACCGGCGGGTGCGCAAGGGCAAGGTGAGTGATCCGTGTACTGCTGCTTCTTGTGGTCCTAAAACGGCATTTTCCACCCGCAGGTGGAGTACTACCTCAAATGGAAGGGCTACGCCGAAACGGAGAACACCTGGGAGCCGGAGAGCAATCTCGACTGCCAGGATCTCATCCAACAGTACGAGCTGAGCCGCAAGGACGAGGTAAGTGTGGCTGCCGTACGATGCCGGGTACAGTTGTGCTCGCTCCGGTTGCAATTACATAAATTTTTTGGTCCGTAGGAAAAGGCAGCGGCTTCCAAAAAGGATCGTCCCAACAGCAGCGCGAAGGCCAAGGAAACCACAGGACGCGTCAGCACATCTGGGCCCGCGGCCAGCAAGCGAAAGTCCGAAGAGCCAGCAGGTAGGCAACCCCTCTACGGGAAATTTTGAAGTGGGCCACTCAATCGAGTGTACCTAGTATTATTTTCTCTACACTAACTCTCAATTTTGCCGCGCAAAATGGAAGCTACAGTAAATAATGGTTACAATCGACATTCCATTAGTGAAACTAATAAATCCCAGCTTAACGTTACGAAAGAAGCAGACAAAAAGCTACAGCGAACTTTTTTCCCATAAGAAATACATGTGCCAGAAAGAGAAAGAAATTTACACAGCCCGCTTTCTTACATTTGATTTGTTTACATTTTAGAGAGAGAGAGAGAGGACAGCACAGTTACTTCTTATCTCTCACTCGAGAGAGACATTCAGGGTTGCAAATTTATGAGACTGTTTGCGACGTTATTTTTAGTTGTATAGTCCTATTTTTTTTTAATAGGTTTTGATCTCCTTCTAGTGTAGATAACCACTTAAAACGCTACTTAAAGAAAGTCAATAGTTTTCGGTATTATTAATAGAATTATTTTCCCTTGGAATGACATGTGAATATTCTTATAACCGTTACTCGTAGAGTAAAAGGGTATATTGTACTCAATGGAAAGTGTGAAACTGGAAGAAGATCAGGATCAATAGCCGAGTCGATCTAGTAATGACAGTCTATGTCTGGTCGATTGATCGCTGAGATCTTGGAAACTATCGTGCTGATTTTATGGATTCCTGCGAAACGCGAGTTTTTTTCATCAGATAATACCTTTTATACCCGTTACTTGTAGAGCAGCGGTCGGCACACACATACGTTGACATTTTGTTTTATATTTGTGTGAGTAATTTGCACTGGGCAGCTCATCGATGTGTGTGTGCAGACCGCTGTTCTACGTTATACATGTGCGAGCAGCGCGGCGGCAGAACAAAACCCTATGCTCACTTAATAGGGCGCTGCCGACCGCTGTTGTAGAGTAATAAGGTATATTGTATTCGTGCAAAGTACCGTCCGTATGTCTGTCTGTTTGTCTGTCCGTCTGTAAGAACACTGAGATCTTGGAAACTATAAAACCTAGAGGATTGGCATTAAGCAAGCAGATTCTAAAGGTTCCTACGCAGCGCAAGTTTGTTTTATCAAGGTGCTACGCCCCCTGTAATGCCCACATACCGCAAAAAGCTGTGGCGCCCACAGTTTTGTGTATAAGCAGTACTAATTTCGTGCCATAAATGGCGCCTTCGCCGCGTGCTCAACACTGCTGCTGGTGCTGGAAAAAGCTGGTCACTCTAATTCGCAATATGTTAATGCAAAATCTAAATTATTTGAAATGTATTAAAGTTGTTAAGCTGAGTAAAAGGTATTTAATAGTCGAGGAACTGGACTATAGCGTTCTCTCTTGTTTTAAATCGGACAATTCATTAAAAAGTTATTACCAAATAATCATATGTCGCTGGGAGGCGAGCGTGCGAGAAGTGGCTTTCCTGCGTGGTTATCTCCATATTTCTCGCACACCCTTTAGCTGAGTAACGGGTATCTGATAGTCGAGACACTCAATTATAGCGTGCTCCCGTATTCTTAAATTATGTTAAATGGGTACACAGGTTGAAAAACCGAAAGACAAATTCCACATATCTTTGGTTGGAAGAGATTTCTGTGACATCCCCAAATAACTCATATATACAACTCAAAAAATCGTATTGCTACAATTTTTCCTCAGCACCCGCTGGCAACAAATCAAAACGTACAACAGATGCGGAGCAGGATGGCGGCATTTCCATTTCCGGCTCTACCGGATTCGACCGAGGCCTGGAGGCCGAGAAGATCCTGGGGGCCTCAGACAACAACGGCCGCCTGACATTCCTAATTCAGTTCAAAGGCGTCGACCAGGCCGAAATGGTGCCCTCTTCAGTGGCCAATATAAAAATCCCGCAGATGGTCATCCACTTCTACGAGGAGCGTCTGTCCTGGTACTCGGATAATGAGGATTAAGATTTTCGACGAAGTTGCGGCATCATTAGAGTCAAAAAGGACTCGTACATCTAACGAAAAAAAACATTTAGAATTATGTCTGGCCACCATGCAGGCGATTATAAAACCTTCTCCCCCCCAACAACTTTTGAAACCTCGGACTATATTTATATTACTGTCCATTTTCAACGAATAAACAAAACCTATGTTCAGCTGGAGCCTATACAAGTCATTTAATCTAATGTTGCAATCTATTTGGTCCAAGGTCGGGGTCTCAAGCGCATGTGCTGAGCATGTGGCAAGAAGAGGTCATTTGATGTCCACTTGATACAATTTCAAAACCTCTTTATGCACTCTGAAATGGTTTAGGCGAAAGCCGGTCATTTGGTAGTCCAGGGCATGGTGAAACTATACAAGGTGGTCTCGTCAGCTCTGCTGAGGACGTTAAATATGTTTACCTCTCTGTCTCTCTTAAGCGATCGAATGAGATAAAGATAAAGTCCTCAAAAGAGGACGAGACCACCTTGTATAGTTTCACCATGGTCCACGGGTTATAGCATTCCTCCATGCTTCCTAGTTATTTAGAAGTTTATTGGCCACATTGCATTCCGAGTTCTCGAGGACATTGCCGCAGCAGGACCAGTGACGTCTCCCCGGATGTCCTGCATGGCCATGACCACAGCCACTGTATCCTGGCATTCGCCCCTCGCAGGAGCACATGACATTCCGGTTGCCCTTTCCGGAACAGAAGGAGCAGCAGTGGTATATCCCCGTATGCGGACGAACCTGACGCGCCTGGAAGGTGAAAGGACCGCCCTTGATGGGCCGCTCGTTGATCGTGATCGTTAGGATCAAGGCTCCCTGGGCGTCGGGCGTAAATGAGATGTTGTAGGTGCCATCCCGATTATCCGACACCTCTACGGGCAGGAACTTGGAGGTCGAGTCCTTGTACTTCAGCATGCAGTTGATCTCCAGGCCGCCGTGGCAGAGGGAAACTCCATCGGCATCTCGAGAGTGCAGCAGAAGATCGGCCTTCTTGTGAAGTCGCAGCTGGGAAAAGCCCTCCCACTCCAAGGTGCACAGGCCGGGCTCCACCACCTGCATGGTGATGATTCCATACAGAGGGATATCGCGCTGGTCCTTCGTCGATGGAGCTCTGATTTTGGGTAGGAAGTGTAGAGAGTCGGAGATCTGGAAAGAAATTAAGATACTTTGGTTATAGGTTTTACAAATTAACAGGTGATTAACCCACTTTCGGATCCACTGGTGGTTTAAACTGTTGACAATACTCCAATCGTCTGAGAAGTATGGCCACATAACTCAGAATCTCCACATCTGCGCCAATCTCGCAAAGCTCTTGGCTGAATCGCACTGCATCCAGGGCCTGTTGCGTTCGTTTCTCTAAGGGATCAGCTCAGCTAACTAGTGGTTTACTAGAATAGTTAGAAATCTCACCCAGATCCAGTTGCTGCTTAAGTACAACCTCCACTTTAGACTCCCTGGCCCTGCTGACTTGCTGGAGCAGAGTTCTACGATGCACTTCCAAGGCCTCGATGTAGTTCTGCATATACCGCTCCACTTGACTCTGGATGTCGTCGCATCTGCTGTTGATTCCCCGGGCGATCTCGTTCAGCCTTTCAATGGAGTGCTCTGCATATTGACACAGTGGACGAGTTTGATCTGTGGCTTCTTTGAGGAGTTTTCCCTGATGTCCAATTGCCCGGGCTATGGTCTCATGTCGATGTCCTTTGTGGAGAAGAACCAAGCAATCGGTGCAGGCCAATTGACGGCATTGCGTACAGAATGCCTTCAGTTCAAAGTTGGTGTGAATTCCACATCGCAGCACCAGCTTGCTACTGTCTCCCAATCCCAGCTGCTGCTGCTTTTGTTTCCTGGCACGTCTCAGTTCCAGGATGCTTCTCATCCTGTGATTCGAGGTGCTCCGTTGCCGCTCATGTGCCTCCTTGCACAGGGTACAGAGGTTCAGGGTGCAGCTAATGCAGTGATAGGTGGCCTGGAAAGAGGATAAGGAAGAAGGAGAGTGGACCAGTGACTTAAACATCCTTACACTGATCTCCTCGGTGCAAAGGGAACACCACACCTTGGAGATGACATCCTCTCCAGCCTGTAATCGCAACGCCTCAATCCGTCTTACTAGCAAATAGTTCTGGGGCAGCTGACGCACTCCACCCAAGGGGAGATCCGTGGGATAGTTGCAGCTATGACAACGGATGCATCGAGAAGGTGCATCGCTCACGAAGCTTCCGGTGAACCGGGTGCCAAAGGAACTGGTCGATCGCTTGCCTTCACTCTTGGACTATTAAAGAGAAGAGGTTCTAACTCCATTATCATAATAAGAAGTCTTTCAATCTCACCCTGATCACCAAACGATCCATGGACTTCTTTCGTCTTAAACTTAAGCTGGCTCCTCGCTGCCTGGCGGGTGAAACGGTAGCCGTGAGTTCCGCACTGGATCCACCCATCTCCGATCTTAGGCTGTAGCTCGAGGGATCCTCGCTACGGGAGGGATCCTGATCCCACAAGGATTCGTCCTTGAAGTTCTCGCTTACCAGGCATTGCAAACAGAAGGAGTGCAGGCAGTAGAGGGTCCTGGGATCCGTATAGACATCCAGGCAGATGCCGCACTTCAGATCATCCGTGAAGGTTATGGTGTTCTCTGGAGGCGTACTGGGTCTCAAGGTGATGCTGGGTGATGGGGAGACCCCAGGAGAGTTCGCCGGAGATCTTGATGGACTCCTAACCAGTGGTGATGGTGCATCGAAGATCTCTGGTCTTGGCGAGCCTGCCAGCAGAAGTTGCGGTAGCATCTGCAGCTTGGGTTGAGTGGTGTCTGGTGTGGGAGGGGATATCCTCAGCTCGGGAGAAGCCTTCAAGCTGAGCAGCCTCTTCGGATGCAGTTGCTCCTTGGCTTTAATAGGTTGCGCCACCGTGGCATTGCTGGCCTGACTGCTGCTGCTGCTTTGAACGGAAATGGAGGAGGCTCCACTGAGAATGTGATCCAGTAGGGATTCGGGTGAAGTCGAACTACCACCTCCGGCCAAGCTGCTGGTGGGTTCACTGCCACTGCCACTGTCCTGCAGTCCCAGGTCCTCAGTGGTTAACCCAGGAATCCCTGCTCGCGAGCCATTGGCCAAACCCAAAGTCCTCGACCGTCGAATGAAACTTTTCGGCGTAAAAACAGGTAGCTTAGGCACTGATGGAGGTAGCACTTCCGAATTGGCTTCCACTTTGGGAGCAATGGTGAAGGTAAAGAGCTGTGGTGCTGACTTGCGACGCACTGCATCTGGCACAGGTGCCGCCTGAAGAGTATTCTTCGGAACCTGCGAGCTCTTCCGCAGGGAAATCTTCGCCGAGCTTAGCTTCAACTTGATTTTACCTTGGGTTCCACTAGACTGGACAACTGGTGGAGGCGGAGCTGTCGGGACCACCACTTCCAAGTCTCCCTGGATGCGTTCATAATCAATTAGCTGGCTACTCTTGCTGCCGACACTAGCTTTCCTCTGGAAAACAAACTTCGAGTGGTTCGTCCTGCTCATGCTGCCAGGTTATGCAATCCCGAACCGAGGACTACGGATTCGGTGGTCATCTGGAGCACCAACGAGTGTTCCCTTTGCTATTGGGACTGCGACTGAGACTGGGTCTCGGACTTGGTTGCTGCCTAATCCAATTACATTTCGCATTGGAAGCTCAGGGAGCACTGCGAATGGAGAGGTGGCAAAAGTCTGACACTGACAATTGTGCAATTATCTGTTGTGGTTGCTCATTCTAAATAGTTCTCCCATGAAGACTTGTCACTCGCTATTGATTGACTTTTTCGATTTGGTGGCCAAAACATCGCCCAGTATCGGGACTACTGAATTCACAAAGTCGTGACATTAAGTGACATTTTCTTCACTGGATAAATCCTATTGGAGCGAGCACAGTAGAAGAAATGGGAACTCTCGTTGCCATTATGACTAAACCCATCAAATTACAAACTCTCCACTAGTATCTGATGTCGCCAATGATTCTTAGGTAAGTAAAACACTTGTTTAAAAATATTTCTTAAATTTAATTTTGATAAGTGTTTCATTGAAGAAAATATTCTTTTATTATTATGAAAGGCTCCATTCTCAATGCGATACATCTCAACGTGGAGTGATTTTGTTGATTTTAACAAACAGATAAATACAAATAAAAACAAAAAATAAAAAAAAAAACAGAAAAACAATTTCATGTTGATTTGCATGCCAAACCAGCTGCGTTGGTTTCATTTTCAAAATTTAAAATATAATATGGTTTATAAATATTTTGAGTTGGTATAGTTTTTAATGATTTGCTAGTTTACAAATTAAATGAAAAAACGGATATAACAATACTTATTTTGTGTTTACTGTTGAATGCATCTCTCATCGTATAAGTTCCGTTAATAGCTCCATTAGCTGATCAAATGGTCAAGTAACCACTCGCATTGACATAATACAGTGAAGATTACAAAAGCCACGGGAAGCTCTCTCTCCCACCTCGTACTCTCGCCAAAACCCCTCTCACAAATCCCACAGTTACACGGTGCCGCTCTTTCACTCTCTCTACCCACAGGCAAAATAAATGGGTGGGAGAGGGAGCTTTTTGGACCCAGTACTCGTAGAGAACAGGGGTATATTATGTTCCTAATAATGCATTTAAATAATACAAATTATGTTAGAACTTAAAATATGTTTAAAATTTCCAAGTGTGCCGATTTAAATGCTCTTCATAGGGTTACGGTTTAAGGGTACCCCCCATCTTATAGATTGGGTAGTGGGTATATAACATTCGGATCCCTTGATCCCACTGGTTTAGTCAAGCAGCTGGCCCAGTGGCTCTTATTTTCGACTCGCTCGTACACATCAGTTGCAGTTCGGAAGCGGAATCGGTTGATGTTGTTGCTTCGGTTCGGACGTGGAATATTTCACTTTCGTACGCTCGTATTTTCGACTTGAAAGAATCGGCAGAAGCGCCCAGAACAGACCGATAAAACTTTCCCTTCACTCTCGTTTTCCCCGCAGCGATTTACATTTTCGAGTTTGGTACTACAATGTTGTGTTCGGTGTAATAAATATACGATTTCAAAACCATTCCAAAACCCATTAAACTAAACGGAATCGGAATCCATTGACCCCTTATGCCACAAGACAATTTTCATTACGTTTCGCGGATTTGTTGGTAGTTCGCCGTTGCGGGCCGTTTATCGTGTGTTGCTTTGGTGTTGATTTTCGTGAGGGACGCACAATTTTCCACTTGGCTTTGCTGCTCCAGTTCTGGAAACCACCCCCACCTTCATAGAGCCCATCGTTTGCCGGTCCTCAGCAATATGGAAGCGGTACGTATTCGCACCTTTCGCCGGTCCCAAATATTGAAAGCTATTTGTTAGCTGAGGAGCGGGGGACCCGGCATCTGTGTTACAAAGTCCAAGTCCAGGGCGATAATGCTGCTCGAGATATTGCGTAAAAGGTTAAAGTCTCTTCTCTCCGAACTGAGATTCGATTCGGTTCCGATTGATCTTCGTATTGGCCAGTCAATGAACTGAAATCACAGACGAAATATCACATTAATGCAATTTTATGCTAAAAATCGTCTGCTCGGTATTTTCACCTAAAAAAGAAAGGGAAATCCCAATATTAATAACCATTCCAAATAGGACCGGAATTTTTGGTATGCAAATTTAATATGTTTTTATACATAACCTGAAGAATGTAAAAGTGTCCTGAACATGTTATTAGCTTATAATGTTTAGTAATCTTGTATACGATTGTAAAACACTTCAACTAAATAATACATTAAATAATGGGTTAAAGTCTCTCCCCCATTGAGATTGGCCAGACCGCTTTGATTTGATATTTGATGAATAATAAGCAGGCACCTGCTGATAAGACCTGATTCCCATGACTCCACATGTAGAATTGTGGGTTTAGAGACTTAAGTCTTCACCTTAATAAAATTAAGCCGTGACATTTTGAATGAGCGAAATAAGGAGAACAAACCGAGATAAAAATGTATGGAGGTAATAAATAAATAAACGAAACGAGATAATTGTCATTAGCGTGGAATTTTATAGAGGTTTTACTTTAAAAGCTTTATCCCTAAAAGTTTTGGAACAGTTTGTTTTCGAGTAGTTGGGCGAATCTAATTTTCTTTTTATAACCCATTTAGATAAACTACTGCAATAAGAATTACACCCCTACAATCCCAGACAGGCAATCGTTATACGGGTTTTAAAACCATTTCGCGCACTTGTTCATACAGAAGATATAAAGATTTAGAATCTCAGTACCAGCTGATATTAGATTGGTTCCCATTTGCCTCGTTGGACTTTTATACAACATGTAAATAAAATATTTAAATCGTATTCCACTCGATAGGTGGAAAAGAAGGGCATGGAAAACTTCAGGTTCGGCAGTGTGGACTACATTGTTTTCCTGGGCATGATCGTATTGTCCACCGGCACGGGAATCTATTTCGGGTGCATCAAGTGAGTGACCTTTAATTCTACAATGCAGTGCCAAACAATTGGGTTAATTACAGGAAGAGCAAGAGGAAGCTCGAGGAGGCGGAACCCACTCTACCGACCACAGAGAGGCGAAAGCACGATTTCGGATCTGAGAAGATGAGCGAGTATTTGCTCGGGTCACGCAATCTGAAAGTTTTTCCCGTTGCCATGAGCCTGATAGCCAGGTAACGTTGATGATATCTCACCCTCTGGGAATCCCTGTAATCTGTACCCTTTTTTTAATTCCAGCTATATATCTGGCGTCACGATACTGGGCACCACCTCGGAAATCTACAATTATGGCACGCAATATTGGTTTATAGCCATCGCAATCGTTCTCCAAGGCATTGCCGTCTCCTATGTCTACATACCCGTATTCTCGGCTCTTCAAGTAGGCTCTTCGTATGAGGTATATATTAGTAGATACTAGAAACTGATTTATTGATTTACAATCTAATAAGTCGGGAAGCTCATGGCTACAGTATAAGTAAAAAACTTCAAGTGTCTAATGAGAAAGTTTTTTAAATGAAAATATCTTACAGCTTCCACAATTTTTTTAAGAGCTTGTTATAAAAAAAATTAAAAATTATGAATATTGAATTTTTTCAATTAACTAAACGTCCGTTAAAATTAAAAATAGAGAAGTCAGTCCTTAGTTGTTGATAAGAATAAGACACTTTCTCATTGATTTCCTTCTTCCCCCTTTCATTCTTTCATTTATTTGCAATCAATGAACGGAAAGCGTAGTGAACACTTTAATTAACTGAGAATCGGAGACCACCCTCCTGAAGTGGAATTTCTTGGACTTTGCTCTAGCCCACTTGTTGCGACGTTTTTTCTGTGTCTCCATGGGTCCGATATGATTAATTGCAAAGTATTTTGCTGCCACTTGACAGTTGTGTTCAAGCAATTAATATAACCGAAATAGCCAACATAAGCTAGCTTTCTTACTCCAATTTATTGCCAGTAATGCCTACTAACAAATCCTAAAAGTAAATTATTTTAATGCTTAAAGATGACTTTATTTTCAGTACTTGGAGATGCGTTTTCATTCGGTCATACGAAGTATAGCATCGTTTATGTTTATACTGGATGAGGCAAGTAAAAGTTTAAGGTCGAGTTGCATTATCTAAGTAATCATTGATTTCAGATACTGTTTCTGCCTTTTATTGTGTATGTGCCAGCGATTGCTTTGAATCAGGGTAAGGTATATTTGTTGATTGTTTGAAATACTCCTCTAATCTTTTGATAATCTTGCAGTATCCGGCATTAATCTGCATGTGATTGCAGTGGTTATTGTGGTCGTGTGTGTTTTCTACACCTTTGTGGTAAGTTTGCTATTTGGAATTTATGACTGCAATGATGATTCACATTTTTCTACTTTCAGGGAGGAATAAAGGCAGTGGTCCACACGGATGCCTGGCAGGTGCTGGTAATGTTCCTCTCCGTTCTTGCCGTTGCTATTTTGGCAACTGTCTACGCCAAGGGCTTAAATGTCCTTTTCGATGATGCCGCCAAGGGTGGTCGATTGATTTTCAACAATACGAATCCCTCGCCATATGTTCGTCACACCGTTTGGAGCGTTCTTATCGGTGGCTTCTCGTACTGGACTTCTTTTAATGCCGTCAATCAGACGATGGTTCAGCGATACATGTCTCTTCCCTCGCTGAAAAAGGCACGTGCTTCCATGGCCATTTTCACAATTGGAGTGGCTGCCTTCGTCTCGGTTTGTTGTTACGTGGGATTGCTTATCTTTGAGATGTACAAGGACTGTGATCCTCTAAGTGCGGGACTTATAACGGTCAGTAAATTGTATATAATTTTGTATCATAGCTTACCTTTACTGATTCACAGCACGACGATCAACTGCTTCCCCTCTTTGTCGTCCAGAGTGTGGGTCACATTTATGGAATGTCCGGATTGTTTATAGCTGGCATATTCGGAGCTGCCTTGAGTTCGCTTTCCGTGGTTCTCAACTCGACTTCCTTGGTGATCCTGGAGGATATAGTTCGCGGCTGCTTCAAGATGCAACCAAGTGAAAGAGCCTCCACCATTTTGGTCAAGTCCACTGTTATAGTGCTTGGTCTAGTGGCCCTCTCACTGGTGTTTGTCCTGGAACAGTTGAGTGGCATCCTGAGCATTTGCACTTCAATGACGGCCATCGCAGCTGGAACCACTTTTGGCCTGTTCACCCTGGGAATGCTCGTTCCCTGGGCCAATACTGTGGGCACTGCTGTGGGCGGAATTGCAAGTGCTCTGCTCGCCGGTTGGATATCCTTTGGAACGCAGTTTACCATTGCAGCCGGGGAATTGAATTCCCAGAAGCTTCCCGTTTCCGTTGAGGGATGTGTGGGTAATGTAACACTTAGGGAAAATGTATGGGTAGATGAGGAGCAAGTTTTCCCTTTGTACCGGCTGTCCTACCACTGGATAAATCCCATTGGCGTGGCCACAGTCATCGTGGTGGGTGCACTGGTCTCCCTGGTAACCAAACCCACGAATATCAAGACTCTGGATCCGGATCTAATATCACCAGTGATTCACAGGTACAGAAATGATTACCCTACTCTTAAAGACTGAAACTAAAACCTTTCCTTTCAGATTTCTTCCAAAGGAGTGCTTCACTGGTCGCAATCCTCATACGCAAGCGCACAAAAACCTTCTGAACGTATCCTAAAATAACTATAACCCTGTGCCAAACTTAATGGAATTAATCCTAATCCCGTGGCCATTTATTCCACACACCCTGTTTTGTTAGCCTAGTTTGTAGTAGTAGTTGTGGTAGTTACCTTAAAAAATAGCCTAGTCTAGTACAATGTGATCCAGCTATTGGATTGGAAAACACAAACCGAAGTACAGGAACCTATGAATCTGCATCTCAATCTCCAGAGTGCACAATCATTAGCGTAGTGTAGTTATTGTATTATAATATAGCTTTATTTAATTGTTCTGTTCGTATCTGTTCTTCACTTTCCAGCTTATGTTCAAGCATTATTCTTTGGCATTTTCGATTTGTAGTCAGCAGACTGTGTCTCATTATGTATTCCGTGTGACCTAACAAACATAATGTCTGTGATAAATTCAATAAATAGATCATACACACACTGTCCGAATTGTTTACACCTAGAATATAGTCAAGCGATTGCGAAGCAGCAGCAGGAATGATATGACCTCTTTTTGGATCTGGGATCTGAGTCTGGAATCTGGAATCTGGCTGTATCTAGTCTAAACTAAGCCCCAATCAGGCGTAAATCACAAAAGAGGATGTGCCTCGTAAAGGCTCGCTCGTACATACAACTAATTGACCTTCCGATGATCCGCCTCCGAGGACTGTCCTCTGCTCCTGATCCACTTGCCGAGCTGCAATGCGATGACCATGAAGCAGAGGATGCCGGCACTCAGGTAGCTGTTGAAGACAAACTGTTGCGGCAGCATTTTGCACTTGGAAACCACGTAGTCGTCCGGGGTGATAGTGGCCTACAAGTAATATTAGTTAAGGGACTTACAATCATAAGAATGAAATATAATACCCACCAGCATAAAGCTGGGATTGACCTTGTTGCGCCAGCTAAAGGAGGCCACTGTGTACTCATCGATGCCCAGCCGGTTGACACTGTGGCAAAAGTGATGCGAATGGCCGGCGAATGCCAATCTCGGCTTGAGCAGTTCGCCCAGCATATCCGTGGCATCCTTGGAGAGCACATGGAAGCGCTCGCGGTAAGTCTCGATGAAAGGAGCATCGTGCTCCTCGCACATGGTATCTGAAATTCGATACGTTGGGAAGTGCTGCAGCAGGATCGGCTGGCTATAGGGATGCCTCCTGGTGCGAGCGCACTCCGCCTCCAGCGGATACTTCATGCAGTGCAACGTCCGCGAAATGTTCTTCAGCTCATCCTCGGCCTGGGTGCAGAACATGCAGCCATCGGCCTCCATGGCCATGGAGTTGATCACCACGAAATGGATTTGTTTGATGGTGTACAGGTTCACCGAGGAGTTGTTCAGATAGTTCTCGAAGCGCGACATGAAGAAGGGGTGCATTCTGGAAAGGAATGTGGTTTAGAGATCATATATAGATTGATATCTAATTAACTAACTTGTAGTGGAAGCCCACGTCGTGATTGCCTGCTACACTGATGAGCGGAATGCCCGGCGGCAGGTGGAACATCTTGAGGTAGCGCCACACGTACTCCTGGAACTGCTTGTCGCTCACCATGTCGCCCTCGTCGAACAAGTCACCCAGGACGAAGACCACGTCCGGCTGGAAGAGACGCGATGCCGCCTGGAAGGCGCGTGTCATGTGCCACTCCCGGTACAGCTTGTCCAGCCAGTGGCCACGATGTGGTCCCAGGAGATGCGGATCCGCCAGGATCATCGCCCGCAGCGGATCGTCCACATACTTCTTCCGCTTAATCTCCGGCCACCGGCACTTCTGCATAACCACAAAGTCCGCCACGTATTCGCAGAAGATCAGGGCGCACAGCACGATTACGAAGCAGGCGTAAAGAAACCGCATTTTCTGATTTTAAACCGGCTTAAAGAGTAATAACAATCTATGACTGCGGGGAATCCCGAAGTTCTGGTCTTGAACTTGACTTTTCGTGGGGGGCTCCAAGACAAGTGTCACCCAAGTAGCAGGAATACTTTTAAAGGGACACCTTAAATTCCTGGTAATTCGCAATAAATACAATTCATTTTGTACGCTTATTTAATTAATCAAAACAATAACAAGACCATCGATAGCCGTAATTTTAACCTATCGGTCAGTAGGGCCGCGCCGATAACAGTAAAAATACCATATTTAAATACCATTTCAGTTTCAAGAAATACAACTATATATTTCAAAAATTAATTTCCGTTAATATCGAATTGGTAGAAATAAGTCCCGGTGTCCTATCTTTTGTCATGCCGAAATTTAATATTAAGAGTTGTCGCTTAAAAAAAAAGCAGATTACAAAATTAATATACGTTAATATAATATACGTCAAGGGCCTTGTCCATCGGATAACCAATTAGGGTCCGTTGAAGATTGCCGGATTATACAATTTTGTAGCAGGGGGGCACTGTATTTCCTCCATGTTTAAGATAATAAAGAAATTGAATGTTTTATAAGCAGTCGTAGATTTTATTAGGAAAGCCCTTACAAGTACTACTTAAATTACTTTATTCAGCATTTGTGAAGCCATAAGGGCGCTCTTGTTTTATGGTAATTCTCACAAACAGCTTAAATGTAAATCAATAAATACTTATGCACATCTCGCATCTTTCAAAGTTTTAGTAACATCTTTTTTAATTTAAAATAAGTTTTAAGTAAAAAAAGACTTCTTAAACCAAGTAAAGGGTTTTAATATCGAAACGGCTTTCCCGGAAGTGCAAGCAATAAGTCGGGAAGTTTTATCGCAGTTGAATAGGTTTGTTCGCGCATCATTAAATCCTTTCAATTTTTTTATAATGCTCTGAATACTGATATTTAATGAAGTAGCTCTGAATTAATAACATTTATTTTACAGTGGGTGACCCATTTGTAGTGTTTAACGATCGCCAAAAGAAATTCGGGAGCGCACCGAAAGGATTCGGCAATTGTGGCAGAGGTGGAAGATTGGGAAGTGCAATTTCTGGTAACGATATTGATGTTAAATTAACTTCTGGCAATGATGGAAGTGGTGGCAGCAGGGGCAACGGGGGCAACGCGGGTGGTAGAGGAGGCAAGGGAAGAGGTAAGTTCTGGCAGAGGTAAAGGAGGCAAGGGAAGAGGAAATTCTGGAAGAGGTAGTGGAGGTAATTCGGGAAGAGGAAGAGGGGGCCAGGGCAGTGGCAGCGGTAGAGGGGGAAGATTAGGAAGTGGAAGAAACGACTGTCCGGGATCAGCGGGCCTGTGATGATGGATATGATGGTGGATTTCTTGTGGTACGGTAGCTGGTGATACCGTGGTTGTTGGCTCATGAGTAGTCCCATCAGTTGTTGTATTTTGCGTTGTTGGCTCTGTGGTAGTTTTGGTTGTAGTTGTCTTTTGCGTGGTTGGTTCTGCGGTAGTCCTAATGGTTGTTGATCCTTTCGTTGTTGGCTCTCGGGTAGTTTTTTCTGTTGTTGTCCTCTTTGTCGTAGGCTCTGCAGTGGTCTTAACAGTTGTTGTCCTCCGAGTCGTTGGCACACTAGTAGTCTTAACAGTTGTCGTTCTCCGAGTTGTTGGCTCAGGAGTTGTCCTTTCAGTTGTAGTCTTCTCTGTTGTTGGCTCTGTCGTAGTCTTGGCTGTACTTGTCTTTTGTGTGGTAGGTTCTACGGTAGTCCTAATGGTTGTTGTTCCTTTCGTTGTTGGCTCTCGGGTAGTTTTTTCTGTTGTCTTTTGTGTTGTTGCTCTTGTCGTAGGTTTCTACAGTGGTCCTTTCATAGTTGGTTCCAGTGTCCTAACGGTTGTTGTCCTTTTGTTGTAGGCCCACGGGTAGTCTTTTCTGTTGTTGTCCTCCGAGTCGTTGGCTCATGGGTAGTTTGTTCAGTTGTTGTCCTCCGAGTCGTTGGCTCACGAGTAGTCCTTTCAGTTGTTGTCTTTTGTGTTGTTGGCTCTTTCGTAGTCTTGGCTGTACTTGTCTTTTGCGTAGTTGGTTCCGCGGTAGTCCCGATGGTTGTTGTTCTTTTTGTTGTAGGCTTATGGGTAGTTTTTTCTGTTGTTGTCTTTAAGAGTTGTCGTTCTCCGAGTTGTTGGTTCACGAGTAGTCCTTTCAGTTGTTGTCTTTTGTGTTGTTGGCTCTTTCGTAGTCTTGGCTGTACTTGTCTTTTGCGTAGTTGGTTCCGCAGTAGTCCTGATGGTTGTTGTTCTTTTTGTTGTAGGCTCATGGGTAGTCTTTTCTGTTGTTGTCTTAAGAGTTGTCGGTCTCCGAGTTGTTGGTTCACGAGTAGTCCTTTCAGTTGTTGTCTTTTGTGTTGTTGGCTCTTTCGTAGTCTTGGCTGTACTTGTCTTTCGCGTGGTTGGTTCCGCGGTAGTCCTAATGGTTGTTGTTCTTTTCGTTGTTGGCTCATGGGTAGTTTTTGTACTCTTTGTCGTAGGTTCTGCAGTAGTCCTAACAGTTGTTGTCCTCCGCGTCGTTGGCTCACGAGTAGTCTTTACAGTTGTCTTTGGTTGTTGGCCGAGTCTTGCGACTTGTCTTTGCGAGTGGTCGCGGTAGTCCTGGGTTGTTGTTCTTGTGTGGCGGGTAGTTTTACTTTTCTTCTTTGTCGTAGGTTCTATAGTAGTCTTAACAGTTGTTGTCCTCCGAGTCGTTGGCTCACGAGTAGTCTTGAGAGTTGTCGTCCTCCGAGTTGGTGGTTCCCGAGTAGTCCTTTCAGTTGTTGTCTTTTGTGTTGTTGGCTCTTTCGTAGTCTTGGCTGTACTTGTCTTTTGCGTAGTTGGTTCCGCGGTAGTCCTAATGGTTGTTGTTCTTTTCGTTGTTGGCTCATGTGTAGTTTTTTCTGTTGTTGTCTTCTTTGTGGTAGGTTCTGCAGTAGTCTTAACAGTTGTCGTTATCCGAGTTGTTGGTTCACGAGTAGTCCTTTCAGTTGTTGTCTTTTGTGTTGTTGGCTCTTTCGTAGTCTTGGCTGTACTTGTCTTTTGCGTGGTTGGTTCTGCGGTAGTCCTAATGGTTGTTGTTCTTTTCGTTGTTGGCTCATGTGTAGTTTTTTCTGTTGTTATCTTCTTTGTCGTAGGTTCTGCAGTAGTCTTAACAGTTGTTGTCCTCCGAGTTGTTGGCTCACGAGTAGTCCTTTCAGTGGTTGTCTTTTGTGTTGTTGGCTCTTTCGTAGTCTTGGCTGTACTTGTCTTTTGCGTAGTTGGTTCCGCGGTAGTCCTGATGGTTGTTGTTCTTTTCGTTGTTGGCTCAGGGTAGTTTTTCTTTTGCTCTTTGTCGTAGGTTCTAGAGTAGTCTTAACAGTTGTTGTCCTCCGAGTTGTTGGCTCACGAGTAGTCCTTTCAGTGGTTGTCCTCCGAGTCGTTGGCTCACGAGTAGTCTTAAGAGTTGTCGTTCTCCGAGTTGTTGGTTCACGAGTAGTCCTTTCAGTTGTTGTCTTTTGTGTTGTTGGCTCTTTCGTAGTCTTGGCTGTACTTGTCTTTTGCGTAGTTGGTTCCGCGGTAGTCCTAATGGTTGTTGTTCTTTTCGTTGTAGGCTCATGGGTAGTTTTTTCTGTTCTTGTCTTCTTTGTGGTAGGTTCTGCAGTAGTCTTAACAGTTGTCGTTCTCCGAGTTGTTGGTTCACGAGTAGTCCTTTCAGTTGTTGTCTTTTGTGTTGTTGGCTCTTTCGTAGTCTTGGCTGTACTTGTCTTTTGCGTAGTTGGTTCCGCGGTAGTCCTAATGGTTGTTGTTCTTTTCGTTGTTGGCTCATGGGTAGTTTTTTTTTCTTCTTTGTCGTAGGTTATTCTTCTTAAAGTTGTGCTCCGAGTGTTGGCCGCGAGTAGTCTTAACAGTTGTCGTTCTCCGAGTTGTTGGTTCACGAGTAGTCCTTTCAGTTGTTGTCTTTTGTGTTGTTGGCTCTTTCGTAGTCTTGGCTGTACTTGTCTTTTGCGTTGTTGGTTCCGCGGATGTCCTTATTGTAGTTGTTCTTTTTGTTGTAGGCACATGCGTAGTTTTTTCTGTTGTTGTCTTCTTTGTGGTAGGTTCCGTAGTAGTCCCAACAGTTGTCGTTCTTCGAGTTGTTGGTTCATGAGTAGTCCTTTTAGTTGTTGTCTTTTGTGTTGTTGGCTCTTTCGTAGTCTTGGCTGTACTTGTCTTTTGTGTGGTTGGTTCTGCGGTAGTTCTAATGGTTGTTGTTCTCTTCGTTGTTGGCTCATGGGTAGTTTTTTCTGTTGTTGTCGTCTTTGTCGTAGGTTGCAGTAGTCTTAACAGTTGTTGTCCTCCGCGTCGTTGGCTCACGAGTAGTCTTGAGAGTTGTCGTCCTCCGAGTTGTTGGTTCCCGAGTAGTCCTTTCAGTTGTTGTCTTTTGTGTTGTTGGCTCTTTCGTAGTCTTGGCTGTACTTGTCTTTTGCGTAGTTGGTTCCGCGGTAGTCCTAATGGTTGTTGTTCTTTTCGTTGTTGGCTCATGGGTAGTTTTTTCTGTTGTCTTCTTTGTCGTAGGTTCTATTGTAGTCCTAACAGTTGTTGTTCTTTGAGTTGTTGGCTCACGAGTAGTCCTTTCAGTTGTTGTCTTTTGTGTTGTTGGCTCTTTCGTAGTCTTGGCTGTACTTGTCTTTTGTGTGGTTGGTTCTGCGGTAGTTCTAATGGTTGTTGTTCTCTTCGTTGTTGGCTCATGGGTAGTTTTTTCTGTTGTTGTCTTCTTTGTCGTAGGTTCTGCAGTAGTCTTAACAGTTGTTGTCCTCCGCGTCGTTGGCTCACGAGTAGTCTTTACAGTTGTTGTCTTTTGTGTTGTTGGCTCTTTCGTAGTCTTGGCTGTACTTGTCTTTTGCGTAGTTGGTTCCGCTGTAGTCCTGATGGTTGTTGTTCTTTTCGTTGTTGGCTCATGGGTAGTTTTTTCTGTTGTCTTCTTTGTCGTAGGTTCTATAGTAGTCTTAACAGTTTTTGTCCTCCGAGTCGTTGGCTCACGAGTAGTCTTAAGAGTTGTCGTCCTCCGAGTTGTTGGTTCCCAAGTAGTCCTTTCAGTTGTTGTCTTTTGTGTTGTTGACTCTGTCGTTGTCTTGGCTGTACTTGTCTTTTGTGTGGTTGGTTCTGCGGTAGTTCTAATAGTTGTTGTTCTTTTCGTTGTTGGCTCTCGGGTAGTTTTTTCTGGTGTTGTCTTCTTTGTCGTAGGTTCTGCAGTAGTCTTAATCGTTGTTGTCCTGCGAGTCGTTGGCTCACGAGTAGTCCTTTCAGTTGTTGTCGTCTGGGTTGTAGTTTTTTCAGTGGTTGGCTGTTTTGTAGTCTTTACAGTGGTCGTGTTTTGAGTTGTTGACTCTGTTGTAGTTTTAATGGTTGTTGTCTTTTGAGTTGCAGGCTCAGAGGTAGTCTTTGTGGTTTTCGGCTCCATGGTGGTTTTTGTAGTAGTTATCTTTTCGGTGGTTGGTTCATTTGTTGTTTTAGTGGTGGTTGTCTTCTGAGTTGATGTTTTTACAGTTGTTGGTTCTGTTGTAGTCTTTACAGTAGTTGTCTTCTCAGTTGTTGGTTCTCTGGTAGTCTTTACGGTAGTTGTCTTCTCGGTTGTTGGCTCCGTAGTTGTTTTAATAGTTGTTGTCTTTTCAGTTGATGACTTCTCTGTGGGTTGTTGTCTTTTCAGTGGTTGGCTTCGTTGTTGTTTTAGCGGTTGTTGTTTTCTGAGTTGATGTTTTTTCAGTTGTTGGTTCTGTGGTCGTCTTTACAGTAGTTGTCTTCTCGGTTGTTGGCTCCGTAGTTGTTTTAACGGTTGTTGTCTTCTGAGTTGATGTTTTCTCAGTTGTTGGTTCTGTTGTAGTCTTTACAGTAGTTGTCTTCTCAGTTGTTGGTTCTGTGGTAGTCTTTACAGTAGTTGTCTTCTCGGTTGTTGGCTCTGTAGTTGTTTTAATAGTTGTTGTCTTTTGAGTTGCAGGCTCAGAGGTAGTCTTTGTGTTTGTCGGCTCGGTGGTGACTTTTGTAGTTGTTGTCTTTTCGGTTGTTGGCTTCGTTGTTGTTTTAGCGGTTGTTGTTTTCTGAGTTGATGTTTTTTCAGTTGTTGGTTCTGTTGTTGTCTTCACAGTAGTTGTCTTTTCGTTGGTTCGCTCCGTAGTTGTTTTAACGGTTGTTGTCTTTTGAGTTGATGTTTTCTCAGTTGTTGGTTCTGTTGTAGTCTTTACAGTAGTTGTCTTTTCAGTTGTTGGTTCTGTGGTAGTCTTTACAGTAGTTGTCTTCTCGGTTGTTGGCTCTGTGGTTGTTTTTACAGTAGTTGTCTTTTGGGTTGCTGGCTCCGTAGTTGTTTTAATAGTTGTTGTCTTTTGAGTTGATGTTTTCTCAGTTGTTGGTTCTGTTGTAGTCTTTACGGTTGTTGGCTTTTCAGTTGTTGTTTTGTGGTAAGCGGTTTACAGTAGTTGTTTTTTCAGTTGTTGGTTCTGTTGTTGTCTTCACAGTAGTTGTCTTTTCGTTGGTTCGCTCCGTAGTTGTTTTAACGGTTGTTGACTTCTGAGTTGATGATTTCTCAGTTGTTGGTTCTGTTGTTGTCTTTACAGTAGTTGTCTTCTCGGTTGTTGGTTCTGTGGTAGTCTTTACAGTAGTTGTCTTCTCGGTTGTTGGCTCCGTAGTTGTTTTACTAATTGTTGTCTTTTGAGTTGACGTTTTCTCAGTTGTTGGTTCTGTTGTTGTCTTTACAGTAGTTGTCTTCTCAGTTGTTGGTTCTCTGGTAGTCTTTACAGTAGTTGTCTTCTCAGTTGTTGGTTCTGTGGTTGTCTTTACAGTAGTTGTCTTCTCGGTTGTTGGCTCTGTGGTTGTTTTTACAGTAGTTGTCTTCTCGGTTGTTGGCTCCGTAGTTGTTTTAATAGTTGTTGTCTTTTGAGTTGACGTTTTCTCAGTTGTTGGTTCTGTTGTGGTCTTTACAGTAGTTGTCTTCTCGGTTGTTGGTTCTCTGGTAGTCTTTACAGTAGTTGTCTTCTCGGTTGTTGGCTCTTTTGTATTTTTAACGGTTGTTGTCTTTTGAGTTGATGGTTCTGCTGTAGACTTTACAGTAGTTGTCTTTTCAGTTGTTGGTTCTGTGGTAATCTTTATAGTAGTTGTCTTCTCGGTTGTTGGCTCCGTAGTTGTTTTAATAGTTGTTGTCTTTTGAGTGGATGTTTTCTCACTTGTTGGTTCTGCTGTAGTCCTTACAGTAGTTGTCTTTTCAGTTGTTGGTTCTGTGGTAGTCTTTACAGTAGATGTCTTCTCGGTTGTTGGTTCTGTGGTTGTTTTTACAGTAGTTGTCTTCTCGGTTGTTGGCTGCGTAGTTGTTTTAATAGTTGTTGTCTTTTGAGTTGATGTTTTCTCAGTTGATGTTTCTGCTGTAGTCTTTACAGTAGTTGTCTTTTCAGTTGTTGGTTCTGTGGTAGTCTTCACAGTAGTTGTCTTTTCAGTTGTTGGCTCTGTGGTAGTCTTTACAGTAGTTGTCTTCTCGGTTGTTGGTTCCGTAGTTGTTGCTTAATAGTGGTTGGCTTTTGAGTTGATGTTTTCTGCAGTTGTTGGTTCTGCTGTAGTCTTTACAGTAGTTGTCTTTTTCAGTTGTTGGTTCTCTGGTAGTCTTTACAGTAGTTGTCTTCTCGGTTGTTGGCTCTGTTGTATTTTTAACGGTTGTTGTCTTATGAGTTGATGATTTCTCAGTTGTTGGTTTTGTTGTAGTCTTTACAGTAGTTGTCTTTTCGGTTGTTGGTTCTGTGGTAGTCTTTACAGTAGTTGTCTTCTCGGTTTTTGGCTCCGTAGTTGTTTTAATAGTTGTTGTCTTTTGAGTTGACGTTTTCTCAGTTGTTGGTTCTGTTGTGGTCTTTACAGTAGTTGTCTTCTCGGTTGTTGGTTCTCTGGTAGTCTTTACAGTAGTTGTCTTCTCGGTTGTTGGCTCTTTTGTATTTTTAACGGTTGTTGTCTTATGAGTTGATGATTTCTCAGTTGTTGGTTTTGTTGTAGTCTTTACAGTAGTTGTCTTTTCGGTGGTTGGCTCCGTAGTTGTTTTAACGGTTGTTGTCTTCTGAGTTGATGATTTCTCAGTGGTTGGTTTTGTTGTAGTCTTTACAGTAGTTGTCTTCTCGGTTGTTGGTTCTTTGGTAGTCTTTACAGTAGTTGTCTTCTCGGTTGTTGGCTCTGCAGTTGTTTTAACAGTTGTAGTCCTTTGGGTTGATGTTTTCTTAGTTGTTGGTTCTGTTGTAGTCTTTACAGTAGTTGTCTTCTCAGTTGTTGGTTCTGCTGGTAATCTTTACAGGTTGTCTTTTCAGTTGCTGGCTCTGTGGTAGTCTTTACAGTGGTTCTCTCGGTTGTTGGCTCCGTAGTTGTGACTTTAATAGTTGTTGTCTTTCGAGTTGTTGTTTTCTCAGTTGTTGGCTTCTGTTGTTGTTCTTACAGTGTTGTCTTCGGTTGTTGGTTCTGTGGTAGTCTTTACAGTAGTTGTCTTTTTCAGTTGTTGGTTCTGTGGTAGTCTTTACAGTAGTTGTCTTCTCGGTTTTTGGCTCCTTAGTTGTTTTAATAGTTGTTGTCTTTTGAGTTGACGTTGTTGGTTCTGTTGTTGTCTTTACGGTAGTTGTCTTTTCTGTTGTTGGTTCTGTGGTAGTCTTTACAGTAGTTGTCTTCTCGGTTTTTGGCTCCGTAGTTATTTTAATAGTTGTTGTCTTTTGAGTTGAGTGGGCGGGGGTTAGTTGTTGTCTTTTCGGTTGTTGGCTTCGTTGCTGTTTTAGCGTTTGTTTACTGAGTTGATGTCTTTTCAGTTGTTGGTTCTGTTGTAGTCTTTACAGTAGTTGTTTTTTCGGTTGGTTGGCTCTGTAGTAGTTTTAACGGTTGTTGACTTTTGAGTTGATGTTTTCTCAGTTGTTGGTTCTGCTGTAGTCTTTACAGTAGTTGTCTTTTCAGTTGTTGGTTCTGCAGTAGTCTTTACAGTAGTTGTCTTCTCGGTTGTTGGTTCTGTGGTAGTCTTTACAGTAGTTGTCTTCTCGGTTGTTGGCTCTGTGGTTGTTTTTACAGTAGTTGTCTTCTCGGTTGTTGGCTGCGTAGTTGTTTTAATAGTTGTTGTCTTTTGAGTTGATGTTTTCTCAGTTGATGTTTCTGCTGTAGTCTTTACAGTAGTTGTCTTTTCAGTTGTTGGTTCTGTGGTAGTCTTCACAGTAGCTGTCTTTTCAGTTGTTGGCTCTGTGGTAGTCTTTACAGTAGTTGTCTTCTCGGTTGTTGGCTCCGTAGTTGTTTTAATAGTTGTTGTCTTTTGAGTTGATGTTTTCTGAGTTGTTGGTTCTGCTGTAGTCTTTACAGTAGTTGTCTTTTCAGTTGTTGGTTCTGTGGTAATCTTTACAGTAGTTGTCTTCTCGGTTGTTGGCTCTGTGGTTGTTTTTACAGTAGTTGTCTTCTCGGTTGTTGGCTCCGTAGTTGTTTTAATAGTTGTTGTCTTTTCAGTTGATGTTTTCTCAGTTGTTGGTTCTGCTGGTAGTCTTTACAGTAGTTGTCTTTTCAGTTGTTGGTTCTGTGGTAGTCTTTACAGTAGTTGTCTTCTCGGTTGTTGGCTCTGTGGTTGTTTTTACAGTAGTTGTCTTCTCGGTTGTTGGCTCCGTAGTTGTTTTAATAGTTGTTGTCTTTTGAGTTGATGTTTTCTCAGTTGTTGGTTCTGCTGTAGTCTTTACAGTAGTTGTCTTTTCAGTTGTTGGTTCTGTGGTAATCTTTACGGTGGTTGGCTCTGTGGTTGTTTTTACAGTAGTTGTCTTCTTGGTTGTTGGTTCCGTAGTTGTTTTGATAGTTGTTGTCTTTTGAGTTGATGTTTTCCCAGTTGTTGGTTCTGCTGTAGTCTTTACAGTAGTTGTCTTTTCAGTTGTTGGTTCTGTGGTAGTCTTTACAGTAGTTGTCTTTTCAGTTGTTGGTTCTGTGGTAGTCTTTACAGTAGTTGTCTTCTCGGTTGTTGGCTCCGTAGTTGTTTTTACAGTAGTTGTCTTCTCGGTTGTTGGCTCCGTAGTTGTTTTAATAGTTGTTGTCTTTTCAGTTGATGTTTTCTCAGTTGTTGGTTCTGCTGTAGTCTTTACAGTAGTTGTCTTTTCAGTTGTTGGTTCTGTGGTAATCTTTACAGTAGTTGTCTTCTCGGTTGTTGGCTCTGTGGTTGTTTTTACAGTAGTTGTCTTCTCGGTTGTTGGCTCCGTAGTTGTTTTAATAGTTGTTGTCTTTTCAGTTGATGTTTTCTCAGTTGTTGGTTCTGCTGTAGTCTTTACAGTAGTTGTCTTTTCAGTTGTTGGTTCTGTGGTAGTCTTTACAGTAGTTGTCTTTTCAGTTGTTGGTTCAGTGGTAGTCCTTACAGTAGTTGACTCTGAGTTTCCAGTTGTTGGCTCTGTGGTAGTCTTTACAGTAGTTGTTTTCTCGGTTGTTGGCTCTGTGGTAGTCTTTACAGTAGTTGTCTTCTCGGTTGTTGGCTCCGTAGTTGTTTTAATAGTTGTTGTCTTTCGAGTTGTTGTTTTCTCAGTTGTTGGTTCTGTTGTAGTCCTTACAGTAGTTGTCTTCTCGGTTGTTGGTTCTGTGGTAGTCTTTACAGTAGTTGTCTTTTCAGTTGTTGGTTCAGTGGTAGTCTTTACAGTAGTTGTCTTTTCAGTTGTTGGCTCTGTGGTAGTCTTTACAGTAGTTGTCTTCTCGGTTGTTGGCTCTGTGGTAGTCTTTACAGTAGTTGTCTTCTCGGTTGTTGGCTCCGTAGTTGTTTTAATAGTTGTTGTCTTTCGAGTTGTTGTTTTCTCAGTTGTTGGTTCTGCTGTAGTCTTTACAGTAGTTGTCTTTTCAGTTGTTGGTTCTGTGGTAGTCTTTACAGTAGTTGTCTTTTCAGTTGTTGGTTCAGTGGTAGTCTTTACAGTAGTTGTCTTTTCAGTTGTTGGCTCTGTGGTAGTCTTTACAGTAGTTGTCTTCTCGGTTGTTGGCTCTGTGGTAGTCTTTACAGTAGTTGTCTTCTCGGTTGTTGGCTCCGTAGTTGTTTTAATAGTTGTTGTCTTTCGAGTTGTTGTTTTCTCAGTTGTTGGTTCTGTTGTAGTCTTTACAGTAGTTGTCTTCTCGGTTGTTGGCTCTGTGGTAGTCTTTACAGTAGTTGTCTTCTCGGTTGTTGGCTCCGTAGTTGTTTTAATAGTTGTTGTCTTTTGAGTTGATGGTTCTGCTGTAGACTTTACAGTAGTTGTCTTTTCAGTTGTTGGTTCTGTGGTAATCTTTAGGTAGTTGTTTTCTGAGTTGATTCTTCTCGGTTGTTGGCTCTGTGGTTGTTTTTACAGTAGTTGTCTTCTCGGTTGTTGGCTCCGTAGTTGTTTTAATAGTTGTTGTCTTTTGAGTTGATGTTTTCTCAGTTGTTGGTTCTGCTGTAGTCTTTACAGTAGTTGTCTTTTCAGTTGTTGGTTCTGTTGTAGTCTTTACAGTAGTTGTTTTCTCGGTTGTTGGCTCCGTAGTTGTTTTAATAGTTGTTGTCTTTTGAGTTGATGGTTCTGCTGTAGTCCTTACAGTAGTTGTCTTTTCAGTTGCTGGTTCTGTGGTAGTCTTTACAGTAGATGTCTTCTCGGTTGTTGGTTCTGTGGTAGTCTTTACAGTGGTTGTCTTCTCGGTTGTTGGCTCCGTAGTTGTTTTAATAGTTGTTGTCTTTTGAGTTGATGTTTTCTCAGTTGTTGGTTCTGCTGTAGTCTTTACAGTAGTTGTCTTTTTAGTTGTTGGTTCTGTGGTAGTCTTTACAGTAGTTGTCTTCTCGGTTGTTGGTTCCGTAGTTGTTGTCTTTTGAGTTGATGTTTTCTCAGTTGTTGGTTCTGCTGTAGTCTTTACATTAGTTGTCTTTTCAGTTGTTGGTTCTGTTGTAGTCTTTACAGTAGTTGTTTTCTCGGTTGTTGGCTCTGTAGTAGTTTTAACGGTTGTTGTCTTTTGAGTTGATGTTTTCTCAGTTGTTGGTTCTGCTGTAGTCTTTACAGTAGTTGTCTTTTCAGTTGTTGGTTCTGCAGTAGTCTTTACAGTAGTTGTCTTCTCGGTTGTTGGTTCTGTGGTAGTCTTTACAGTAGTTGTCTTCTCGGTTGTTGGCTCCGTAGTTGTTTTAATAGTAGTTGTCTTTTGAGTTGATGTTTTCTCAGTTGTTGGTTCTGCTGTAGTCTTTACAGGAGTTGTCTTTTCAGTTGTTGGTTCTCTGTTGTAGTTGGTGCTTTACAGTCAGGGTTGTCTTCTCGGTTGTTGGTTCCGTAGTTGTTTTAATAGTTGTTGTCTTTTGAGTTGATGTTTTCTCAGTTGTTGGTTCTGCTGTAGTCTTTACAGTAGTTGTCTTTTCAGTTGTTGGTTCTGCAGTAGTCTTTACAGTAGTTGTCTTCTCGGTTGTTGGTTCTGTGGTAGTCTTTACAGTAGTTGTCTTCTCGGTTGTTGGCTCCGTAGTTGTTTTAATAGTTGTTGTCTTTTGAGTTGATGTTTTCTCAGTTGTTGGTTCTGTTGTAGTCTTTACAGTAGTTGTTTTCTCGGTTGTTGGTTCAGTGGTAGTCTTTACAGTAGTTGTCTTTTGAGTTGATGTTTTCTCAGTTGTTGCTTCTGCTGTAGTCTTTACAGTAGTTGTCTTTTCAGTTGTTGGTTCTGTTGTAGTCTTTACAGTAGTTGTCTTCTCGGTTGTTGGTTCCGAAGTTGTTTTAATAGTTGTTGTCTTTTGAGTTGAGGTAGAGGTATGTTTTTTCAGTTGTTGGTTCTGCTCGGTAGTGCTTTACAGTAGTTGTCTTTTCAGTTGTTGGCTTCGTTGTTGTTAGCGGTTGTTGTATCTGAGTAGTTGTTTTCTCGGTTGTTGGCTCTGTAGTAGTTTTAACGGTTGTTGTCCTTTGAGTTGATGTTTTCTCAGTTGTTGGTTCTGCTGTAGTCTTTACAGTACTTGTTTTTTGAGTTGTTGGTTCTGTTGTAGTCTTTACAGTAGTTGTCTTCTCGGTTGTTGGCTCCGTAGTTGTTTTAATAGTTGTTGTCTTTTGAGTTGATGTTTTCTCAGTTGTTGGTTCTGCTGTAGTCTTTACAGTAGTTGTCTTTTCAGTTGTTGGTTCTGTTGTAGTCTTTACAGTAGTTGTCTTCTCGGTTGTTGGCTCCGTAGTTGTTTTAATAGTTGTTGTCTTTTGAGTTGATGTTTTCTCAGTTGTTGGTTCTGCTGTAGTCTTTCCAGTAGTTGTCTTTTCAGTTGTTGGTTCTGTGGTAGTCTTTACAGTAGTTGTTTTCTCGGTTGTAGGCTCCGTAGTTGTTTTAATAGTTGTTGTCTTTTGAGTTGATGTTTTCTCAGTTGTTGGTTCTGCTGTAGTCTTTTCAGTTGTTGGTTCTGTGGTAGTCTTTACAGTAGTTGTCTTTTCAGTGGTTGGCTTCGTATTTGTTTTAATGGTTGTTGTCTTTTGAGTTGTAGGCTCTGAGGTAGTCTTTTTGGTTGTTGTTTCCTGTGTTGTAGACTCAGTGGTCGTTGACCCAATATTGGGACCATATGGACATCCCGGCAAAAAAGGATCTAGCCAGCAGATTTCCGGATAATCAGGATAATCAATATTGCTTTGTCCAGACTCTATGGATGAATTATTACTAAGTTTAGTTTCACCCTCATCCAGAGCTGCACTTACAGCTTGGTAGAATGCAAACAAAATAAAAAATCTTAACATTTCCTGCAATTAAAAAACGTAATTTAAATATGATGATTTAATGCAGTGTTAGCCAAAAAAGTAGCGCTTCTTAGGAACAGGCGAATGACTCTGCCGCTGCTCTGTTAATTCTGTGCCACCGCTCTGTTTACACACACAGAATGGATTACTCACGGAAAAGTATAGAAAGTATTTGCGACTTACCATGGCCACTTTTCGAGCAAGACTCTGGTTTTTTGAGCCCCAACTTGTGCTTAAATAGAAAAACATCCTATCGCAGAAAGTTGATAAGCTTAGCATGGGTCGAAGTTCAACTCAGGTCAGCAGGTAAGCGTAGGGCAAGTTTATAAACCATAGAGATAAGCTACTAAAATGTTTATGCATTTAAAACATTCTATTTTATGTCTTTATATTTGTTTCTTTGTCATGGAAAGACATGTTTTCAGGTGAGGTATTTTTACGAATGTTTCAGATTTGGTAATTACTACGAAAGTAGTTTACCTTCTTTAAATTAGAGTATAAATGTAATGGTAAATTCCTGTTAATTTTATCCCATATTATATCTACAGCATGAAAATACGATTTATCCTCTTTTTGACTAGCTGTGATTTATTACACATAAATATATGGATTCACATAAAAATTGAGCCTTAGATTATAGCAGAGTCCGAAGATACCGATTCGAATCGGCCGATCTCATTTGGTACTGGGCTTGGTGTGTATTGTGCAAGTCTCGGGTTAGTTTCTCTCTATTGCTGGTGCCGAAATAAATATTGCTTATGCCTAGGTAAGAGTACGATAAGATAAATAGAACAGAAGTTTTCCAGGCCCTAAATGCAATGCGACAACAGAATCTATAGCTGATGGTGTCTTGGTGATTGCACAGTGCCCGAGTCCCAGATCAATTTCCAGACCTAATTGTTAGTGTGTGTATAGTAGAGAACCGTATTGCCGGGCAGCTGCCAGTGCGAGGCCTTCAATTCGATGAGCTGGAGTAGAGTGCGCCGTATGGACGCCGCAGATTCTCCGGCATTCAGGAAGGCATCGCGCACGAGACCCATGAGCAGTTCCAGTTGCTGTGGCAGCTGCTGCTCCATATCCTGCCCAATACAGGTAAGCACATAGAACAGGCACTCAATCTGAAAGGGAATGGTTTTTACTTTGATTAACCATAATATAATTTACAAACCCACCTCCGAGAGAGATCTTATGGGTGGACGCACGCAATCCTCGCAACACTTGGACAGTAGACTGAGCAGGACCAGTGGCGGCGGAGTGCCCTCGTGGTGGGTGCGCAGTTGGATCTGTCGACGCTTCAGCTGGCAAAACATCTCCGTGAGGAAGGCCATAAAGGCGGTGAATCGGACTCGGGATGGCGACTTCATGCCCTGGATGGCAAACAGCAGCTGGACAAGGTAAAATTAATTTAAAAATTCATGTACTTCCCCCAGAAGAATCACTTACCTTCTCGCGCTCCTGGTACCACTGACGGCATGTGTTGAGCAGCGCCTCCAAGAACGTTTCCTTCTGTTCCCGGGCAATGATGTTCAGACACAACCGCGAGATCGGCAGGGCGAAACGGCGACTCTCCACCGCACGCTTGATGAACTGCGATGTGAGTTCCATCAAACAACGCGAATTTAGTTTGTTCGGATCCTCCAGAGCCGTGTCAATCAGCGCCTGAATCTCCGGGGTGAACTGCCCAATGTCGGCCACCTCGTTGCCCAAACCCAAGCCCAATCCGGCCATTCCCCTAGTTAAGGCATCCGCCGACGATAAGGATTTGGAGCGTTGCAATGCATTACCATTCATGTACGGATCGATTCCATTAAGATTTGCCTGGTAAGGTTGTCCATAGTTGTTGTTGTTGTTGTTGAGCTGGCCAAACTGATTATGGGTGGCCACTTTGTGACCTCTGGGCTCGGGAGCAAACTTGACACGATTCGTTGTCTGAAATTGAAAGAATTAATAGATATATTTAAAGATAAAAATCCAAAATAATAAAAAAAAAAATTTTTATCAGTAATTCTTCAATTTGCGTTGTTAATTGAAAGTAGAGCTTACGTGCAGTATATTGCCACTGGAGGGCGAGTTCATGAGCGGCAGCTGACCGCCGAGGTGACTGGCACCGATTGGATGCGTCACCAAGATCGAGCGATGGTGGTTGGCCTTCAAGCCCGGCATGCTTCCCAGGGAGAGTCCGGCCTGGCGGCGATTCACGTTGCCATACTGACCCAAAACCGGAGCAACTCCGGGTCCATTGGTGGGCGGGAAGATCAGCGACGAACTGGAAGAATGTTGTAGACTGTAGTTTAGCTCTGCAAGGAGACGGGAAGAGGGGTAAACAATGGCATTAAAAGACTTTGCTTTACCGATTGCTGAGTGCCTCGGCCGGTGCCACGCAGCTGCCTGCCATTGTGAACTCCTGGGCATTGACGTTCAGCTTGTTGGCGACACCAGCGGCCGCACCACTAGTACCATCACCACCACCACCGCCACCATTGGCTGGAGCAGCCAGGTCTCCGCGGACATCTGAGACAGAGGCAATTAGGTTTTTGGGGGGTCGGGATACCCAGGGGTTTATGTGATGAGTTGGGGGGGGCAGGACAACATTGTGTGGAGGGAGGGAATGTGCAGGGTATGAGACAAAGATATGAAAAGAATCAAAAGAAAAATGTGGTCTCAGTAAGTAATCGTTGGAACTGATAAGCTTGAAGCGAAAATAACAGAGCAACCCGAAATGATATTGGTTCGGAAGCTAAACTATTTCCGTTGTTTAATAATTTTTTAAGTAACAAATTTTTTAAACATTTTTTTATGAATGGTACTACCTTCCTGGTTTAAATGCATACATATACAACTGATAGTTTTGATTTGTGTGTTCTAATTCTATATAACTTTAGTATTCATTTAAATACAGTAATCCTGATAATTGTGTGATTGATTTGATTTCTATGACTTCTAAAGCACCGAACAACCCGCTGAGCACCCAAGCAAAGAGAAGAATTTAAACAGAATGACTAGAACAACTCACTTGGAGGTCTGTAAATATCCATGGCGGGTTTACCCCTCATCTGTCCGGTCTGATTGCCAGGCACGTTGAAAGCCAGACTTCTGCGTTTGTTGATATTCTGAAACCGCAAACGCAAAATATGGTTACTTTTCGACATCGATACGGGGATATGGGAAACTCACCTGTTGATTCGAGGTGCGCACAAAGCTGCGTTCCCGGGAGATAACGCCCGGCTGAAACTCAGGTGACTTGCGCACCTTTCGCGGATCATTCTGTTGGCCATTCAGGCCGGCCTGGGCCATTTCGACTTTCTCGGCCATCTCTCGAGCTTCGAGTACTGCTCTTCTGCTCTATTTAGCTAAACTTAATTGAAGATGAAAGCCTAATCTTTGGTAGATTATCCTCCGGTTAATCGGTTCACAACTGGGATTCCGCGGAATAAACGTCTAAATATGTGGCTTCAGTATTTGAGTAAATTTGTACATATCACAATAGTTGGTTTCCTTTCTTTCCTCCTTTTCCTTACTTTCTTTGTCGAGTATGAGTTCTCTTCTTAATACGATGTGAGGGAATAGTTCCCTTTTTGCAGATTCAGATTGCGGGTCTGAAATGCAAAAGTAAAAATAATGGTGAGAATGTAATGCTTCTGCCCTGAGCCCAGCCCATAACTTGTTCACCTACTCATACATCAAGTAAAGATACACAAAAACTGTTTACCAAGATTCAAGGGGGACTGAAACTACTTGATCTCTTTGAGCGAGCGGCTTTTTCGCCGAGCGTAGGAGTTGCATCTGGTTTGGGGTCTTTGGCTAGAGCACTTCGTCTCCGAGCATGACATCAGCCCCGAGTAATTCTTATTCTGCGGCCCACAAGGAGTCCGGAGTGAGTCTCCGCGAAAGATACACACAACGAAGTACAGTACGACCTCCGAAAATGTAGCCCAAAAAACTATCAAGTAAAAAACTCGGCTATGGAGATTACCCAATGTATATTTTTCATTTATAACTTAATATTTGTGCGAAATAATAAAACTTACATCATGATCTGAGTAATATAGAATGACCATGAGTATTTATTTAATACTTCAACAAAATTACACAGAGAGAATTTTTCAAGAAGACTGACGTTCTCAAATTAAGTATTTGTATTCTCAATTTGAGGAAGTACTGATTTTGTGGTCTAATTTTGATAAAAAAGCCTAATACTTTATCTTTGATGTTTCCCCCTTATTTGTCCCCGTTTTTGGAGAAAAAAAATCTAAAAAGACTCAATTACAAGGTATATTACTTAAAAAAAATTGTACTATTTCGCACTTAAAGTGAGTACTTGGTTTTATTTTGAGTAAAAGTTTTTAATTTGAGTGCAACGTTCATGAAAAATTCTCTCTGTGTACCCATTTATATCTTGACTTCTGGTTCAGAAAAGTGATAATTTTTCACTCAAAACTCAGAGGTTAAAAGATAAACGAAAATTCTACATAGGGTAGCTCGACTGTAAGTGTCTACTACCACAACAATGTGAACTTGCCTCGTTAATTTGTCGACACTCTATTCAAAGATTAGCAGACAGAATGTTCGGAATAAGCTGGGCCTGAAAATGAATCAGCGGTAGATACTCACCTTTTAGTGCAAAAATGTTTCTTCCAAATTGTTTCGTTGCTGCTGCTGCTTGAGCTTTTGTTTATCTCTCTCTATAAAGTATATAGATATTCGTCGATTCGATTGTTGGTTGGTGCTGCAGCTTAGTTGTTCGTATAAAGATATTTATCTACTTCGTAGATACGCTCTTTCGTGTCTCGTTTAATCATGCTTGGCATGCGCCAAGTCGAGCCATAAGCAGTGTCAAAAGTAATTAATATTTCGAAGCGACCCTCCACGCCCCAATATTCCGAATATGCAGGAGTTACGGATGGCGGGCTTCCAGATACAGATACATTTACAGATACAGCTGCAAGTGCAAAGACACACACGCACAGTGATCACAATTGATTGTAGTGTTGTTGTTCTTTCTCCGCTGGCTGCTGTGCGAGCGAGAGGGCTTGATGAGTCGGGTGGTGAGCGGGTGGATCGTTAAGTATACGCACCGTGGGTATCGTCTATTTTTGGTTTGTCGCTTTGTGCTGCTCGTTCTCGGCTCGTTATGGGCTCGTCTCGTCAATTATTACAATTCCGTTTTGTGTTTGTTCGCGTTGTTAGGTTCGTTCGTTTTCTTCTTGTGTGATTCTTCTCTCTTTGAATGCAGATCGCTCGCTATTATAGTATAGTTATTGTTCGGATTACTCACACGCTCACACATACATGCGCCCCAAGGCGGGGATTATTAATTCTTATTTATATTTTCATTTTCAAATATTTATTTCATGTTTAGCCTGCACGCGCTGTTTGTTTTTGCCCGACTTGTGCGCCGTATTCTCTGGCAATTGCCAAAAATCGCTCACATGTGCCGCCGCATCTATATTTATAGTATATGACAGCGCTGCGAGTGATGACTGTATCGCAGCACTATGTGGATATACGTCTATAAAGCTATATGCAGTTGGCGTTGCTTCCGTTTCCGGCAGTCAAAAACAATAACATCGCTTGGCAGAAAGAACTCTTTCTCATATTATTGGCCTGATTCATTTAGCATTTCGGTGGCCGCCGCGGCAATATGATTTCCGCTCGCAAACAGTTTTGTCTATTTTTAAATAGAATTCAAGAAAGAATTCGGGGAGCAAACTTATGTACTTGTGTATGAATCACATAATGGCAGATCCCGAAACGTTAGAACAAAGTAGAAGGGATAGGGATTCGGAATTGGATGTACTTCATTAAAATATTAGGTTCTACTAGATTTACTTTAGGTTTTCATGGGTTCGTTGCTGTCGATCGAGACACTATATCTGCGGGGTATATCTATTTATCGATGTACGCCGTATTATGTAGGCATGTATATTCGCACGTATGTATGGATGTGAGTAACGCGGCGCAGGCTTTAACTTAAAAATTAAATCATCGGCGCGAGCGATCAGTTGAAGACTAAAGACTTGATGAATCGCCAGCCGCGATCGTTGCCGAAAGCTCTTCAAAACAGTTGTGCGCTCTGCTCTCGTGGGGAAAATGCGAGAGCGAAACGCCAAGGGTTGTCGAGCTCCCCAAACCGATAAACAATATAGAAACACACACGACATGATCGCTTTCGTACACAAATGTTCTTTATCCTTATAACAATAGTTTCAATTCGATACATAAACGCTTACAGAAAGGAAAACTATGCAAGATGACAAATCAAAAAAAAAACAAGAAAATAAACTTGTCCGCCTTGGTTCATCGTGGAAATGTTGTTGTTGTTGTTGCTAGTGAAAAACTGTTTTCGTCTTATCGGTGAAGAATTACTAACTGAAATAATGATGCACTTACGGCTAACCTTCCGCCAGATCTCACGTTCCTTGCACACAAGTTTACGTAAAATATATATAAATACAATATTGATTGGTAAAATTACTCAAAATGTAACACAATTTGATCCAATGTTGATCCAGTGCTGGCGCAGAATAAATACGGATGGTGGGACAAGGAAGAGAACGACGATGCCTACTTGGCGGGCGAGACTATAGAGCTGTTCAGTGAGTTGTTTAGCTGCTCCTCCTGGTCCTTGTCCAACCCGAGGGCCGTGGTCAGCAGCTTGACCACGCAGCGCTGCTCGTGCACCTCGCCCTTCTCGTTGGACGTTATGTCCTTCTCCAGCTTTAGCTTCTCTTCGGCGGCCATCAGGATGCCCTCCTCAATGGTGCTCTCGGAAATCAGACGGTAAATGGTCACCGGACGCTGCTGTCCCATGCGATGACACCGATCCTCGGCCTGCTTGTCGTTGTAGGGATTGAAGTCGATGTCGTGAATGATGCATGTGTCCGCAGCCGTCAGGTTGATGCCAACGCCTCCGGCTTTGGTGGACAGGAGAAACACGAAGATGCTGTCGTCGCCATTGAAGTCGGTGATCAAGTCCTGGCGCACATTTACGGCGGTCGCGCCGTCCAGGCGGCAGAAACCGAACTTTCGTATCCGCAGATACTCCTCCACAATGTCCAGCATCATAGTGAACTGGCTGAAGAGCAGCACACGGTGTCCCTCTTCTTTTAGCTTTGGAAGCAGCGTGTCGAGGTAGCGGAACTTCCCGGAATCGCAGATCAACTCATCGGGTATTTTTACGTCGTAAAATTCCTTAGAAAACAAATTAAGTACATTTTAATTATAAATATCCTGTAGCAAACCCTTACATGCTTGTGACACATCTGATAGACCTGAAAGTCAGACATGACGGCCAGCTCCTCGAAGATGTACTGCTCGTTGGTCTTTTTGTAGGAACTGGCACTGGCCAGGCGCTTGGAGAATCCGCGCAGGTTCGCGTCGGTGAAATAGTGACGCATCAGCAGCGGATGGTTGGCAATGCGCCGCATCTCCATCATGATCGCAATGCCAGCTCTTTCACTGCTGCTGCAAACCTCGCCCTTGTTGTTGGAATAATACTCGACCAGTTCGTGATAGTAGTGCTTTTGTTGGGTGCTCATGGATACTTTTTCCTGTAAAGAAATATTGAATTATTATTTTATATATTTAAATCAGTGCTTTTGCTGACTTACCACCAGACTTAGCTTCTTGGGCAGGTTTTTGAGGACATCTTTTTTAAGGCGCCTGAGAACAAACGGCTTCATGATGCGCTTGGCTCTCTGGATCTGCGTTTCCTGGAACTGTGAGACCTCCTCTTGATCGCCATCGGATTTTCCCTTCTGCAAAGAAAGCGTGGTTAATTTTATGTATACATTTTAAGCTTAACTCTCTCACCTTAACGAACAACGACTTTATGTCCTCGATGCTCTTGGCAAAAAACTTGGGCATCACGAAGCACAGCAGAGAAATCAGCTCCAGCAGATTGTTCTGCAGCGGAGTTCCGGTCAGCAGGATGCGCATCCTGGCATTGATGGTTATAAGGTTGGCATAGCGTTGCGTGGTCATGTTCTTTAGCATGTGGGCTTCATCGAAGATAACATAGTCTAACTTGCAAACCCGGAACATTTTCCTCTCCTCCGGCGTGGATCCAACAATGTGATAACTGTCAGGAAATAAAAAAAATTATAGCTTAGATGCTTCTGCCGCCTTTTGATTACTCACGTGGTCAGCAGAACATCGAAGCCGGTGAAACCATCCTTGGCAAAACGACCCCGCATTCTCCGTCGCTCGTCCTGCGAGCCGTGATACTTCTCCACCACCAGTTTGGGGCACCACCTGCTGATCTCCGCCTCCCAATTGTCCAGCGTGGACGAGGGAACCACAATCAAATGGGCCGCCTGGCTGAGACCATTCTCCTTTAGGTAAGCCAGAAATGCAATCACCTGAATTGTCTTGCCCAGACCCATTTCGTCCGCCAAAATGCCGTTCATTTCCTGTTTGTGCATCACCGTGAGCCAATTAAGGCCAATTATCTGATAGTCAGCCAGCTGCAGACTGTATAATAAATTGTTAATATGATAATGGGATGTATTCTGCCAGAACTCACCCGCTGCTGAGGAGTTTAGGCTGCTCCACAATGCCAGCACCATTGGAAATGGCCTTCTCCAGACGCGAAACCATGTTGTTGCACTTGCTTAGAATGGTGGCCACCGTGTTCTGTTTGTTGATCAGCTCCTGGGCGTAGTTCAGCAGATCACCCGACATCCTAATGCTCTCCAGCTTCTTGCGGAGTCCGGCCCAGTCCCCAAAAGGTCGCACTTCTATGATGGCCAGTGCCTTCTTCTCGGACAGCGTCTTAACCGACTGCAGCTCAATAAGTGTGGCCTCGTTCATGAACTGGAACACCTTTTTTCGCTGCCCCGTCATCTTCGTGGCCATCTCGGTGTCGCTGTCATCGCTGTCGTACACCTGATCCTTGGACTGCTTCACATCCTCGTCGTCCGAATGGTCGTTATCCGAAAAGTGGCCCTGTGAGGTTCCGCTGGTCCCGTTCGAGCTGGGCTTCAGCTTGGGCTTGACCAGCGGTCCATTCTGGCCCTTGGGCTTGCAGTTCTCCCGAAGGTAACGCACGGAGGCGGCCACATCCCAGTTGGTGCGGGAGAGGGACTCTTGGATAGCCTATGGAGGAATTAGGGAATCCATTAAATATGAATATATTAAAATATAAAGCTACTTAAGGCAAGAAACTAAATCGTGTGTTACGGCATTTAGTTTTAAATGTAACAAAATTATACAGGATCCAAATTGTTTAATTAAATACAAAATATGAATAGTCTGATAAATTTACAAAAATTAAATAATATAGATCCAGTAGATTTAGAAACCAGTAACAATTAAATTAATAGCAAATAAATAATTTAAAATACTTATGTTCTATAAGACATAAAAAATAAAATTTCTTTCATTAAATAAATATAGAAAACCTAGGTTTACCCATAAAATTCTCCTTAAAAAAGGATAACATTATTTAAAACCATAATCTTCTTAAAATTGTAGGTTAAAAAAATTATATACTTAAAAAATAAAAAAAAAATGATCTCTTTAAAATGGTTTAAAGAAATCAGGTAAGAGCAGGTAAGTCAGGAAGTGTTATACACAGGGGTTAATTTTAAACATTTCAATAAACAGCGTTAACCATAGAATCCTTCTTAAAAAATGTAACAATATTTAAAACCATAATCTCCTTAAAATATGAAAGTTACGAAAATCTTATACTTAAAAAAAATTCAAAAGGTGAGTCAAGAACAGGTAATTGTTATAAACGGGGGTTAATTTTAATAAACATTTTCTTTCATAAAATAAATACAGGAAATCTAGCGTTAACCATAGAATCCTTCTTTAAAACCAAAATCTCCTTAAAATATGAAGGTTAAAAAAATCGTATACTTAAAAAAAAATCAAAATGACTTTAAGAAATCGTATCGTTTAGAAAAGGTTAATCAAGAGCAGGTAGGTCAGGAAGTGTTATACACCCCCGTTTAGCGACGCCCCTGACGACCGACAGCTGTTCGCAACGCCGGGCCCGAACCGAATCGCCATGTTCCGCGAGCACAGACGCAGAGACGCGTGCTTCCCCGCCATGCCCCTCTCGAGAACACCAGATCTGGGTCGGAAACGTACCATTGTGTCGAACTGGGGCGAGATCTTGGCGGCCGCCATGTAGCGCTCCTCCTTCTCCTTCACAGTCAACTCCAGCTTGGTCTTCTTGGGCGTCTGGGAGTCGTTGCCATCGCTGTCGCTGTCGGCCATCACCTGGATGCGCTTCTTGCCGGGCACGCGCTCTGAAATGAGGAACTTAATCACTGGGTCTCCAACTTTTAGCTCAGCAAGTACCCGTCTTCGCAGAACCCGCGGCCGCAGAGGCACTCTTGTTGATGCGAAATTGACGCAAATCGCTGAGGCTCGACTTGACCGGCGAGGACGAGGAGGCGGTCGCCGAGGCGGCCACTGGGCTGTCCGACATCGTGGGACAAGGCGAATCGCTTCCTGGCAATCTGTCAGTCCTTTATTCGCGAATTTTATTTTGTTTGCAAGTCCTACGATCGTGAGGTGGTATTTGTGAATAGGTGCATGCTAGTGGGCACGTTTGGGATTGCCCAAAAAAGCCGAGTCGGCCGCGCGAGTGCGGTCACACTTTGCCGCTAATTTAAATGTTTATTACCGCGCCGGCGATGATTTGGGGGTTTGTCTTGTCCGTTTAAAGTTTGTTTTAATATTTGACAATATTCTTGATGAATTACTATATGATAGCCATTCGAATATCAATTTATGGTTAGGTAAAATTCAGCAACTCAACAGCTGTGGAAAATTTTGTTGAATCGTTGAAATGCAGAGTTGACACCTTTTCTATAAAAGTCATGGAAACTTTGTAACATTTTAGTATCAACAGTACGCATTATTTATTTCAAAATCAACTTAGAGAGCATATTTGTGGTTCTTTTTACCTTGGTAACAATTTTGGGCAGTAACTAGCAATAATAAATTAAATTTCACATGTTTTAAGTTCAGTGAAACTTTCTAACAA